ACACAGAATTTTTAAAATTTCGAAAGTAATATTATATATTTTATGTAGTTTCCTTTATAAAGTTGCGATCTGTAAGACAAGAATAAAGGAAAATAGGTATTAAAAGTAATATTTGGCTTTAAAATCTCTTACAAATGTGTGCATTAAGGGATTTTTACATTTTATGTCCTACATCTATAAAGATGGTATGGTTTATTAGATGCAAGTCGAGACACTTTTCAAAAATGTATTGTGGCCAAACGGCTAAGGAAAGTTTATTATAAGCATATTAAATAAATACCATATAATAACACCACAATTAAACAATTTTGTATTAAAAAATATTTAAAGGTATTGAAGTTATAGGAACATATCGGGTTTGCGGTGTACATCCTAGCTGTTTGCAAAATCATCCGACATCAAAAAAATATAATGAATAAGTAAAAGGATAAGTGTCTTGAGGTAACCCATGTGGCGTTTTTATTTTAAAAACTTTTACCAGATTTTGTATCCAAATTTAAATTTAAAATCCCGAATTTTGCGAAAAAATGTAGTTACTTTGTTAAGTACCTGTAGATTTTGTTAAAGAAGTTATGAGTTATCGTGTACACCGAACTTATCCTTAAACTTCTTAATACTCCAACACCAAACGACTTCCGTTGTAAATTTTGCTGTGAGCGAATGAATCTTTGAATTAAAAGAACTTTCTAGAAATGTATACCAAAACAAGAAAGGAAGCTAACTTCGGCAAGCCGAAGTTTGTATACCCTTGCAGATATTATTTCATTACATTTTACCTATATTATTATGTTTACAGTTTGACAGTTACAGTTTTGCATTCCCAGCTTTACATTTTTTCTACATCTACCGATCGGTTTATATTGCAGCTATATGATATAGTTGTCCGATTTTTATGAAATTTATACCAAAATTCTAGAATAATAAAATAAGCTTATATCCTAGAGTAGATGAAAAAACGTTGAAAAATAACGAAGTTATAGTTTTTTTCCTATTAATTTCCCGATCGTTCCTATGGCAGCTATATGATATAGTCGTCCGATTTTCAAAAAATTAAAACCGAAATTCTGAAATAATATAAAATGGCCATATCTCAAAAATTATGCAAAAATGTTGAAAAACAGCTAATTTATAATTTTTTTCTAAAAATTTATCCAACATTTGTATGGCAGCTATATGATATAGTCGTCCGATCCGGCCCGTTCCGACATATATAGCAGTGAGAGTATATAGAAGACTATGTGCAAAGTTTCATTCACAAAGCTTTAAAACTGAGGGACTAGTTTGCGTAGAAACGGACAGACGGACAGACGGACAGACGGACAGACGGACGGACAGACGGACAGACGGACAGACGGACAGACGGACATGGCTAGATCGACTCGGCTGTTAATGCTGATCAAGAATATATATACTTTATAGGGTCGGAAACGTCTCCTTCACTGCGTTGCAAACTTCTGACTGAAATTATAATACCCAGCAAGGGTATAAAAAAATATATACAAAATTAATCACGCATCCCCCCTTACGCCTTCCACCTTAGTTAATATTTATGTAATTGTTCTGCAACTCCAGAATCCATCAGAGATGACTGCCAAGCCAAAGTTTGTATATGAAAAGGATGACCTGGGTACCATAGGTGAGGTGGACGACAATGAGGTGGATCGGATTGCCGAGTGCTTCAAGGGACGCAGTCTGTTCATTACCGGCGGCACTGGATTCCTGGGCAAGGTCCTGGTCGAGAAGCTGCTACGGTGAGTGGGCGGAGCTGAGCTGTGCTGGGCGCTAGCCAGCTGGTCCGTACGTGGCCCCCATTAATCCCAATTGACCCTTTGCTTATGCAATATTATTAATTCGTGCAGGTCGTGTGGCGGCCTTAAGCGCATTTATCTGCTCATTCGCCCCAAGAAGGGCAAGGATCCGCAGGAGCGCATCAAGGATATATTCCAGAATGTGGTAAGCAGGGGGGTTTTGGGAATTATGAGAATCACGAGAACTTATTACCCGGCTTACGATATTAATGAACTTGGAACGTACGTGTGTGTGTGTGCAGCTATTCGACCAGGTGAAGCAGCTGCGCGGCGAGGAGCACATCCTGCAGCAAGTGGTGGCCATAGCCGGTGACGTACTTTCTCCGGGCCTGGGCATCTCTGAAAAGGATCTGGAGACTCTGCGCCAGGAAGTCTCCATTGTTTACCACTGCGCAGCTACAGTGCGGTAAGTTAGGAAATAATCATACTTGTAGGCAGTTTCAAAGGGTATTTCACATCTCTAAAGAATTATAAGGATTAAGTCATCCCAAAGAATTTAATTATATTATTTTGCTTTGTTAAAATCTTGCCTTAGGAAGGAAAATAAATTAATAAATAGTTTACCATAACTCTCGAACGATCCTCCAGCTTCGACGAGCCCCTCCGCAATGCCGTCTTTATGAACACTCGCGGCACCAAATATATGTTGGATCTGGCCCAGACTCTGAAACACCTTGACTTCTTCGCCTATTGCTCGACGGCCTATTGCCATTTGCACGTGAAGACGCTCTACGAGAAGCCCTACGATCCTCCTGCAAATCCGCATAAGGTGATGCAGGCCTGCGAGTGGCTGACGGACGATGAGGTGGCCACCATTGAGCGCAAGGTGCTCGGCGACATACCCAACACGTACGCCTACACCAAGTCGCTGGCGGAGGCACTGGTGGTGGAGAAGTTCGACCAGTTACCGGCCGTGATCCTGCGGCCCTCGATTGTGATCCCCATCTGGAAAGAGCCCATTCCCGGCTGGACGGACAACATCAACGGACCCACTGGGCTGCTGATTGGGGCCGGAAAGGGTGTCATACGCACCATGTACTGCAACTCCTCGGGCTACGGCGACTTCTTGCCCGTGGACGTGGCGGTCAACGGAATTCTGGTGGCCAGCTGGCGGAACATCACGGCGGGCACCGACACCACCAATCGCGTGGCCCACATGACCTCCTCGAACGACATCAAGGTTTCCTGGGCGGAGATTATTGAGCTGGGGCGCTGGGTGATCGAGAACAAGGTGCCGCTGAACGGCGTGGCCTGGTATCCTGGCGGCTCCATGAAGTCCAACTACTGGGTGCACTTCGTCTGCATGGTGCTGTTCCAGTGGATGCCGGCCCTCTTTGTGGACGCCCTGCTCTGGGTGCTCCGCTATCCACCCGTCTTGTGCCGCGTCCAGAACAGGATCTACAAGGGATTCGAGGTGTTTGAATACTATGCCAACAACGTGTGGAACTTTGACAACACGGAGGCGGTGAAGCTGCGAAAGCTAATGAACAATAAGGAGCGGCGGACCTACGTGATAGAGAAGATCGAACTTGACCTGATCGACTACTTCACCAACTGTGTCCTTTGCGCCCGTCGCTTGATCCTGAAGGAATCGGACGAGTCCATTCCAGCAGCCAGGCGGCACATGAAGGTGTAAGTATTTTTTTGAAGATATTTCTTCCAAAGAATCTCCATGACTAATTCCGATCTCTGGCTATTCCAGCATGTGGGTGGTGGACAAAGTGTACAAGGGTATCTGGATCTTTGGCATCCTCTATATGCTCTACAGGTGTTTCTTCGCGGGCTAGGATCCGCGTCCGGAAGCATTTGCTAGCTTAGTTAAGTGCTTGACACCAAAAGAAGCGCCTGCCCCTGCCCCAAGCCGTAGTTTATAGCCGTTATTTAGCACTAAGTCTTTTAGTTTTTAATTGGTGCTGTTGATTAGAAGCCTAATTCATTTGTTTTGAAAGGCAGCGAATAAAACATTGGTTTTTGTATTTCAGTGAGTTTTAATTGTCGTGGGTATTGATCTATAAGGTATTTTCTGTGGTGGAGACGTCAGAATGGCCTTAAACATTTCGGATGTTTAAATCTTTAATAAAATGGCGGTAGACCTATATGTACAATTTGCGTTTAAAAGGATTCGTCTCAAGAAAATTATAATTTCAGCTATGGCTGCCCTAAATGCTGGCTTACTACCTCCCAATAATTCTCAAACAATTCTAATAAATTAAAATAAATAAATTAAATTAAATATTCCAGTGTTTTTACATTTTAGTAAGTAAACAAAATCATAAAAAAGGAAAATATATGGTTCACTCCCTTAAGTTATGCGAAAAAATATAATATAATATAAAATAAAAATAATAAAATAAAAAATATATTATATATTAATTTATATTTTTTAAATTGGCGCACAAATCAATGTTATCGATTGGTTCATATGAACCTCTGATCAGCGATTTTTTAGTTAGTTGTTCAAAAATGACGTGTACTAATTATAGAAAAATAAAATATAAAAGAATTATAAGACCAACTAGTTCATAATTGTGTAAATGGTTCATTATACAATTTTAAAAATATATTTATTCTCCAACGCCGACTAAAAACAATCGATAGGTGCCGGCCAGAGCCAGACCATCGGTGCTATCGATAGTGCCATCATCGGGCAGCTCTAGAATCGCTTTGTTTTGCAAAATTCAAGCTGAGCTGAGGCCCAGAGACCTGATTGTGGGGCGAGTTCGTGGAGCAGCATTGCGTCATCACCCACTCCTGGCCAGGAACTGCTCCGGGAACGAGGAACGCGCACGCCAGCGGCACGGAACGCTCCCGGCGACGAGAACGCGGACGAAGGCGACGAGGTCGGTGGAGGAACGGAGGAGGAGACCGTGGCGGAGTCGCGGGACTTGGAGGACATGGCCAGCACCACTGGCAGTGCGCCCAGCCTGGGAGCTGGCAGCGCGAGCGGAGGTGCTGCCGGGCTCAGTGCCAGTCCCGGAACGTTGGAGGGCACTCTGAGCAAGTGGACCAACGTGATGAAGGGCTGGCAGTACCGATTCTTTGTGCTAGACGAGAACGCCGGCCTGCTCTCCTACTACACGGTAAGTGGGTGCAGTGGCTCCACTACTAACCCCTCCTTATCACACCCAGCGGAGGTCTTATCTTATCTGCGCCAGCTAGATACATTCGGATACGGATACACACATGCACACACACACTTGTTGGTGGCTCGTTTGCCTTTATTTTGAGATTGTGCCCAATTGAGGGCTCAGTTGGGCGTCGCTAGACTCTTGTGGCGCTTCTTGCTCTGGTAGGAGGTCGTGAAGAAGTCGTAGAAGCCGTAGAACATGGCCGTGATGACGGCGGTGTAGTAGTACAGCACGAAGCGCGGAATGCCGCACAGCACCAGCTGGAATACCACCTGGATTAGGATGAATGCGAACTGTGTCATCTGCATCACCGTGATGGCCTTCTTGACGGGTGTCAGGGTCCGAACGAAGTCCTTGTCGGCCACCGCCGCCACGAAGTAATAGGAATACATGCAGATGTGGACAATCGAGTTGAGGAAGACGCAGAAGTAGGCAGCTGTGCCTGCGGGTGGAGATCAGTTGCGCATTAATACACAGATAATGCCCCTCTGGCTCTGCTCACCGTTCTCATTGAAGTGCATCATCATGTACACCAGGGTCACCGTGGAGAAGTGATGGAAGATGTGCAGCTTGGAGACCTGATTTTGCTTCTTGCGCAGAACAAAAATCACGGTCTCTACTAGCTCGGAGAGCTTCAGCCAGAAGAGAAAGTGGGCCAGCTCGAAGTGGCGCCGCACGTGCTCTGGACTCTTGCCGAAATCCCTGCACTCCCAGAAGTACTGCACTGCGTAGTCTGTGATGAAGAACACCTGGCAATCAGGAGGGAGATCCTTCGAAATTAGATGATCCAGTTCAGTGTCAGTTTACCCACCTCATTGAGGACATATAGACAGGACACCACCTGGATCAAATTGTGCGCCATTATCAGTTTCTTGAGCTTGTATGCCTTTCGAAATTCCATAAACCTATAAATGAGCAAACGTATTAAAAGTGACAGCAAAGCGCCACCTCAGAATTGCAAATGCCGTTCACATTAGTAAGCCCCCCAGCCCCAATCAAGGGTTATCGCACTTACTGTGGACCCGCAACGGTGACAAAGTACAGATAGACCCCCAGCACGGCGACCATGAACCAGGGATCTGACATCAGAGCGGGATGCACCACCGCGGGCACTCGGCTAGCACCTGCAAATCGATGTGAGACATTGGCCCAATCCCGATCAATAGAGCCTCACTTGTTGCCGCCTCCATGTTGCTCCTTTCCTTGGGTTTCCTTGGTGCCTTTGGTCTCTCAGCTCCAGGGGGATCTTCCGTTGTGTCGCTCCTCAGCGCTGCCGCACTTCTAAATGCGAGCCGTACCGCGACCATTGCTTTTATTCCACACCCAGGCACCGATTTGAATTCATTAATTAAGACGTCAGCTCGACCTGACACCTAATTCCAATGGCTTTTCGCTATCTGTGTCTCTCTGTTTTCCAGTCGAAGGAGAAGATGATGAAAGGCGTGAGGCGGGGCTGTGTGCGCTTGAAGGATGCCCTGATCGGGATAGATGACCAGGAGGATAACACTTTCACCATCACCGTGGATCACAAGACCTTCCACTTTCAGGTGAGCAGCTAGCAGCTGGCATTTGAAAAACAAATATCTGGAATAAAGAGAAATTTAAAGTCAATTCTTCGGAAACAAAACAATAAGAAAGGAAGCTAACTACGGCACGCCGAAGTTTGTATACCCTTGCAGTTTTTAATTGGATCATTAACAATCGATCCAAAACTAAGACTAAACATTTATACATAACATACATTTTTGGTTATATTAAAATTTCAAGAACAATATTTTTAAATCCTAAAAAACAATATTTAGGTTAAGAAATATTTACTATAATTTAAATTTAAATTATACAAGCTGAACAAAAACAAAGTAGTATCAACTTTCAACTATATTTACCTATACAATTATTTACAGTTTTACATTCACAGCTATACATTTTTGTCTACCGATAGTTCCTTTGGCAGCTATACGATATAGTCAACCGATTTTCATAAAATGAAAACTAATATTCTTAAATATTAGAAAGTGGCAGTATCTCAAAGTATATGCAAATATGTTAAAAAAAAGCGAAGTTTTAATTTTTTCTAAATATTTTCCGATCGTTTCTATGGCATCTATTTCAAATAGTCGGCCGATCCGCCCCGCTCTGATAAAAATATGAGTGAGAGCAGTAAGAAGACATCTGCAAGATTTCATTCAACTTCAAAACTGATAAAGTGGTTTGCTTTGAAATGAAAATGTCTAGATCGACTTCGCTGTTGATGCTGATCAACAACAAAATATACTTTAAATGTCCTTTTGCGTTGCAAAACTTCTCACAAGAATTAAAATACCCTGCACGGGTATAAAAACTATTTTTCGAATTCGGTAAAATATAAACCCAATTGTACCAACAAAAGAACATCCAAAATATTTAAACATGCACGCGCACAAATTCAAATTTAGGACCCTAGCACCTCTAATAAAATTAAAGCAGAGAATAAATTTTTACGCACTCTAGAAGCTTTGCGTTAAAACAATCATCTCTATCATTGATCTATTGCCTTAACTGAAGAGTATTTAAGTTCTTAACCTTTTTTGGCGTCATATATTTGCAAGTAAGATGTCATTATATACTTAAGACTACTTATAAAAAGTCAAAGCAAACGGAATGGTTAATTTAGTTTACTTAATTTGAACTTACTGCGTGATCAACAAATGCATAAACCCATTCATTGGCCACATGAAAAACTTTGTATTAAGTTGTGCGCGTTTCCGGTCATTGGCGACACGTGAGCCCGGCCTGGCAGGCAGGGTATCCGGCCAGCGACCTAGAAACCTCTGTCTGGCCCTCACGTTCCCTCCTTTTGTTTGACTTTGCCTTGTTGCCTTGATGTAACGATAAAACTTTTTCCCAATACCAACTCACCAGAAACTTGCCAACTTTCTAAACGCTTGCAGGCGCGACACAGCGAGGAGCGAGAGCAGTGGGTTCGCCGACTGGAGGACACCATTCGTCGCCACGCGAATCGTTCGCGTCTGTGGGACACTGCGGCCGGAATCGGAGCCGGAGCCGCAGGAGGAGGCGGAGTCGGGGGCAGGCGACCCAACCACCTGGAGCTGCTGGCGCGTCGCGTCTCCGAGGCGGACGCCTACCTCCAGCTGATGATTGAGCAGACGGATGTGAGTGTGCTACCCGCTGTGTTATGCAGGCATATTATGCAATTTACCGTCACATTGGCTTCTTTCTCCATTTTATTTTCAGTTGCTGGACAAACGAATCGCGGAGCTGACCGATCCGACGGAGCAGGCCAAGTGCAAGGCGCTGCAGGACAACGCGAGTGTGAGTAGGGGGAATTAGAATCAGAAAAGTAGGGATATTAGTTCTTTGGCTCCGTGAGCCCGATCTCCAGGTGCAGCTCGTCGCGGAATTGGTTCGAGAGCCGCTCCATTTCGGTGTACGTCAGCCGCCAGTAGTTCGCGTCCACGGTAACAAAGCAAGCGGTGTCCTGGCAGTCATTAACCTGGCGAACACCTATCACGGTGCCGGTGCGGGCAGCGGCGTCTCTGCCGCACAGGCTGAGCGTGGCATTGAGCCGATGACAGTCACTAGGCGTCACCAGCCAGATGACGAAGATCGTATCCCTCTGGCTATCCGGCAGCTCGAATTTCTTGCTTTCCAGAACCGAAAGCGCCGCTGTTTGGCAGATGAGCACCACGACCGGGATGTGGGTCTCCAGGTGCGTGTGCTGGTCGGGCAGGAAGGCGTTGTAGAATTTCCGCCGACCCTGAGTCACTCCGAGCTGTTGCTCCAACTGGCCACCGTAGGCCAGCAGGCCCAGCACTTTGTTGACCCGCGAGACACAGCTCTGCGGCTGGAAGGAGAGCACCGCCCGCTCGCCCTCCAGCACCGACAGGCAATAGGAGTCCGCCTGGTTGTGGTCGCATAGGTAGTGTAGCAGCAACAGCTGGTTATCGATGCGCCGCTGGCAGTTGTGATAGACGCACTGGCTCTCCCCGTTGGCGACTTCCAGCTGGTCCGGCTTCTCGTCTGGGTCTTCTTTTTGAGGCTCACAAACTTCTGCCTCCAAAGGGGCCGGATCAATGGCGTTGAGCTCCCATAGCTGCTGCAGGCGCTCCTGTTGCTTGTGCAGCTTGTGCAACCCCGCCCGCAGGACCTCCATGTCCGCGTTGAGCTCTTCGCAGTTAGCATTCAAGCTCAAGTTCTTCAGCTGCTGCTCGAACTCCCGCTGCTCCTGGCGACGGGTCCTCTTGTAGGCCTCGAAGTGGACGAGCACGTCGTCGATGCTGTGCGAGCCAGGGTCGAGGAGCACCTTTTTCTCCATTCTAAACAGCACGGGGACAAAAAACAATCTATGAGCTAGAAATTTAGAGAGTCTAACGGCGAGACATTGAATCTGTTGTGCTCCCAACGGAGTCAACTCAAATTTCCAGGCCCTCTGGGCCTCCCAGCCATATCGATTTCCAATGCAAGTTCAGGGTTAGTCGGCGCCGGCGGCCAGATGCAAGAGCCTGAGAGAATGTTACTCGCCCAGCAGCTGACTCGGCAGCTGCTCACTTCCTCAGGCCACCTCGGCGAGGTCATGTCGAAGGTCTCGCCTTCGGTCGCGGCCAACTCTCTAATCCCCGTTCCCATTCCAGGCCATGTTGGATCACATCAAGCACTCGATTGTTAGCCTGCAGATTGCCAAGAACATGGCCCATCCCATTAATGGAATCTACAACGGGCCACCGGCCACTGCCTCGACCAGCTCCTCGGCCAGTGGAGCTGCCACCACGGGCAGCAACAACAACCTGCAGTCGGGTGGACTCAAGGTGCCCCTGGAGGGCCTTGTGACTGTCATCGGTAAGGGCGAGCCCGGCGACGATGAGGACGATTCGGCCACTGAAAACGGTGAGTGCTCTCGGGCCTGGTTATCTGCGATAGGTAGCCAGTCCAGGGTCAAAAGGCTAATCGAATGTTCACCTCTAATCTGGGCAGCCACCACCGCTCCGCTGGGCCTGGTTGTGCCGGAGACCTCCTATTCGAGCAGCGAGGGCGAGGAGGACTTCTACGATGCCTACGACGATCCCTTCACCAGCCTTGGCAGCTCCCCGATTGGCTGGTAAGTGGACCACTTGCCACATGTACACCTAAGTAGCTGAAACCAAGGCGGGCCACTTGACCAAGTGTGCCGACTGGCCATCAATCACAGATGCGATGCGACAGCCGGCAAGCGTGCTGGTCGTTCTAAAATTACGCATTCATTGCCCCCAGTCCCCACTGACGCCGCCGCTGCTCCATGGCCTCATCCCGCTGCGGTGCTGGAGAGGCGCATGCGCCTGGGCAGCGCATGCAAAATGCAGTGCCCGAAGTTCGTGACAGTCGCAGTTTTCGGGGGGAGACAGCCAGTAATTTCGGCCAAGTCGCGTGTAAATAATAAATACAGGACCTCCTCCGCCTGCCCCGACTTCCATCGAGCTCTTGCTGGCACAGCTGACACGGCGGCAAGTTCGCGTTGCCATCGTCGTCGGCTCTTCGCTTCGTCATCCGTCGTCCTAGTCGTAGTTCAAGTCGCCATTGTGTGTGCCTGTCAGTTGTAGTTTTGTTCGTCATCGACTCGCAGTGTCAGAGCGCTGCGCTCGTTAGGGTGCAACGTGGCCCCCAGCCCAGTCCTCGTTTTACTTGGTTTTCCAAGCGGCTTTCGCTTGCTCGGTGCTTCCGCTGCTGAAGTTATGCAGCTGCCTGGAGAGCAGCTGCAGTAAAGCTTGCATCCAGTCAGCCTCCCCCAAGCCATGTTCAAGAAGTGGGTGCGACGTGTGAGCCTGAGGTGAGCAAGTGTGCCTTTGTGTGTGTGTATGTGTGTGTGTCCCAGGTCGCCGTAAGTGTTTTTCTTCATAAATTGTAAATGAAGCACAAGCAACAGTGAGGAAAACTCGCAGCTGTAAAAAGAGGAAGAGGAGGATGAGGCTGTGGAGGCTGCGGAAGCTGTTGTTAGTCCCCAGTGACGCACTCGCACAGGCACAGGCTGACATCACACTGGGGGATTTATGTTCTGGCATTACTTATGCCCAGACACCGCACGAATCCTAATCCTAATCAACAAGTCCTGATTTCGCTTCCTTCGCAGCACAACGCGCGGCTTCGCGGAAACCACATCGCCCACCCACGAAAAGGGACAGGATGGCTTCGCCAATGCCGAGGCCTTGCCACCGACTGAATCGGTTGCACCCCAGTCGCTGCCCGAGATCGAGGAGAGTCTGGCCGATGCGGATGTCAGCATTAAGACGGCCAGAACCGCAGCGAGCTCCCGCAGTGCCAGCTACGACAACGGAATCGACTATGACGCCCTTTACGAGGAAGAGGAGGACACGGACCTCAGCATGGAGGCTCATGGCTCGATGATCACGCACTTGTTGTCGCAGGTGAAGATTGGCATGGACCTAACCAAGGTGGTGCTGCCCACCTTCATCCTGGAGCGCCGCTCCCTGCTGGAGATGTACGCCGATTACTTTGCCCATCCGGACCTGTTTGTGAAGTGGGTAACGATCGAGCGGGTGCGAGAATCTGGCTCATCTTCCTCTTAATCCCCAGAATCTCGGAGTTGGACGATCCACGCGATAGAATCGTCCAGGTCTGCCGCTGGTATATGAGTGCCTACCATGCTGGCCGCAAGAGCGCGGTGGCCAAGAAGCCGTATAATCCCATCCTGGGTGAAGTCTTTCAGTGCCATTGGGACCTTCCGGGTGAGCATGAGGCAGTGGTGGTGACTTTGGACTTTGGTTTTTTATAATACCTGTAATTCCAGGCGAGACCCATGATGCCCAGGAGGTGCGCGATGGCCCCGTGCCTTGGTGCCGGCGGGATCAACTCACCTTTTTAGCGGAACAGGTGTCGCACCATCCGCCAAGTAAAGAAAATCAAAGCTATTTGTGCGAGTGATTCTTATTTCTACATATATTTCAGTTTCTGCCTTCTACGCGGAGCACTACAACAAGAAGATCACGTTCGCTGCTCATGTTTGGACCAAATCCAAGTTCTTGGGCCTCTCGATTGGCGTGCACAACATCGGCGAGGGCGTGGTCACTCTGGTGGATCGCAGCGAGGAATACATAGTGACCTTTCCCAATGGTTATGGCAGGTAAGGATGAAACCTCCCATCTTCAGAGTCCTTAATCTCAATGTGTCATCCTTTGATCCTGGGGCAGGTCCATTTTAACGGTGCCTTGGATTGAGCTGGGCGGCTCGGTGGAGATCAAGTGCCCGCAGACGGGCTACTATGCCAACGTGGAGTTCCTCACGAAGCCCTTCTACGGTGGCAAGCGCAACAAGGTCTCGGCCGAGGTGACTGACTATCACAAGCTCCTAACTTCACACTACTAACTTGGAAATATATCTGCAGGTCTATGCGCCCAGCGAGAAGAAGCCCTTCGTCTCGATTGCCGGCGAGTGGAGCGGCCTGATGGAGGCCAAGTGGCACGACAAGAATGTAAGTAGCCCCGTAACGCTTTGCATATTGTAGGTAGTTAATGTTACCGTAAATGTTGAACCTTTTCGTATACTTCTTCCTCCGAACGCTGCCACAATAACAACCCCATGAGTGTGGGCAGCCACATCCTCTATAACCACCACTACACAGCATCCCACCACCTCAGCCTCTACTTACTATCCACGATTCTTCTGCTTTTCTCTTAAATAGTTTTGGGAGCATTTCCTCTGTGTGTTTACTTTGTTTGTCTAGAAAATCGAACCCAACCCTACCCATTTGCCTGTCTGTCCAGTAAATTAATGGTTGCCACCTAATATACGATTGATTGTTGTGCGTTCTGTGAACTAGACCTCAGTTAGACCGAAACCCAATCATGAATGAATCTCTTGAACTTTCTAGAAAACCGAAGTATTCGTCGACGTAAATCGCATACCCATATTTAAGAAACAAGTTCGACCAATCGTTGAGCAGGATGAGTACGAATCGCGACGAGTCTGGAAGGAAGTGACAGCGGGACTCAAGTAAACAGCTCACCGAGCACACTTATCTCCTCTGACCCCCGATCCTGAGATGCGGAATAATCTGATCTTTCTTTCGTTCGTTGCTCTCCCTCAGGTTCAACGACATCGAGCGAGCCACCAATGCCAAATTTGTGGTGGAGCAGCACCAGCGCGACCAGGCAAAGGTGCGCAAGGAGTACGACCTGGCCTGGGAGCACAAGGTAAGCCGTATCCTCTGCTGTCCGTGTGGCTAGTAAAACCGTTTCCCTCGCAGCACTTCAAGCCTGTGGGCGACAACTGGATCTACGCCAAGCCGCTGAGCCAGCGCATGTATCTGCAGGAGAAGGAGGCCAAGAGATAATGCCAGCAACTGCGTCTATATACATATATATGGATCATATCAAGAACGAGCCTCAACAATATGTTTATTAATTCCACAAGTGCGCAAACCCCTGAACACTGACGATACAACGTAACGAATGCAGGAAACGTAAAGAAACGCAAGCAAAGTAAAAGACGTCAGCGTCCGTTTATTAATTGTAAATAATATACACACGAATATCCAGGAAGGGCTCTGCTCATAAGGTTGCAACGCGAGTCGAGCAAGAACACTCACAGTTTCTACACACAATTAACGATGATTATTATTATTTACTTCTAAGTACTAGTGTGTTTCAAAGGCAATCGCAGTAAGCTGCAAAACAACACGGATGAACACCTATTCAAAATACCTTTTACATAACTAACTAACATCTAAACTAGCAACAAGGATAAGGAAGGATAAGCGGCACACATAATGGGATATATCAAAAGTTGTAGATTACAAAGTGAATAGTGATTTAAGGATAGAAACTCTATTTTTGAAATAAAGACTCTGCTATAGACGAAATACAATACCGAGACGCGCGTATCTGACGGATGAATAGGATACTGCCTTTAACGCTTGTTCCCAACACCCCAAGACACACACACACGGTGCACAACGATTGATCCGATCGCATAGCTCTTAAATCAAATACAATTACACGTTTAGTATTATGTTTCGAATTCTACAAATGTCACAAACGAGAATAAAGCTTTACTAACAAATCCGCCACAAGTCCCGCAGAAACCCACACTATACCTATACTATATACTGTAATAAATAGCAAACAAAAAAGCCACAAACCAACTCTTTAAGCCAATCAAAGACGCAACAGCCTTTAAATTTAGTTTACAATCTACAAGACAGACACTACACCCACTGCAAAGCTACCAAATACTCTCACTCAAAGTTAACGCAAATGAAACGAAAAAAGTAAATACGCTTCGATATTTATTTAAAGTAAATATTTAACGAACTAGATAACCCGTAGACTAAACAAAACTAGATTCCCCGGAGAAATGGGCGCCTGTAGCCACCCACAGACCTTGTATATATTTTTTCGAATTCCTTTTTAACCAACGTGTTAAACGAGAAATAGAGCAAAATACCCCAACAATTGATTGTAATGGAGCCCAGATACGATTATTGCAAAAATAAAGCGATTTGTTCTTACAGCAAGCTAATGTTTTATTAATGAGATCAAATATTAAGTAAATCAAAGCCTTTCCAAATTCAAATCCCAACTACCCTTAATCGAAATCGACATCGGCAATCGATAACTTCCACCCCCTTGGAATCGGCAAAAATCCCTCATTTTAATCGCATTGACGCGGTCTGGTCACTCCAATTGACGTGGCCTCAAAATTTTTTGTTCTCTGAAAATGCAAAAAAGTTTGCATTTCTTAATAATATAATTAAGATACATAACGCCCGCCCCAGAGCATCCGTCGAAACCGGGCAGTGTTCGAAGCCATCCGGAGCACGCGAAGAGTGCCAGAACAAGAGTTAGGGCGACGAGTTCCGAGCGGAGAGAGTGACGAAAAGTGCCGTGAAAATCGTTTAATTCCCGTTTTCGGAGCAAGTTACCTTCCAGGAACTGAAGCCAGTCCCCAGGAAAAGTGTCCAGCCAGCAGATCCAGAAGCTCGCGCGTGTGTTTTCACTAAAAGAAAAGCGAAAAGGCCCGCAGTCAACGTGCGCCCGCAGCAAAATCGCCAATCAAGGGCGGAAGAAGAAGAGCAACTACAAAGTGCAAGTGCTGGTGGTCGGTCAAGAGCTACACAGTGTACATGCCACTGGAGACTGCTCCGAAAGGTGATAAGTGATTATTTGATATGGAGTCTACGCTCGATACGGCTTAATAGCAACTAATTGGCCTCAGTGAGGGCGGGCAGCAGGAGAGGGCTGGGTCTGACTCCCTACAACGTCATCAAAAATTCGCTTTGTTATCTGGTGGGGGGGCCCTGAGTCAGAGGCAGAGGAGACAGCAGTTCCTTCCTGCTTCCGCAGCCAACTGGGTCAAAGGCACCCCCGCCCAGTTGGCCTTTGGCTCACCCATTAGCGATCGCTTCTGCTGACGAGGTCAAGCACATCGTGCGCACACACACACGCACCGCAGTCTGTGCTCTCCGGAGCTCTTGAGGCTGAGCCCACCAATTGGCTGCTGTCGAAGCTGTTTAAACAGCCGAATGTGATACAATTCCAGCTTATTTCCGACTTACTGTTGACGTAGACAACGGCGCACACACTTCTGTAAACATTTGCCAAACGTATTTGCATATGTATGTACCTTTGTGACGGAGGCGATAGCTTCCACATTCCACTCGATACGCGTGCAATTACCTGCCCCCAAGACTGATCTGGGGCAGGGTTATCAGATGTACGTTCGGCTCAGCACCTTCCGCGGGGCGTCGCGCATGTAACTCGTATTTCGGCATTGAACGATAAGATAAAACTTAAATTTTAGTGTCGAATGTCGGCAGCAACCTTCGGGTGATAAGATAGCGTCTAACCTAAACCTTACTCTCCATCTTTTCAGAACGCAAGCATATGAATTAGCAGCATGTCGGCATACAACCCAAACTTTGTGCCTCCCGCCCATGCGCCGGTCCCTTTGAACGGCAACAATCTGGTGAACGGTCTGCCAGGAGCAGGCCAACAGCAGCACCCGCAGCCACCTCCATCAGCAGCGCAACAGTATCTAGCGCAAAAGCAACCACAGCAGTTCCAGCAGGCGCCACCGGCAGCAGGAGCTTATCCAGGAGCAGCAGCCAACAAGTTCTTGCCACCCACGTCCGCTGTTGTTGGTGGTCCTCCTCCTTTGCAATTGCCACCCAGTACGGTGCCACCAAGCACGTTGCCGCCTCATCTGCGTCCGCCTCCGACCACCAATGCCAATGTCAACGGACCCATCACCAATGGCAGCAATGGAGCGTCTAGCGCCAACTCCTCGCGAACAGCGTCACCACGGCCAATGGGAGCACAGCCACAACAACAACCATATGGCCAAGGACCTGTAGCTGCAGCGTTAGGCAACCCACCGCGCGCATCTCCCCTACCAACCAGCCAACAACAACAACCAGCTGTGGCCAATCTGACGAACAGCATGCAGAATCTAAACTTGATCCCGAATCGGACTAATGGAGCTACTGGCAGTGGGTCGGCGTTGCCTCCCCAGCAACAGTATCCGCAGCAAAAGGATTACAGGAGCTTGGGCGTAGCTATGGCCCAGGCGCGTCCACCTCAGTTCATCGATGATAAGGGAACGACCAGTGGAATAGCCCCAAACGTGATGCCATCGCCGTTTAGTGGACAGAAGCCGCCCAACTTGGGACCACTCCCGTCAAAGATGTTCGGAACTGCAGCGACACCCGACAGGCCTGCGCCACCGTTAGCTGGCCAGAGGGTTGCCTATGGAGTGCCGCCTCCGCCTAGCACTGAGCAGCAGAACCAGCAGAACAACAATCCGCAGAAAGCGGCGCCCCCTCCGGGAACTGCTTGGCCAGCAGGAATTCAATCCCCTCAGTCTCCTCCAACGCAGCAGGTCCAGCAGCCGAGCCCCTACGCTCAGGCTTATCCTCCCCCTCTGCAGCAGCAGCCACTGCCTCCTGCAGTGCAGCCTCCGCCGCCGGGAATGTTCGGAACGCAGCCCACAGGAGCACCACTGCAGTATCAGGCCCAGGCGCCACCCCAAGCCTATGGACAACAACAACTACCAGTACAGCCACAGCTCGCAGGACCAGCAGCGTTTGGCTCTCCCGCTCCGCTGAACGTGGCCCAGCAGGGATTCAGCCGTCTGTGGGGACAGGACACCATCGACCTGATGCAAAACCGGCATATCCTGTCACCGGCAACGCTTCCGCCGCCAAAGGTTGTGCTGCACAACCAGTTCCACGAGTCCATAAACTGCAGCCCGAGCATAATGCGCTGCACGCTCACCAAGATCCCCGAGAGCAACTCACTGCTGCAGAAGTCGCGCCTGCCACTTGGCATTGTGATTCATCCCTTCCGCGATGTGAATGTAAGTCCAGGATGGCGAATACTCATCTGAATCTTGCTAACGAACGATCTTCCACAGAGCCTGCCCGTGATTCAGTGCATCAACATTGTGCGTTGCCGCCTGTGCCGCACCTACATCAATCCCTTTGTTTATTTTGTGGACAGCAAAATGTGGAAGTGCAATCTGTGCTATCGCGTCAACGAACGTAAGTCACTGGAGGAATAATAGGCAATTAAATCAGAACAAATGAATAATTCCTTGCCCTTGCAGTGCCGGATGATTTCCAATTCGATCCGGCCACGAAAACGTACGGAGACGTGACCCGTCGGCCCGAGGTGCGCTCCAGCACCATTGAGTTCATCGCCCCCTCGGAGTACATGCTGCGTCCGCCGCAGCCAGCCATGTACCTGTTCCTCTTCGATGTCTCGATCATTGCGCAGCAGAGCGGCTATCTGGAGGCCGCCTGCGCGGTACTCAACCGGCACCTGGACGAGATGCCGGGCGATGCCCGCACCCAGGTGGGCTTCATCTGCTTCGACAGCTTCGTGCACTTCTACAGCATGGCAGAGGGTCTCAACCAGCCGCATGAGATGACTTTGCTGGACATCGAGGACCCCTTCCTGCCGCGTCCGGACAGTCTGCTGGTGAATCTGAAGGAATGCAAGGAGCTGGTGCGAGACCTACTCAAGCAGCTGCCCAAGCGATTTGCCCACACCCACGATCCGGGCTCCGCCTTGGGAGCTGCTCTGCAGGTAGCCTTCAAGCTAATGGTGAGTGACCTGCCTGGGGAATGTAAATGTAAAAGAGAAACTAAAGCGAAAGCTCAAATCTTTGCAGCAAGCTTCTGGCGGCCGCATCACCGTCTTTCAATCGTGCCTTCCCAACAAGGGACCTGGAGCCCTGGAGCCACGCGAGGATCCCAACAACCGCTCGGCCAAGGACGTGGCCCACCTGAATCCGGCCACCGATTTCTACAAGCGCTTTGCTCTGGAGTGCTCTGGCTACCAGGTAGCCTGCGACCTCTTCCTGATGAACCAGCAGTACAGCGACATGGCCACCATCTGTGAGTAGCCCAGAATACCCAGTAACCCCTCATCTCAAGCATATTTTCTACCTTGCAGCTGGCATCAGTAAGCACAGCGGCGGCTGCGTGCACCACTTCCCGCTGTACCAGAAGACCAAGCCGCACATGGTGGACTCGTTCCGGACGTGCTTCAAGCGCTACCTGACCCGCAAGATCGGCTTTGAGGCGGTGATGCGGATCCGATGCACGCGCGGATTGCAGGTGCACACATTCCACGGCAACTTCTTTGTGCGCTCCACGGATCTGCTGTCTCTGCCGAACGTGAATCCAGATGCCGGCTACGGCATGCAGATCTCCTACGACGAGAGCCTCACGGACGTGAAGACGATCTGCTTCCAAGCGGCGCTCCTGTACACCAACAGCGAGGGAGAGCGCAGGATAAGGGTGCACACGGTGTGCCTGCCGGTGACTGCTTCTCTGCCAGAGGTTATGCACTCGGCGGATACGGAGGCCATTGTGGGGCTACTATCCAAAATGGCAGTGGATCGTTCGGTGGCCTCCAACTTGTCGGACGCCCGAGACGCCTTCATCAACGCCACGATTGACGTGTTCAACTCGTTCAAGATTGCACAAAATCTGCCCTCCGGCCAATCTGGTCAGCTTATAGCGCCGCGCAGCCTGGCCTTGCTGCCCCTCTATATCCTCGGGCTGCTCAAGCATGTGAGTTCAGAAAATATTCGAAATTCGGAGGAGATCTCTCTTAAACAATCCTTCCCTGTAGCCCGCATTCCGCGTGGGCACCAGTACGCGGCTGGATGATCGGGTCTTCGCCATGGACTGCATGAAGACGCTGCCGCTGGACCAGCTGATGAAGTACGTCTACCCGGAGCTGTACAAGATCGATGCTTTGATCTACCACGCCCGCAATTCGAACAGTAGTACGACGCAAGACGACGACGAGGAGGAGGACGAGCCGCTACCGGAGCTGCCGCGCCTGCAGCTATCAGCGGAGCAGTAAGTTCTGGTCATCCCAGAAGCCCATTCGGATAACTGAAAGATTTCACTTACAGCCTGGACTCCCGATCGATATTTCTGATGGACTGCGGCACGCTGATAATGCTCTACGTCGGACTTAATGTGCCGTCAGATGTCTTGGAGACGGTGCTGGGTAAGTCAGTGGAACCTCTGGCCAGATCACCACTTACATTTTCATTCAATTTCAGGCATCAGCTCCACCGCAGAGCTGGGCGACTATGTATACGGATTGCCAAATGTGGTGAGCAACGAGAACGACGTGCTGAAGCGCTTTATTTTGCGACTCAACTACGACAAGCCCTACTCGGCCCTGGTGCAGATAATAAGGTAAGCTGCAAAGAGCTTCGAAGTGGGGGGTCAACTTATTCTCAATTTTCCCTTTCCGAATCCACAGGGACACGAGCACGGCCAAGGGCCAGTTCATCGAGAGATTATCCGACGATCGCAATGATTCTAGTTTGTCATACTATGAATTTTTGCAACACATTCGGGCTCAGGTTAAATAGTACATAAGCAGGGAATCCCCAACCACTATTGTATGCAACATAAGTATGAGTTTCTCAGAACGTATAAGGCTCCGAGACTCTGGTGACTAGAAGCGAGAAGCAGATGCAGGCGAACACTGTGGAGACGGAGACCGAGACCGAGACGAGACCCTTACCCTTTCCCCACTCTACTCGCGGCTTAGGTAGTAATTTTAAAGTGCATGTATTTATTTATTTGTTGATTTATTGCACTAAAAATAAAACTAAATCAATTAAAGAAGGCAGTTGTCACAAGCGAAACTAGATATCGTTGCCAGTAGGAATTGCGCGAAGAACACACATTAGTCAAAGTCCCGCTAGCCAACCAACCAAGCCAACCAGTCAGTAGAGCTCCCAGGCAAGCGGATTGCACTGTTATTTATTATAGCTATGTTAAACGCAATAAACTGAACGAAATATACACTATTGTAAATTATAATTTAACGCGACTTCTTTTCGTTCCAACTGCGGCTTAGTAGAGCATTCTGCTAACCAAAGACCTTACAATAATAAGATGAGTAAAGCCCAAGGAGTTTTTGTTGAAAACGAGAAAGCGCTCTAGAGCCAGATTTTAAGCGGTCTATTTACGTGCATATTGCAATTCAACTGTGGGGACGTCATGCATCTTGTTAGTATAAGGTCTTTGCACCTACTCTCATTGTTATCGCTTGTTCCCCCAACACCTTATGTTTTGCTGTTATCAGTAGTATTTATTTTCGGAATATCCAGATGAAACACATTCATAATAGTCTATTACTTTTAAGTCGGTACGCGACACTGTAGTTAGTGAACTTATTTTTCAAACGAATGTGTACGGGAACAGATTTGGTATTGTGTATTGCATTGATGGGACACGGACTGCTTGAAAGTGAATGTATTAAGCTTAGAAGGATTATTGTACTGTATCAATAAAGAGACCCCCCAACCCTCTACAACCCCAGACGAAGCAAACTAATCGAGAAAACCATATATACATATATGTACTATACTTTATACACATACGAGAGTGCATCAAGATATAAAGCGAAATACATTTTAATTAAATCATAAGGCAACGGGTTTTATTTACACATTCGTTGTGCTGTCGGAGAATCACTCGGTGATCAACTCCCGAAGCTAATCGCAATACTGGCTAATGCTTGGGAAATGGCTTAATAGGAGAAAATATATATACCAGTTGGATAAGTCATCACCAGAAGGTGCCGACTCCGTCCAGGCCAAGATCTCTGAAAAATAATAAGTTTCACTTTGGGGAAATCTCACATTTCGAAGACATTCTGAACTCACGGATTAAAGAAGGGCGAGCGTGGTGGATACTTCCGCTTTGGGGGTGGACATAAGACTGAATTATCCTCATCGTCGTTGGTCAAGTCTTCATGGCTTTGGTAGGGCTTCGCGCACGCCGAGTACATCTCCGCTGGACGGTAACCCTCGCTCGAGTGCTCGATCTTTACATGCACATTCAGATAGTCCTGCAGGAGGAAAACCTTATCGCACAACTGGCACTGGAACTGGCCCTCGTCGGTGTTAGTTACATGAGCCTCATGGTACCGATTGTAGTGCTGGTGCAGCTCCAGCGGCGATCGCATCCCACGTCCGCAGATGTCACAGATGTGGCTCCTGTCTACCGGCTGCGGAAAGTGGACGATCAGGTGGTCCTGCAGTTTCTCGGCAGAGCCGAAAGTCTGCTCGCACAACAGGCACGACAGGCTGATCCAGGAGAACTCGCACATCCCTGAGTCCATTTCTGGTGGCTGAAATAGAGGAAAGAAAACAATATCGCGTTAAAACGTACATATTTAGATTAAATTAAGGAATGATATTTGATATCTGAAGATATTTAATAATATATTTATGTGTACACTTTTCACGATTTTATATTATTCTTATAGATTCCTGTCCGGAATTTTGTAACATCAATTAGCGGCATAATGTGTATGTATGTATGTGTATGCATACTATCATAATTTCACACGACCTTGCATTTAAAAATATTCCCCTTTATTGTTCATTAATTAAGCATTAACGATCAATATACACAATAATCTTAATTATTAAATGTATTTAAAGCACAATCTAGAAAATAACTACCATTTTATTGGCTGGTATGTTGGCTTCTTCCGTTAATTCTGTTTGTTTTCTTAGTGCAGGTGCCTAACTAAGCCCTGAGAAATCGACAACCGCTCGTCTTGGTTCTTGGTTGAAATTTAAATTAATTTCTACACTATACGAGTTATATTTCCAAGACTGACTTTGCGCGCTCTCTTTTTATGTTCTCACTGTGTTTCCCTCTCCGCTATGAACAAAATAGAGAGGGTGGCAAGGGATCAGAGATGCACTTTCAGCTGTATTTTAGCTATTATTTCGAACGGGAAAAATTCTTGGGTCATTGCATGCTGGGCGGGGCTGTAAATCCTCAATATTTACACTCTTGAACAGGTAGTTAGACTTATGTACGTACATACATACATACAATCGTGGACATAAGTATTTTGACACAGATTATGGCTATATTCCAGCGCGTGTCTCTTTGTACTCGTACAAGTTACGGGATCCATTTCACTTTCCAGTAAGAGATTATATTTAAAACTTTAATAGCGTAAAAGATGTTACTGATAAGTAAATTAACTTCTTTGCTAAGTCACGTGATGTGAGAGATCATGCATTTTTGGGTGGCCAAAAATATTTTGACATTGCATTCAATCAGTTCTCATTTGTTTCGTGTGCGTTAAAAACAGTTTATTGTTATTTATAACTCCAGCTTATAAATCTTTTAGCAGCTTTAAAAACATTTTTTGTCAATTTTCCTAATTTCTGTACCGTTATTTAATGAAAATATGGGTAAAACACGGGAGCTAAGCCAAATCCAGCAAAACAAAATAGTAATTAAGTACCACCCAGGTATTTCGGTCCAAAACCTCAGCATATTTTATAAAGTACCCCGACAAGCCATTTACTACCAAATAAACAAACATAAACTGACAATTTCGACGGATAATTTAGTCAAAAAAAGGGCGACCACGCAAGACTACGCCAAGACAAGATCGTCTAATCCTTTTAAAATTTAAAGATAATGTCGTTATTATACCTAAAGCAGCTTCAATGGAAGTTCAAAACGATAATGATTTTTAAATTAGTAGAAAAACAGTTGAAAGAAGAGTTAAAAAGGCTAACTTTGCTACTTTGTGGCCCGTCAGATACCTTTCATTTCACCTAAAAATGAGTTGAAACGATTAGCCGATTAGGCCGCACTTTCTTGCGAATATTTTTTGGTAATCTGCAGTAAATTTCTTTGTTTTAACCATGGTACTCAAAAGGACTCTCATCGGTCCACAAAATTTGTTCCCAAAACGATTGAGGCTGTTAACAAATGATTTGGCAAAGGCTAATCGTTTCAACTCATTTTTAGGTGAAATGAAAGGTATCTGACGGGCCACAAAGTAGCAAAGTTAGCCTTTTTAACTCTTCTTTCAACTGTTTTTCTACTAATTTAAAAATCATTATCGTTTTGAACTTCCATTGAAGCTGCTTTAGGTATAATAACGACATTATCTTTAAATTTTAAAAGGATTAGACGATCTTGTCTTGGCGTAGTCTTGCGTGGTCGCCCTTTTTTTGACTAAATTATCCGTCGAAATTGTCAGTTTATGTTTGTTTATTTGGTAGTAAATGGCTTGTCGGGGTACTTTATAAAATATGCTGAGGTTTTGGACCGAAATACCTGGGTGGTACTTAATTACTATTTTGTTTTGCTGGATTTGGCTTAGCTCCCGTGTTTTACCCATATTTTCATTAAATAACGGTACAGAAATTAGGAAAATTGACAAAAAAATGTTTTTAAAGCTGCTAAAAGATTTATAAGCTGGAGTTATAAATAACAATAAACTGTTTTTAACGCACACGAAACAAATGAGAACTGATTGAATGCAATGTCAAAATATTTTTGGCCACCCAAAAATGCATGATCTCTCACATCACGTGACTTAGCAAAGAAGTTAATTTACTTATCAGTAACATCTTTTACGCTATTAAAGTTTTAAATATAATCTCTTACTGGAAAGTGAAATGGATCCCGTAACTTGTACGAGTACAAAGAGACACGCGCTGGAATATAGCCATAATCTGTGTCAAAATACTTATGTCCACGATTGTACATAAATAGGTAGGGGCGTAGTCAAAAACAACCCTTACGAAAATTTGACACGAAATATCGTGTCTAGGAACGCCTATTTTTTAGATCTTTATGGGGAGCCGTTGTACATATGTACATATGTATGTATGTACATATATGTAAATACTATGTACACATGTATTCATCATAGTGAACAATTTGCAAACTGTGCCAAAGTAAATTTCCTTTCTTGTTTAATGTTTGCTTTTAAGATAAGAACCGTACCTAAGAACATACATACATACATATGTACATATGTACATCTTTACATAAATTCGATTTGTTGTTTTTTTTATTATAAAAACGTTTCCGTTATTATCTGAAGAAGCAGGATAACACATTTTTAACTAAAGCAACGCTTCAACATTAGAAACAAATATGTACGAATGTACACTCTTAATACATATGTACATACATACGAACATATGTATGTACATATATCGCCATATGTTCCCAAGTGTTTCCCATATTTTTGTATATTGATGGGATGGACGCCATTGATCAATATTTGCCAATACGTACATACATATGTACATATGTTTCCCAGCGATAAGGAACATGTGTGGGACAAACGACTGACAATTCACACTCCGCGGGGGTTCACATAATACGTCGAGGACTATATGTAAATATGTAAAGCAAGATTACCGATGTGAAGTACCCTTGTCTCGTTGTAAATCAAGAAAGGACGTAGTAGCAACGACTTTTTGCTTGGCCGACTGTGTATGTATCATATCTTTATTCTTATTCTCATTCTTTATGCTTAATTCTTATACATAAATATATATGTAAAATATATGTACAGATAAATATATACATACAGATGTACATAACGTACTTAATACATAGGAACCCGAGCAATTAACGGCTCGAATTTCTTAGCTGAGCTCATCGAAAATCGATCGTTATCTGTGTCATAAACATTATAGTCATCGCAGGGCTCGAACTCGATATCCAAAGTGCTGAGGCATCTAAACATTTTCCTTACGAAGCTGAATGTTTGTGTATTCATGAAATTATATACAGCTTTGAGTCCATTGCATGGGTCTTGAAAGTTTCATTTTATTGTGAAATCTTCAGAGAAGCGGACAGCTCTGCTGACATCCGCTGGAAGACGACGCTGATTTCATCCTGAATATTAGATATTCCTGAGATTGGCTTGGAGCTCCCTAGAAATAGGCATCACAGTCCAGCCAGAGATCGCTGAAAATAAAGAGAGAGTAGACAAGTCAGTGGGCCGTGGCGGCTGATAAGGCTTATCTGGGAACCTACGGGTTGAAGAATGGCGAGCGCATTGGGTACACTCTCTTTGGCTTTGCCGCGAAAGTAGACTCCAGCAGCTCGGACTGCTGACGTGGCGGATTCACATACTTTGCCGCCGGCTCTGTGGCCGGATTGTAGTTAGCGGCGGCGACAGCATTGAAGACTTTGGTGCTCCACACTTCCCGTCGCGTCCCCTCGGACGAAGATGGCGACGAGGGTCGTTCCGGCGAGGGTAGAGACTCCTCGACTGGTGACTCCTCGACTGGTGATTCAACTGTGGCCGGCGGTATGGTAGTCTCAGTAGCTTCGCTTCCACATATTCCGTGCTTGATCTTCATGTGCATCAGCAAGAAGGTGCGACGCTTGTACCGCTTTTTGCAGGTGGTGCACTTGAAGTGCTTTTGCACGTTTTTGCTGACCTCGTAGATGGGTGGATCCTCCATGAAGTGGAATCGACTCTGATGATACCTCACCGACTGGCGGGAACTCAGCCTCTTGCCGCACCACTCGCATTGGAAACGACCACTATGTCGTTCGTACGGGGTTTTGCTTGACTTCTGTAGAAGCTCCGGTGAAGTCGGCTTTAGCTGTTGGTTGGCTAACTGATGCTCCTCTGGGGATTGAGCTCGAGATTGTGCCTCTGGGAAGTTGCTTTCGTTGACCTCAATCGGCGATGGAACCGGCTGTTGGGGCTGATCCTTTGGATGCTCTTCTGAAAGTTGAGGTTGCTGCTCCTTTGGCATATGTCGATCCTGGGCTTCTATCGGCAGGACTGTGCATTGCAGCTCCATTGAGGGGGAAATGTGCAGTCGCTTTTCAATGGAGAACTGATTCTTCAGATGCTCATCTGGAAGTTGAGGTGGCTGCTCCTTTGGCATATGCCGATCCAGGGCTTCTATCGGCTTCTGCAGGACTATGCGTTGCAGTTCCATGGAGGGGGGAATGTGCAGATGCTTTTCGATGGAGAACTGATCCTCCAGATGCTCCTCTGAAGGTTGATGTGGCTGCTCCTTTGGCATATGTCTATCCATAGCTTCTGTCGGCTTCTGAAGAACTATTCGTTGAAGCTCAACTGGAGGTGGTGCCGGCTGCTGCATCATGAAATGAGGCTCATGGCGAAGCTCCATGGGTTGAGGTGGCTGCTCCGTTGGCCTATGTCTATCCATAGCTTCTGTCGGCTTCCGAAGAACTATTCGTTGAAGCTCAACTGGAGGTGGTGCCGGCTGCTGCACCATGAAATGAGGCTCATGGCGAAGCTTCATGGGTTGAGGTGGCTGCACCGTTGGCCTATGTCTATCCATAGCTTCTGTCGGCTTCTGAAGAACTATTCGTTGAAGCTCAACTGGAGGTGGTGCCGGCTGCTGCATCATGAAATGAGGCTCATGGCGAAGCTCCATGGGTGGCTGATATTGCGGAGGAATCGGCATCTTCTGGTAGCTGAACTGCTGTTCCATCATTTCCATCGGCGATTGGGGTGTCAGAGGAACTGACCTGAGCAGGCGTTGATGAATGGGATACTCCATTGGCTGTGGCTGATGGACGGGACAATGCCCTGGAAACTCCGGCATTTCTTGATGCAGTTGTATGGGAAACTGTATTGGTGGCTGATCCATTATCATTTGGTTGGGAATTGACATAGGTGGTTGAATGGGACCGGGACCTGGTATTGAGACCATTGGAGGAGGCTGCTGCTGGGGGAACTCCATGGGCCATGGAAGAAACGGCTGATACATCGGCTGAGTAGGCGGCTGCATCGGCGGCATTGCCGGATTCTGCGATGCCTGCTCCTGCGCCGTGTGCCAAGCGTGGATCTCAGCCGCGTGCTGCGTGAGGTGCTCCTTGAAGGTTTCGATGTCGTTGAAGGGCTGCTTGCACAGATAGCACGGTATACACAGCACGAATCCCGGCGGAACATTAAGCTGCCCGTTGCGGGTCAGAAGATCCGTGACCAGAGGCATCTCCGCAGCCTGATTCGGGGGCCAGCCATCGTCCGAGGGCGACTGCGGAGGTGTGGCCAGCGCCGACGGGACCTGGGTGTACATCCTGCGCGGAGCCAGGATAGATGCCACTGAATGGTTATCCATAGACTTTGATTCGATTATCTCCAAGTCACTGTCACTGTCACTGTCCCTATCCGACGGATGTGCTGCTGCGCTCTTGGGTTTTGCGAGAATTTTGACAACTTGTGGTGCTGTCGGATTGGATCTCAAAACTCAAAGACTCACCATGCTGTCCATATCCACTATAAATTCAGAACCAGAAAGCTAAGCTAGATCGAGAATCGGCGCACAACAGAACACGAGGTCACGGGCCCGGCGGTTGGAAGAAGAATGACCTGCAGGCCCCGTTTCGTTTGGTTTTATACTCCAACTGCGCGTGCGAGCGTTACGGCGTGACGATTGAGTGGGAAAGGGAGAGTGCGAGCCCTTATCTTTAGTCCCGCTATTTTCTCGGTCCTTTTTTCCTCCTTTTTTTTTTAGCTGTCGTGTGCGAGTGTGTGTGCATGCGCCGTCGTTGCTGCTTACTGTTCGACTTCCATCGCGAGACTGAAAATAAGAATTCGCTCGCCTTGGGTGATAAGACGGGACTAAATGGGTCTGTTTGTTCCCTGGGCTATTAGAAGCACAATCTTTTCCGAATGCTGAGCGAGCGCAGCTTAAGCAGATAAGATGTGAACTGCGATTAAACATTCATTAATGTTTCTATATTAATTCACCATGACAGTGTTCGTAAAGTACTTATTATATTGATTTATTGTATTCCGATCATTAAGGTACTCGTTCAGAAATTTGAAAAAAAAAAAACTGGAAAGGATATTTTTTGGCATGGCTTTCCCTTTTGTTATCTAGAAAGGATATTTATGGTCTTTTTTACCTCTTTGGATGTCAAGGGAAAACAGGTAAAAAGGGACATAAGTGACCAAAGTCATAAATGTGCCATTTTCTTTTAAAAAAGGATATCAAAGAAGAAAGGACACAAGGCGTCTGGGATGTCCTAATGAGGGTTCTTAGCGGGAAATAGTGAGATAAAAAAATCTCTGCATTGTAGGTGCTATTGTCTTGATAATGGACACCTTTTGACTTTGCGACCAAATGAGCCATTAAAACGAAGAGCCACACACATACATGCATATGTACTATATATACACTTCCACATATGTATATGTAAAAAATAACCCAGTCTTTATTAAAGGCTCTCTGCTTCTGTAAAAAAATTAACGAGACTTTAACGAAGGTCTGCTGTTGAAATCGAAAATCCTTTTTCTGCTCAGGTCTCTTAGTTATCGCCATTTCAAATATTCCATTTAATTGACCTTGGATAGTTGCGAACTCTGTCACCAATTGCTAAAAATAATTGTGGCTAATCGCCCCATCCGGTGCGAGCGGACGCTCATCTCAAAAAACAATTAATCCGCCATAAAAAAAAACGTCTTATCACCAAGCAAGCTTATTAATTTTTTAAATATTCATTTAGAAAGCGGCGGCTATTCATATTTCTCTTATCAGCTTCCCAGTTACAAAATTCCCAAATCGTAAAAGAAACAAAACAAATTCGACTTTCATATAATTGTTTACTTTGCATGTATAAATTTATTGCCCCAGAATTAGTTAATTGCTAAACACATCGTTATTTTCGCTTGGTTAATTGTTAATTTACCAAATTTTTGATTGTTTGCAGTCTTTCTTCTTTTTTTCGATAGCATTCGATTGGGATTAACAGAAAAAACACAAACTCTAGGATTGATTAATGCTGTTTTGCAGATTTGTTTAAAGATAATAGTAATATTCAGTAATAGCTGAGGGTGCACACACACGGTTTCATCCAATTTGTTACTCGACTAACTAACTAAGAATAGGATTACAGTTACGTATAGTAAAAACTACGGGATTGATTATACAGACTACGCACTTATACATATAGTAAAAGCTACTAGATTGATTATACAGACTACGCACTTATACAATGGCCGGTGCTTATCTATATTTACAATTCATATTTAAAATTCATATGTATTTATACATATATAAATATAATTACACCAATGTCAGGCAGTTTTCGCCCTCGATGCCTGAAATAATATCTATTTACATTACCGGATCTGAGGGAGCACTCTGCCTAATTTCTAATGAAACCTAAAATACCAGAACTAAAGCTAATTACGAGCTAGTGCTGGTGTCCGGGCGTTCGTCCTGGCCACCAGCCCCAATCCGTTTACAAGTAAAAGGTAAATGATCTCTTTAATGTTATGACTTGGTGCGTGCTTGTGAGTGGGTGTAGTATATCTACAAATCTGTGTGGTGCTGGTGGCGGCTGTCCTTCCGATTCTTCCCAATAGGAACATGAACGAGGGTTAATTATCTTCTAGCCGATGTGAGCGCGGTATGTGCGGTGAGTGCGAGTGAGCGGTTATTAAAATTAAAGATGGTTTTCAGTCAGTATCAGTTCACCCAGCGCGCCGTCATAGCTCTGAGTGCGCAGCATAACTTCTAGGATCGGCTGGTATTATGCAATTGCCCGCTGCTGCTGTTGAGCCGTGGATGCCTCTGAAAAAATAAGAAAAATACTAATTAGTTCCGGTTTCATTAACAAAAAGGAAAATCAAAAGACACAGAAAGCAATGAAGAACTAGAAACAATGTTAGGGTCAAGCCGCTGAAGTTAGTTTAATGGAAAACGCACGCAGAAACGGAACGAGAAAACACAGAAGAACCCAAACGTCGCACAATTTTGAGCATTCCACCTACCGGGAACTGGGTGCCAAAAGGATATTCAGTTTTCAGTTTTAAGTTATCTGTTTTTCAGATTCGTGTGTACGAGCGATCGCCCAGAGCAATGTCAGTGCACATGACCAGGCAGTCCGAGTTGAAGGACTCTACGTCTTTCTGCCCCCCGCTGCCCGGGGCACTTGACGATCGCATTTGTGCTTCCTGGTTGCCTGCCAAGATCAAACGGAAAAGGAGTGAGTCAAGAAGTAACAGATAAGAGAAGACGGTCTGATCTATGAAGCACCCCTAAGTGACTTTGTGCATCCTTGCTATCACCTTTCTCCTCTTTAGGGATACTTCGGTCATTGTCCTAGACACCGGCCAAGATCACACATGTTAACAATAAACTCAAGTAAGGCGCATAAGATATTCCCTCCATTTTCCCACAATTTGTGTGTGGACATTTCCAACCGTTTTGTAAGCGACACCACTTTGGCGTCATCCAGACGCACTTCCCTGGTCGTGTCTTTTCTTCTTATGCAATAAGCGTAAAAGATACCTTATACATATATACTATCCGATCAAAAATTAACCCCTAAGTCGTCGTACTTTAGAAACTGGTTCAGAGCTGCCTGAGGAAGGTATTAAGTGCACCTGTTCATGACCTGTAAGCTGTCTAATTTATTAGTTCCGTGTGTTTTAAATATATTTAAATATGCGCATAAATTTTATGCTATCCTCCAAGTGTTTATCAGTTAAATAGATAAACAATTACAGTGGTTGAAAGATCAATTTCATAGATAGATAGACGGAAGTAAAAACTCTTAAGCAATTTTACTTTTAAAAGAGACTTACCTTGAGATCCTCGCGAGGCTTCGAACTTGTCCTTGATGATGAAGCAGGCCGTGATCATGAAGAAAATGCCTCCCAAGACCTCCACGAAACTGGTGGAGAACAAGGCATACTGCAGTCCCTCAAATTTCTCAGCATCCGTGTACTAAAAAAAAAGAAAAAACAAAAAAAATTGTTTGCTGAAGTAATCTATATGACTAACATATCGGGTATATATTTACATCGGCTGCAGCTTTCATGGAATCGATGATACCGGTAGCGGTTGTACTGATCACAGCCGTGGCATTCTCCGCCACTTGGGACATACTCTGCATTTCCATCAGTCCGGAATCGCTGGGATTCTTATGCAGATGCTTCATAATGGCCTCTGATATCTACAAGTTCATTTTTATATCGATTATATCGCTTTTTTATCGCAATTAAATCGATTACTTACCGCTCCTACCAAATAAGGACTGCCGGCATCGCCAAGCGCATGCGAGATAAGAATCTGAAAGGCTTCAGCTGTGGAGCGACGCGTCGGAACTACCACATACTGTTTAATGAAATTAATGGGTTAAATAATGTTCAAAAGGACAAATAATTAGCGTTAAAAGAGTGCAACAGCAAAGCCAAAATTAAAAAGCGGAGCCACACCGATTATTAAGCTACGACTATCGATTACACCAAGCTGACAATACCTTCTTTTGGAGCTCCAATATATTAAATAATAAATAAATACATTTAAAAGGATGGCTCCTCCAAAAAGTATTCTACATTACATGTTAATTTTAATCAATTAATAAACAAAAAAATCAACGATTAATGCGTGTGTGTGTTAGTTTGTGCAGGTGTAGTTGTGTGGGTGCGCCTCTAGCCCATTTAAATTTGTTAAAAGCTCGCCAAAGATGGAGCCACTAAAGAATTTAGGGACAAAGAACCGTTCCCCCGTAAAAGAAAAATCAACATAGCATTGCACGCTCTCGGGTTCGTGTCCAAACCAAAGTGGGAACAGCTGACGGCGAGCCTGGCTGGGAACAGTTTGCTAGCAGCGGCGGCGGAACCTTGTTTTTCAAGTTACTTTTTTTTTTACTTTTAAATTAAATGTGCCAATATGTTGCTGAACTACTGAACTTTTAGGGCCACACATTAAGTTTTTACTGTTATAACTACAGGTGATTTGATGGGGGGTTGTGTGTGTGTGTGTGTGTGTGTAGTGTGTTTTGTGGGGCAAAAATTACGCAAAGCATTTATGATATTACAGCAAGCCTGTACACATAAGCATTTCCCCATAGCCTAGGTCGTCTATACTAAGTAATAAAACCTCCGATAACGGCTATCTCTAATCACGGTCGCTTATCGCCCGTCCAGTAATTAATATAGCGCCACGCAAGAGGGGCTCCTCCCTCTTCTTTTTCGGGTTAGATAATCGCACACCGAATTGCGATTGCTTATTTTTGTCACGGAATCGCTTTTTGCAATGGCAACACACCACACAAATGGCAACAAAAAATAGAAGCACACGCAAATCAAGTGCGTGGTAAAAGCAAAAAGAAATATAACAACTAAAAGAGGCGACAAAAAATAAAATGAAATACAAAGCAAGAAAGTAATGCATTGGCCCGCTACTACGTCTATGTATACTTGTGTGTACCGGCCTGGTCTCTGACGTACTGCCAATTTTAGAACATGCCACCCAATTTACGTGCGAGAGCTTCCTACGTCCACGGAGTGGATTATATGTCATATCCATTATCTAGCGCACATCAGCTGTTTGTAGAGCCTTCTTTCTATATCCATTCATGGAATATATAATCTTATCTGGACGGCTTTGTCAATTTTGATGATGTAGCATCAATAACATTTAATGTTGATTTCTAAATCCATTTATGGTATATATGTGCAATATTATCTAACATGTCTAGTATTTCATATAATGATATTGCATAGTTAAGAGTATTTTGTACCGACCTATTCTTTGTCTATCTTATCTAGAGGGTTTAAGTAGTATTGCATCACTTGGTGCATTTCTGTTGCAAGGTATCTTTATGAAATCAGGTTACATTATCATACAGAAATATTAATTATCTAATATCTAATTCAAGAAGGCGAATCCCATTCATCTTGGTTCAGTTGTTGTAAAGAAAAAATCAAAACACACCATGAATAATCCGTTTTTAGGTCATATCTCTACAGTCTTATGATTTGTGATTTGATCAGTTGTTCAAGTTAGGTCTCAAGAATCAAAACAAAATCCGCCAGACTTCGCCATGAATCACTAGCCTCTCCTCCCTTCGCTGTCTTATAATTCTCTTATCAAGGGCTTATCTCCCCAAAGGCGGACAAACGTGACGTGCCGCCAAAAGATAACCCTCGTGAATCCAATACGAGTATTTCGACACCTTGAGCTAGTGACTGAATAAGGGGAACTTGAGCTTTAATAAGGTTATGTGTACACGACACCCATTGGGGGTTCAGTGTTGAAATTTTTGGCACGCTGCAAGTGTTTCTTGGGGGTTGGACACTCCCCTTACTCCCCATAATAAAATGGGAGCAGAGGGATGAAAGTTACAGCGAGTAGTTGAAGCTCTACATAGATTACATTTACAAAAAAAGTTAATAAAGCGAAATGAGAGCCATCTTCCCCCTTGGGGAAGTAAAACTAAATTGTAAGTTATGATGTAAGAGGCGTATCTGTGAAGTTTCAGAACCTTAAGGCAGCTGAGAAACGGAAGTTGCAACTGCCCTCCAGTTCTGACTCTTCGTGAACCAAAAGCCACTCCCAAAATTAAATAAAGACAACCACAACATGGAGTATCGAATGACCATCACCAGTAAGAGATGCGGGTAAGAACAACACAAGAGTTAGAGGTTAGATTGTGGGTGCAGGGTGTGGTGTATGTGTATCTCTGGTTTTGTGCAGAGTGTTGAGTGTGTGACTAGTTATAACAGTAAAAAGTTAATGCTTAAACTAGGATTTCGTTGTGTATTTAATTACAGTTTACGTTTACGATATATATATACTCAAAACAATACGTGGGTGCAAAAGTTACAAAGCATAAATAAGGAGAACTCAGCGCAACTTGGCTTACCAGCAAAATGTCCGCAACAATAGCCCAATTCAAATTTAAAGCTAATTGCCCGAAAAAGATGAGTGAATAGGTTGCCGCCGTGCTACTGTTCACCAGCAGGACGGCTCCCGTCAGCAGTGGAGCACTCAGGAGCAGGCCAAAGGCGCAGATCACCGGATCTGCCGTGGGATACCGTTTGATCATGAACGTGGACAAGAACGAACCCAACGGCACGCCCAGCAGACCGGCCACCATGGTGATTAATCCAAAATTGAACGCAACACTAATTTGAAATTTCGAAGGGGGTACACATTCGGTTAGTCAATGCCAAAAAAGCTTTAGGAAACCCCTTGCCCTGCAGTGCAGCCTACTTGTTAAGATAATACGATCAAGATCACCAAATAGGTTGCCCTGCAGGACGGGGTTGTAACAAAATTTAACGAGCTTGGGGGTTAGGGCGAAAATTGGGGCTTAACAAGACAGAGGAAGCACCATTTAGAACGATTGTCGCAATGGTTCGATGGGTGTGCTATCGATAATCGAATTGGCTGTGGCTTTAAGCTTTTGTTTCTGCTGCTGCTCTGGATTCGGCGTCATCTTACCAGCAGGATATCGGCCACAATGGACCAGCACAGGTTGAGCGCCACCTGGGCCACGAAGACGAAGAAAAAGCACAGCATCTCCGGGCTCGACTGGGGCACCATGAGAGCAGCAAACACCATGGGTGCCGATACGAAGAGTCCTCCCGCACAGATGTACGGATCACAGTTCTCGTAGTGTCCTCGCAGGCGCTGAGCCAAGATGGAACCCATCGGCACTCCGATAAGGCCCGCCAACATGGCCACAATACCGAACTTGTACGATATGCTTAACGACGACAGATCAGAAACCATAGTTGGTAAGGCGCACAGCTCGATTGTTTCGGGGATTCATTATGGGGTCGGGGTTCTGGGTCAGGGGAGGCAAGAAAGCCTCATTTTCACGAACACAACTCCTTTGGATTGTCTAGAATCTTGATAGGTTTCTAGGAGTTACTTTTTGTTTTCTTATAGAGTCCCAGCCTAAGTTCGTGAAAATGAGACTTGTAGAAACCAGAATTAGCACACTTACTCGTCCTGAACGAGGTTCTCGTTGCCGGGCTGCATCTTGAGGCCTAGATAGATGAATGAAGGTCCCCACCAGGCCAATGCTCCGGCCACAAACGCAACGCACGTGAATCCTCCCGTGGAGAGCATGAAGGAGCGGTTCTTGAGCAGAGCCTTAATATCCTGCTTGTAGGTAGTGGCCTCCAGATGGTGCGATCCTTCGCTTTGACCCCGCTCCGGATCCTTGATAAGCATAATTAGCAATACGGCCACAACGCCCAAGATGGGTGTGACCCTCAGTGCCCAGCGCCAGTTGTTGGCCAGGTGAGCGGTTTTCGATCCCACGATATATCTGAAAAAGAAGAGGTTGGGGGTCAGTGATGATTGACTTAGTGCTCCGGGCTGCATTGGCGGCCAATTGTGCGTTGCATAAATGCCAATCAACCCCCCCAATTGACCCAGCACTCCCCTAATTGAATTAGAGGAGCCGTCGTCAATTGCGGCATTCCGAAACCAAATCAATTTCAATTTCCCCAAGAGGAGTCGCGTGACTTCTCACGCTTCTCCGGCCGCGAGAAGCGCTGATTAGCATCCCAGTGTCAGGTTGCCGCCTCCCAGCCTCAAACTTTGGCCCCATCGCCTGTTGCCAGCGATTGATAAGACAAAGTTGCAGACTCAGAATCAGACGCAAGATAAGAGCCCGGATGCTTTGCTGATCACCGATCTGAACATTGATCCCAGATGGCAATGTCTTTGTAAGACTTACCCCAGACCGGATCCCACGGGAATGGCAAAATAGAAGAGGGCTAGCATCCTGGAGCGCATGTCGTGGATGAACAGATCCGAGATGATCGTCGGCGCGATCGTACTGTACGAGGCCTCGCCGATTCCCACCAGTGCCCGGAAGGTGATGAACCAACCAAAGTGCTGCATGTATGATCCCAACAGCGTGGTGGTGCTCCATAGCCCCACCCCGACAGCCATAATCCAGGGGCGGGAATAGCGGTCACCCAAATATCCAAAGATCGGGGCGCACACCATGTACGAGATAACGAACACGGTTTGCAAGAGGCCGGCACTGTCATTTCCGATATTGAAATCTTTAGATACGTCTGGCAGGACTCCTGGAAAAAGATATGGATACAAGGATTAGATCAGAGATTACAGATTACAGCAAGAATATAATGAACTTTGAATCACTTTATATACAATTTAATAAAAGTAAAAATGTGAAAATGGTGCAGATTATTATTATTATTAATTTTTTAAAATTTTATTGGTGAATATGCAGAATGCGCGTGATGGGTGATATATAATGTATATTTATATATGGTACCGCAGCTACTAACATACATACATCAGCCCATCCCCAGCGGGAGTTGCTAATTACACAAATAAATAAATGGTTAATACCAGTCTGCCAATATTCGAGTGTTTTTTACGTAAGCCCGTATTTATGGGGTCGTTGGGGGGAGTTGTCTCTATAATTAGCACTCCAAACATCCACACAGTCATGGAAGCTCAGGATGACTGAGAAAAAAATTCCGGAAATATGCACAGTGTTTATGGCTCATCATATTTTCAGAAAAGAGCCAATTAATTAACCCATTGGTATCTATTAAACAGCAGCATAGACTAAATGATAAGAGAAATTCGAGTGGATTGGTCATACTACCAAAACTATTGATACAGAGCATACATTTTTTATCATATCTAGGGTGTTACCCTTTTAAATGGTCAACAGTCGATACTTGGCCATCGATTGCCGGCAACAGCCGCTCTTCAAATTGTGCATCTCCAGCAGTATCGATATGTATTTGCTGCAATCTGTGTCATGATTTGAATTTTCAATCATTGCGATCACCTTCGCACACATTTTCTCAGGTATTTCCTGCACGTCGTCTTCACCTGATCGTTTAAAAATTCATTAGCAAACGGATGTGCAGCTTGGAGAATAAATGGCCAAAACGACCTCATCGTCAATAATAACTGTATGTTTGCCGTCTAACGCTACTTCCTACATTCTACATGCAGCTCTAAAACAAAATGTTGAGCTTTAAAGCCCCGGCTCGTCCCAAAGTCTGGGTCTTTCTTCGTACATTGGCCTTTCCGAATTGTTAAAAACAACAACAATTACAAAATATAGAAAAATACCTACTTAAAGTGCTTGAGCACCCGAAAATAAACAACGGCCCACAAATAAAGTTGATGAGGGGACCCGGCGGATAGGGGGCTCGTAGAGTGGAGCACAGAGAGAGTGAGAGCGGGATCAGAAGCCGGCAAATGCGGCAGCAACAACAAAATACAGAAAGCTCAACAAGTTGTGCTGCAAATAGAGAGAGCGTGCGAGAGAGCCGATCCCCCACGAATAGAGCCGAAGCGATGCGAGACGTGGCACGAAGTGCTGCTACAGTGAATCAGCGTTTGCTTTTTAATTATTCCATTTTCTGGGTCTTTTTGCTCATTTCGCTTTTGAGAAATTTATCGTACGATGTTTTCGACCAATCAGCGCGTTTGTTTGCCTTGCCCAGTGACGTAACGGTTGGAGGACGCCACGCGATAAGTGCGCGTGTGTGTGTGCGCTGCATTGCGATTGTGGGCTGGTTTGGGTGAGGCATCGGGCTTGCGAGCCTGTATGTGTTTGTAAATATTGCTATCTGGTTCCGTCGCGCAAGGAATTTCGATTGTTTATGGGCATTCTTGGCCCCCGCTGCCAAAATCAAAATAATAATGAAAAGCATCTATGTATAAGTACATGTGCTATGGATACTCTACCGAAAGCCCCCTTTTGGTTGTCCACTTGCAGGGGAGTTCCGTAGACGTACACATTTGTATTTCCTTTTAGCCGGCGGCCGCAATTTTAGAACCTGTTTGGCGCCCTCTCGCTCTCAATTCTCTCTCCCGGGTTGTTCTCTCTTTGCTATTGGGCACATGACAGTGCGATTCGCAGGTGTATCAGCTGATACCTTTACTATATTTCAGGGAGTGCAGACTTTTACTTAAAAATGTAATTCGTTCAAGCCTAATCTCTCCGAGTGGAATTTTCTGGCGCACAACAAAAAATAATAATATTATTCTTAGCAAGTTAAGGCTTATGGCTTGATCTTTGAACGAAATAGACTGGGGGAACTACAGGAAAGTACTTTAAAATAGAGCAAAGTACAATTATTTAATATTAAATGTTGTAATTGCTTTAAGAAAATTTATAATAATTGACAATATTCATTTGGTCTAAAAAATATCATTTTTTAGATTCAAAATAAGTATAACTAAACAAAAAAGAAATACAGTACCAAAGGCAAAATACTTTTATTGTATACCTTAATTTCCCCCTGAGCCCTTACACTCCCATAACGCACTGTACTATACCGATGAGGAGAAAATCGAGAACGTTGCTACGTTGAGATATAGCCAATATTTATAACCAGGCAACTGCAAAAAGGAAAAACAACAAAGCCCGGTCTGACGCTCATTACCATGAATGAAAAAGTTGTTTCTGACCGAAAGTGACACTAACTGAACTGAACTGACTGTTCTCAGTCTGGGATATTCTGAATCTCGCTCGCCCAGTAGCGTCTGGTGACGTTGGCCTTGAAATATCGCGCGATATGAGTGCGATGTGCAAGCTTTAAAATCGGACGATGATTATATATCCGAGACCAGAGGCTGTGACTTTCGCTTTGGAATGCGCTGAGTATTTGAATGCCAAGCATTCGAATTGTTTCGGGGGAAAACTTTCTTTTTGTGGCGCCATGTGGAAATCAATTGTGAAAGCCATTGGCCAGCGGCAGAAAACACTAGGGAAAAGAGCTCCAGACATTCCCTACCCCAACCTTTGTTTACTATTCCTCGCTTCGCCATGGTTTTTCCTTTAGTTAATTCAATTTGTTTGAGCAAAACGTGTGCAACGCCTGATATTTGCGTAGGTCGTTGACACAGAAATGCATGCTAGATATACCCAGCGATTGCAAAGTAGAACAAATTAGAACCAAGCCAAAATTACAATAATAATATGCAAAGTATTTAGCTTTTAATACGTATTAGAAGCGCCTCAAAGTTAGGGCTAAGTGAACAATACAATTTATTTTATGAATTTATATAAGTAAAGGTATAAGTTTTGCAATTACTCATTGGAAATTAAACTTTTTCAGTTACTCGAAATTACCACTACTTTTTACAAAAGCAAGTCCAAGGGTATTGGCCATTTCGGTGTGTCAAGGTTTTCAATTTTTTGTGTGTCTTCTGTTTATTTATTATTTCTTTCTTCAGCCGTATGTGATGGCAACAAAATGGAAAGTTTTTCGTGTATCTTTCAATATCTTTTGGTTGAGAAAACATTTCAAGCGGAAATAAAACCAAACTCGGCGACTTTTAACAAATGCAAAATATGCACAAAAGCCCAGTCAACACCATTAGGCGAAAAAAGCAAATAATGTGATTACATTCGCTTGCTAAACACGATCAAATAAAGGCCAAAAACAGAGATAGTGTGCGAATTTTGTTGCCACTAATGTCTGTTTTCGATCAATGGATATATAGACACAATTATTCAGATCTCTCGAATTGGAAGGGGGCCAAGAAAATTACGTCGGAAGCACAGAGCAGAACGGAATCTTCATGGTATATATAGTATAATACGCCTTCTTCATTCAGTCCACATAGCTATACGTATATCTGTTGACCAAAATAACTAAGCTTCTCCGATCAAAGTTCGCTAGCAGTGCAGAAAGCAATTTACTGTCAACAATACTGCCCCAGAATACCCAGCAGGGGTCCCCCCGATCATGAATGAAGAGGGCCATATGACATGGTAGTATAACATCAGCCATCGTCAGCAAAAGCTAAAAACAAAGAAAGAAAAAAAAACTATGCCAAAATTGAAAATTCAGCAAAGCCGGAGGTCGAAGCCAAAGGCCAAGACGCACTTAAACTTGTAATGATATGTATACTATTAGGGTGGCCAGACATCGGGCGATACGACTACGACTGCTGTACTATATAATACGGTGAAATACTATATATGCGACACATGAGCTGAGCTGTAAACGCGGCGAATGTGTCGAAATTCGCCTGAAAAAAGAAACCACCAGGCCAAAAGCAAAACAAAACAATATTGGCAAAGGCAATCTAATCACGGCAAAAAGGCCGAAAAGAAGCACACCGCCAGCCACACGTGTTGTCCACACCTGTGTGTGATCGAATGCAATTTAGCCGTGCAGCGGCTCTAGTGTCAGCCACTTCATGATAAGACCTTAAAGTTGGACAAAGTGATGATAACATTGCCACTGGAAAATGGCTGGCAACCTTGAGAACCAGTTGCTTATTTTAGTTTTCATATTGCCTTGCCTGGCCGTACGCTAAAATTCTCAAAAATAAACACAAGTTTTCCACAATTAATTAGACGCACATGGTTAATTATGAATTTTCGCGCAAGGCCCTGAGGGAAACACAAGCAAATTGAATCCAAAGAAATCCAGGGTGGCATTGATGGGCGGGCGACTGATTCATTGGCTCGTCCGTGTAAGTGTTATCGCCATTTTCAGTGAGTAATTCCTTTTCCTGTCTGATTAAAACTCATATGATGTTTCAACTGGGCACTTTCCGTTCAGCATTTCCCTAATTGGGGGATTTTTAATGGCTTAAAGAAAAGGTGCATAATTGATTTCTAATTGACTCGGCAGAGGATCGGTGCAGTGATTTGTATGACGTGCAGCCCATTATCATTGCAAAATATTCGCAGGCAAGTCAAATAGATTTTCATTACGATTGTGTAATTTGGCAGACTTGAACAAAAGTTCAAATACACAAGTTTAGTGTCAAAGCGCAAAGTATAATTATATTCTACTAATTACATGCATCTTTCTCGGTTTATGCATGCAAATAAACAGGTGTCCGCCAACGTGTGTCGACTCGTTTAACCCATTTTTAATTGCACTTAGAAGACATTTTTTTTCCACCGTGTACCCGTGGCGAACAAACAAGTTTCCTTTTAATTTACACTGGGGTTTTGTGTAACGGAATGTGATACAACCAGACACAATCTGAAGTCCACTTCTCCATTTCTAGATAGGAGCAATTCCAAGTCTGGAAGAATTCCCAGACTTTGTAAAGTGTCCAATTGGAAGAAGCCCGCATTTACAGACGGAAGAAACTCAATAAATAAAGCACCATTTCTCCGCTAATGCCATTAATAAATAAACCCTAATGAATTGGAAATTGGAGTCACTTTAAGTGGGTTTATTTATAGGCCGTAACATGCGATTACCCGGTAATTGTCACGCGGGCGGGTTCTAATGACCAGCGATCACTCCCCCCAATCGCCGATCGTCGGGTTCCCTACGCTCAGCTCAGCAGGGAACAGGTCAGGTGGCGGCGTCGGCTCTATTATTATTATTTTATCGCACTTTAGTGCGAGGAATATTCGCGAATCGGTTTGATCGATTGCCCACCCAGCGCCTAGTTGTACCCAATGGAAATGTCCCGGGTTGGGTGCACAAAAAAGAGGAAGCGGATTCATTTATCGGCGCATTAACAAACGATAAAAAATTCAACCGCATGTCGTCTCTGTATCTGTTTGATGAATATTTTTGGATCGCGTGATTCAATTGTAAAGCCGATTAGTCATACAATATAGTCAGCTAAATACTACCCTTGCGTATATAATCTTTATAGTACATTTTGTAAACAAAAAATCGCGCTACGTAAACCATGATATGATGATGTGTTCTGTTATTCGCCAGTGATTAAGTCACAACTTCTACTGATTACGTTTGTATACAAATAAAATTTTGAATATTTTCTTATTAAACATTTTCTTAGCAATCTTTCAGTTTCGTATACATTTTAGAGCGCTTGGATTCATTAAAGAATAAAGAATTGCTTTTGTGGTAGTACTCATTTAAATCCTAATTTTGCTTGTTTGTTATCTATAGCAATCGGTTTCCCTAATGTCAACACACATGTTGTTATCTGATGCGGAAACAGAAGCCCACTTGGCGTCACAATGGAAGGGAGGACTGTTTCAGATGCATTATCTCTGAGTTTCGGAGCAATTTTAGATTAAATTATGCGGGTGAAGCCCGAACAGGGGGCTAAATCTTCAATAGAATTGTAATTTTAGAGCCTGGCAAGCAAGATGCCTTCCAAAAACATAGAATAATCTCCTCCAGCTTAGGAGTAAAAAGCGAAATATATGTACACATGGCAGATCGGGCTCCCGACGAAGGAGTTCAGTGCCCACCCTTGCCCAGGACTTACCGGCGATCGTGAAGCGATCCATGTAGTTGATGAGGTTGACAAAGCAGAGCACCGTGACCGTGAACCACTGTGACCGCCCAACGGCGGCGAAGCGCGTGGGAACGGCTGATTGGAGTCCCGGTATGTTGGGGTCACCACCGTACTGGTTGGGTCGCAGGCGCTGCCGCTCCTCTTCCATACTGTCCGAATCTGAGGGCATAAGCTGCTGTGACGAGTATGTCTGAGGCAATCCAATGGGTGACAGATTGGCCTGGTTGGCCACATCCTCCCGACTGCTGCCGTTGCTGCTGCCGCTGCTGCTGCTCTCGACCATCGCAGGATTATCCATGGCTGCCGCTGTGGGGAGCGGTTGGTAGGAGGGTTTCTGGTGTTTCAGCGACATTCACCCGACGATCCTCTTCTCTCGCACCCTCTTCTTTGGTTCAAAATTCGCCGAAGATCTCAATAATGGCAACGCGGCAAAAGTTATTTGCACACTCCCTTTGCCACTCTCTCTCTCTCTGTGTCTCTTTCACAAACACACACTTGGCGCACACACACACACACAGAGAGCTCACAGCCCACAGCGGAACACGCGATGAAAGCGACGACTGCAAAAGAATGTGTGTTGTTGGCCACAGTTCTCTATTTTCGCGAATCTCCACTGCCAATCTCCACTTTCAACTAGATTGCCTTATCGCGATTGTGCCTCAAATAGCAGTTGCAGTTGCGGTGCTTCTCTTTATTTCAGTGTTTCGCGATTTTCCGCTTTTCGCAGTACGTGCCGTTGAATTTACAGTTTTTTTTTTTCGAATGGCTCGCATCGACTTGTATTTATAGCAACCAGTGTGGCCAGATGCCAACTCGGCTTTCCCCCTAAAAAATCTCAAATAGTTGAAATTTCCTCCTAAAAAATCAAGATCTTTGCTTTATGTATTACCGATATATATTCAAATCTCGGGAATCAATGTTATACATTGATGCAGATACACGACGATTACTTGACTATTTCCTTAAACAAACCATTCACAAAAAATGTTGACCGTTACATATTTAGTATTTAGTATTTTTTAGGGACTTTTATGTAATGCCTAATGGCGGTAGAGAAAATGGGAAGCGGTCGGAAAAGGTTTGAAGACTTGATAAATCGATAGGTTCGACAAAAAAAACCCGCGCACTTCAAAAATGAAATTAAGCTCATGAAGTTAACAAATAAAATAATAGACCAAGGGACATAAATAAATAACTTTAAGTAATGTTATTGAAGTGTATTTGATCCTTTATATTTTCTTGTATTAACAAACAAAACACATAGAAATACTTAGATTTGATTTTTTTGATAGCATGAATTTCGTTTAATTTTAATGCAAATAAGTTAGAAATCGTGCTGGAGCATAGTTAAGTCCCTAGTCAATGTCGATTTCATCCAAGCGTCCTCGCACTCGATTCTTGCGCCTATGCTTTTTGGTGGGCGGCGGCAGGAAGCTCTCGAGGAACTCGATGGTCGTCAAAATGGTTTCCGAACTGACGTTTCCAATGTAGTTTTTGTCAAAGTAAACAACTGGCACTGGCGCCTCCGTGGAAAGTAAGAACTTGTCGCAGTTGCAGCGCTGTGCTTGGATCTTGGCGTCTAGGGTTTCCACTTCCGCCTCGGCAATGGTGGTATTTGATTTATCTGAAAAATGGGATTCGGGTTCAAGGGGTTATAAATAGACCTCCTAGGGATGCCCAAGCACTGAACACACCAAATAAGGGCCGAAAGCACTCCTTGACCTGTATCCACTTGGTGCAGAATTGTTTGATGAAACTGTCGTTTTGGTTGAAAAAACTGCGCGCTGCATTGTCCACACGATATTTCATAAATCCTGGCACATACGGCCACTTTCCCTTGGCAGCATAGAAGCAGATAATGTCTTAAAAAATAAATCGTAATAGAACTATTAGCATCATTTTGCATTGCTTTGAAATAAGCTAAGAAATGCTAATTTGTTAATAGTTTCACAGTTTCTGACAACATTTTTTCATTTTTTATAACATTTTTTATAGTGTATATAGTGTATAATATAGTGTATTTGCTATTAAGCTGTAAAAAACGTAGTTCTCTTAAGGGATTAAATTAATTTACAGCTAAATTTCATAACTAATAAAGCTTCTTAGACACAAACAATCATTTAGGGTGTCCGTTTATGTCTATAGATGTTGCTAGGGCTTTCGACGGAAGGTATTAATTGAATTCTTGAAACTCTCAATGAAATTGTGCAGCTGCACACAGCTGAATAGGGCCAGATTGGGTGACTTCCCTTATAAAAGCCCCACGGAGCCCAAAGGCTTCGTTCAGCTTAATTTTTAGCCCGATGAAGTACTTGTTGGTAGTGATCGCCTGTTTGGCTTGTACGAGTGCCCTGGTGACTTATCGTCAGTTAGAAAAAGGAAGTAAGGTTCAAATAAAAAAAAAATATATATAATAAATAATACATTTCTTTTAGAGAATGGCTGCAAATGGAAAGACGCTGAAATACCGGTGGCAGACACTTATCCGATTACTGAAGTGTGCGGCGTCATGCATTGCCAGAACACGGAAGGCGATGCCCTGATTCTCTAGTAAAATAAATAAATAAATCAACAGTAGTATTTTTGCACTTAATATGCATTAATCATTATATTATTATTCGTTTTAGTTGCCAAATACCGCCTTTTTATATTTTTTGCGATCAAGATGGAATAGATACAACAATACCTTTTCCCGAATGCTGCTGGAGATGTACTAGATATGTGGAATGTGGTAACGACGGAAAAGCTCTTGATGCCTAAGATACATGTAAAATAAATACCTAAAATACAGATTGGTTGTTCGAACAAATATTAATTTGTATTTTGAGATTTCAAAATGCTTTCCTTCGAGCCTGATTTTCAAAAAATTACAATCACTATAAATAAATCCAGGCAGATTTGGATGGAGCCCCAATACTCTCTTTTTTGAAAACCAACTCACACGGCACATGAAAAAGATGGAGAAAGGTTCGCTGATGCTCCAAACTTGAGATCAGGTGAATGCCACTGGATCGCCGACTGCTGATCGATGCCTGTTTTCCGGCAAAGGGAATCTCCTCCACGCGGACACTCTTCAGATACGCCTCGCCCAGGGTGAGCAGAAAGCAGAGCACGAATATAGGTATTATGCGCCATGCGATTTTCCGAAGCAGTTCCATGATGAATGAACCGCTCACTCGGCAATGACAAATGCAACTGACGGAAGTCCTCCAGGACCCCATCGTCCTCGTCATACGTATGCATGAATATATTGATTTTAATTGCGCCCGGTGGGCCAGTTGACATAAATCCCAGGTACTGGTCACATTTGCATGTGCTAACCCAATTTGTTGGGAAAAGGCAACTAGCAGAACTAACAGTGATAGGGTGAGTCATAAGTTTATTGAACTCTGTCCTCAAACACATAAGAACTTTTATGATGTTTCTAGCAAAGTTGCATGGCATAATTTAAACAAAATGTAACTCACAGGCCAGACAGATAAAATGCAATTTCTGTTGCAATAAACTAACACATATACATAGTATTACTTAATATTGCTGGTAACAAGTTAATTGGCCTGCGGATAATTAACCGATTTGCGAGTGCAATTCAACTATTTTACGGAAGAAACTATTTCCCATTGTCGCCACATGGCGTATACTTAATGTGCCGGCAAGTAAAACCTGCTTCCATTGCACACTTTTCCCCTTTTTTTAATGCAGCCTCGTCTATATATAATCCACGTGTTGCAAATCTATTTTCCAGCTTATCAAGTCTGGCACAGTTTAAATGTAGGAATGCAAAGCCAACAAGCAGAACCAATATAAAATAATTTATGAAACTGTATACCTTTTTTCGTTTTTATTTAACACCTGAAAATGGACAAACATATGGGGGTAGATTTTTCTTGGTATTGTCAATCCGAAAATTGGCAAATAAATTGGGTTTAGACTTTCAATTTAGAAGAAAGTTAAATAACCTCGGACATAATTATCCTTTGATTTATTCATTATATTTATTTTTATAATGGTTTATTCTGTAGACATCTGTCAAACAAACTTAAACCAAACCCATAATTATGTTTGTTTAACTTTCAGTTTATTTTCTTACGACATTATGTGTGGTATTCATTTTTGTTGAAAACATACATTATCCTCAGGTAACTCCTTACCATTCATTGAGTATACTGGACCAGAGCCTGACTCTGTCCGTTTGGAATTCGCTGGCCACGTTTATCTTAAAGCCTTTGAAAGGGGCAGGTGCATTGGCGAATTCCTGGTAATCGCAAATTCCGTTGGGACGTGACTGCAACAGCTCGGTGGTGCACGGGGTCAGTGACTCGGCATTCCGTGGTTTGCTACGGAAAGTATGGTGTGATTTGTAATTGTTATATTTATAACTTAAAAGGGCGAGCTCACCCAGTCTTGGCAAACTGTACGAAATAGTCCACAAACGTGTGTATGACCTTGGCTTCCGTGGAGTTGCGTTCAAAATCAGGGAAAAGCAAGGGGCTGCGAAATAGGTACAGGAGATCATCGCAGTGGACAACACCGTATTTGCCCGTAACATTCGCTGATGTGTAAGCGGAGGCGTAGCTTAGAGGACCCCGGTAGTTGAAACTATACAGGTAGACAGGATGCGTCTCATGGCAGACATCCTGGCGAATGGTATTATATAAAGGCTGCTTGAAACCCCTGTCCGATATGAGCTAAAAAAAACAATAAGTAAATGATCAATAAACAGTTGAAAACAGGTCGAATAAATCAGCTAAGACCAGTTAAATTAATTAAAAGCTCGTTAGAATGAGTTAAAGCAATTAACCTGGCGACTTAATTAGATTCGGTAGCTGTTTGTGGGCATAATTTAGCACTTACATCCATAAATCCCTGCACGGTTTCCTCGTTCACCTCGTGCTGCCCCCGGAAGTACTCCGCCACGAGGAGTTTTGTGCTCTGGTTAAGCAGCTCCTGGCTAAACTCCGGCGGAAACTCCATTAGCTCCTGGAGAAGCTCATCGAAGCGATCGTTAAAGCTCCGGCGCAGCGTCTCGTTACCCTGTATGTTCACTACGCGCACTGCGCCCTCGCCTGGGACGGTGCCCAGGAGCAAAGGGATCGACGGACGACTTCCCTCAGCCAAGATATCCTTGGGATGTTCGCTGATGAAAGCCTCGGAGGAAGCAGCCCCACCTTGCTCCACCACCGGCCGGAAGTTGGTCATGTGATCCACATCCCAGAACTTAAGTCCGTCGCCGGCGTCCAGGAGTTGCCGGGCATTGACGCGGCGCAGGGCTCGGGTTAACTTGGCCGTGCTTAGGCTTCGGGCATCCGGCACCTCAGCGAATTCGGCCAGGAGACGGGTCTGCTCCAGCGGTTCCTCAGCGATGGCAAAGGGCACATTGGCGGTGCCGCTCATGCTGATCACACGGTGGAAGAGTCCCCGGGACCGGGGACTTAGCAGGTGCATGTGAGCGGCCACGCCGCCGGCACTCTGCCCAAAAATGGTGACCTGATGGGGATCACCACCAAAGAAGCGAATGTTGCGTTGGACCCAGCGCAGTGCTAGGTTCTGATCCTTCAAACCGAAGTTACCCGGCATGGCAGCATCCTGGGTGGACAGAAATCCTGTCACGAGCAAGGTTATATTTAAAAATCGACTCTAGAAATGGGATCTTCTTACCGAAGGGCCCCAGTCTGTAGGCCATGGTCACCAGGATCACCTCGCCCGTGTCCATGAAGTACTCGGGTCCCGTGACTCCAGGACCTGCCGAACCGCCAAAGAAACCGCCGCCATGGATGTAAACCATCACAGGCAGTAAGGATTTTCTGACCTAGGGTCAAGATATGTTTATTAATGGAGTAAGGAATTTGATTTGGAAGGACTCACCTCTGGTCTGTAGACATTCAGGTAAAGGCAATCCTCCTCTCCGTAGATAACCGGAGTGGGCAGCAAATAGTTCTTCTGGATGCAGTCCATCTTGGGCGTGGTGGCATTGTACAGGCCCAGCAGCTTGGGCATAACCTTGGGGTTCTGAACAAAGAAAGATAATAGAAGTAGGAACGGGTACAAGAACGGGAGGGAAACTCACACTGAAGCGCAGATCTCCGATGGGCGGCAGGGCGTAGGGTATGCCCATGTAGGCCTCGAACTGCTCCGACTGATAACCCTTCAGGTTGATGCCCTTCACACAACCCACGCTTGGCGGGCACACGGTGAGCTTGTCCAGCGTGGCCAGGGCCATGACAGCGGAGCGGAGTTCATGGCCAACGAAAAGAAGCGTCAGCAGCAGCAGCACAGGTTGAATCATCATCATTGAAAGCTGCTGCCGATCGTGCAGATCATTATTATGGATAATTAAATATGCATATGTCGATCGCCGCGTTATTTATGATCAACTTCTTGGGAGTTCCAACACTTGCCTGTCGATATATATTTAAATGGATCCTGATGTCACTCTTTTTGGCCGGCAGGGAAATTTCTCGCAGAACCTTCCGCTACAAAGGCCCAATTCGATCTGACGGCTTTCGAGGGCGCGCATTCACTTTAATGGTGCTGGAAAAACTTAGCTCCGTGCCTCTCTATCTATCTATCGTGGGGCTATATACTGGCTCTGTGCTGGTCGCCCACAAACCGATCCGATGGAAAATTTATACAGAGAGCGAGCCACACGACGATCATTTAGCTATTGTACGATCGGTTCACACGGCGTATGCTTGATCAGAGCGGATACCAATTGATCTGGAACTGCATCTAGCAACCGACGACCTCTGTCTCAGTCTCAAAATCTGGTCTGGTCTGAGGTAATTCGAAACACGCGCCAGAACCAATGGAAGTTCCGCCAGAGTTGACGGCTTGGCTTCAACTGATATCACCTTGGCTACGAACTTTCGCTTTTATCCTGAATCTGCCGTGAAATTACAGGCACCGAGAGCGAGAGAGTCAAGTCTCCAATCGGTAGCTTCCCCTGCGACAAAAAAGCAATCGCCCTTAGCAGCACCCACCACCACCACCACATATAACGACTTCTCCTGCTTCTCCTAAAAGTCTAAAAATAGTATAAGCAACTATTTTAGTTAGTTGTCATTAAATCGTAAAGAGAATTGTTTTTGTTTGCTTTCTATTATTCAGATAAGTCTCTTAATCAGCTAATAACTTCATTGCAAATAATATCACACCTTCGACGATATTGCAGAAATCAAGCGAGTATTTTTTGGGTAATTAAGATAAGTACTATCTTTGATGGAAAAGGGGTAAAACGATTGGGATTCAGCTGTAATCTGCGACCTTCACAGTTACTCGGTTTCGCTTTTATCCCCGCCAAAAAACGTCACGCTTTTCACTCTCACTTGGCGCATGTCTCCTCCAACAGCGGAGATTGTAGATTGTTGAATTACAAAAGTAATTCTCCAATCTCCAGGCAAGATGTTGCCCCTTTGCACGAGAGATTTATTACTCCCGACGACGAGGGCTATCTTATCTCAACCCACCGTCGTGGTCGTCGCCGCCGTTGGGCCTTTCATTCGCACTTAAGCTCGTTTCTTGCACATTCTGCATATTGTGGATGTGGATGTGACCTTCGAATGACAATTGGATGGTGGGGGGACATGTAAATGGAGCAGCAGCTCTTCACCCGCTCCCATTCCAAGATCGTTCCATTTTCGTTTTATATGGGGTATTATATTTACTATTAAATTAACCCTAATAAGATAGAACGACAAATTAAACGAATAACTTCTGCCAAATGGAAAAGGCGTTGAGCTTCAGGGTATTCTTAATGTCTTCCTGGCATTTTCCATTGGTGTCGGAAAAGTGCAAATAGGTGCACATCTTTTGATCCCCAAAATCTGGGCCTTGACAGGTGGAATCCTTATGGAATAACCTAAGAGGATATATGGAAACATATTAAATGACATACGATATATACATCGGTATTTCTCTGCAAACTCACCCCGTTTTAGCAAAGTCCGTCATTAGCGAAGTCATCCTCTTGGTTACCTGAGCATCCTCCGAGTCTTTGGGGAAATCCTCGAAGAGAAAGGGTATTCGTATGGTGTGTAGTCCGTCATCCATGTGAGCTGCTCCCACACCCCAATCCTCAGAGGTGCCACTAAAAAGCTTCGTCACCGAACGCAAGCCGTGGAACTCAAAGATATACAGAGACAAGGGATTCTTCCCAAGATTGGCATAGCCCGCATAAGAGGAAATTGTCTCGTAGAAGGGGTAGTAGAAGTTAAAGTCACCAGAGATCTCCGCCAGAGCGAGCATGGTGTCGTTGTTCAAACTCATCTCGCCCTGAAAGTCATATGCCGCTAGTATATCATTGACCATCTCGGCAGGAGTTCCCTCTGGCAGATTGAGCACCAAGGCCATGTGCTCCAGGAATTTCTCATTGAACTCTTCCCGACGCGTCTGGTCTTTGAAAGCCCGCAGCAGGAACAGTGAACCCTCGCCGGCTCTGGAGTTGACTCCCAGCAACCAGGGCACCTGGTTGATGCGCCCCGCGAGGTGAGCCTTTAGCGGATCCTCTATCAAGAAGGCATCTGGAGATCCTTCAGACTCCAGGACAGGCAAGCAGCTGATCTGAGGCAGGTTGTCCCAGATCTTCAAGCTGTCCACGCTCTTGAGCAGCTTCATGGGACAGGCATCGCGAAGAGCTTGGGCTAGATCCTGACTGCCGAGACTCTCCGCTTGATCGATGCCCACCACTTGGGCCAGCTGCCTGGCTTGACCCAAGGGATCCTTGAGGATCCTCATGGCCGGAATGAACATGGTGCCAGTCAAGGACATGGCTCGATGAAAGAGACCCTTTGAACTGGGACTCAACATGTGCAGATGGGCGGATATCCCGCCGGCACTGTGTCCAAATATAGTTACCGACTGGGGATCCCCGCCGAAGGCTTCTATGTGCTGCTGCACCCACTGCAGGGCCATTCGCTGATCCTTGAGTCCGAAGTTGCCCGGCATGTTGTTATCGCCAGTGCTCAAAAAACCTGATCAAAAACAGATTAAATCTAGCTTGGGGGTATTTAAAACACTCACCGAAAGGACCAAGGCGATAGCTGATAGTTACCATGATAACCTTTCCCGTGTCCATCAGATACTCAGGTCCACTGGCCACGGGATGAGCAGTGCCGCTAAAGAACCCACCCGAGTGTATGTAAACCATCACCGGCAGGGGATCTCCATCCCTTTCCTTAAAAGGAATAAGAATCAGAGTTGGAGGTTGTCTAAGGGATCGGTGTGTGTACCTTTGGCCTGTAGACGTTCAGGTAGAGACAATCCTCCACACCCATTACATCCCAGTCCTCTGAAAAGTAGCTCCTTTGCAAACAGCCGTCCCTGGCAGTTCCTGCCTCAAGTACTCCCTCCCAGGCGACAGCTGCCACAGGATTCTGAATAATAAAGGCTTAATCCTCTGGTTTTCATACTGCAATAGGTTAATAATCCACCTTCAGGCGAAGCGCACCAACTGGTGGCTGGGCAAAGGGAATGCCCATGAAGGCCTCAAACTCTTTAATTTGATATCCTGGCATAAGAGTTCCCCGCAGGCAGCCCAGATCCTTAAGGCACACATCCAAGGAATCAGCAGCAGCAGCAGTCACAAAAAGTACAAATCCGAAGACAAACAAGTGCATTTTGATACTATGGCAGCCTAGCTTCCGGGAGTTACCTTTATATATACTCAATCGCGAATGTGCCGGATCCCATTAATCAGAAATAAAAGCCGTAATTTTCGAATCCTAAGAGGTTGTAATTTCTGTATTTAAAGTACAAAAGCGCAGGTACGCGCTGCCAACCACGGCTGATGATCGCATATGATATACACAGAGAGAGAAGGTGGCTTCTATTTAGCCTAAACACGCATTCAAACCGAACTTAACGATTAAGATAGCTGCAATTACACATTAAAATGTCTATATATATAACTTTATGTCGAGAATCGACCAACAATGAACGATACGATGAGGGGAAATTGATCTAAATTACAGGCCTAGGAACCGGAACCGTTAACCGTCAGAGTTAAGTAGAGGCCACATCAGATAGGCGACAAGCTGCCACGCTGGGCGGCAGTCAAGTCCGGATGCCACATGTCCAGGATGAGCACCAGGCGGGCGTGACTTCCATTGTGCCACACTTCGTGCTCGAAACTGTCGTCGAAGATGAAGAGCTCGCCCTCACGCCAGGTTCTGCAATGTATGCAATGTGTGTTTTAAATAGATATCAAAAGTGGATAGCAATCTTCACCCACCTTTCTTGCTCGGCCACTCGTAAAGAGGTTTTCTCCGGCTCGGGTGCCACCAGCGTGAGGTGCGCCCGCAGGCGGCAATTGGTGGGTCCGCAATGTGGCCACACATGCGTCTGGGCCTGCATCACACTAAACTTCACCTGGCCGCGTCGACAGCCCGCGGAGGCAGGAAATTGCTGCAGCAGGTTACAGGTGATAGGTGTCCTGCGGCAGTTGTCCTTCACTTGGCGACCCTGGGCATACAACTCGTACTGCTGCCAGACGCCCTTGTCGCGCAGCCTCTCCGCCTCATCTGCAAAGTAACTTCCACCTCTGCCTAGCAGCGCCAGAGCCTCATCCCGAATGGAGCGCCAGTCGAGCTGCAGTCTCTCCAGCTGTCGTTCATAACCCGTCTCACGGGGCTGCCAAAAGGGTTTGGCCCTTAGCCTGGGCTCATTGTACAGCGATCTTTGATAGAGGCTGGCAAAGAATCCCTTGGCCACTCCCTTACCATACACTTCGAGAGCCTCCGATTGCCGGGACAGCCGCTGCAGGCTCTCACCCAACGAGAGATAGAAGTAGGCCTCCTGGGTGCCCTCGGCCTGAGACTCCACGGCATATTGAAGATAAGGCTGCGCCTGGGCATAGTCGCTGTGAAGGTTCATGAGGGCCAGGCCAAAGTGGAGTTGGGCCACGGCATCAGCTGGCCAAAGCTGCAGGGTTTCAGCTGCCACTTTTTCCACCTGCCGCAGGCTAAGAAGGAGAGGCAATTATAAGGTTTTTGGAAGAAAGTTAAAAAGCCGCCGCCTTACCTACTTATTGGCCATGAGGTGGGTGAAAGAGAGTTGGTTGCGCAGCTTTGTATCTCTGGGCAGGCGTTCGATGAGCAGCTCGTGGATGTTCACTGCCTGCTGCAAGAAACCTGAGAAATTATAAATCCTTTTAGCAGAGATTTCGGGTCAGAGTGGAGGCAAGACAACTCACCCATAAACCGCAAATGCTCGATGCACTTATTCCCGGCAGCCGTAAACTCCTGATCGCTGGTTACTAGCTCGCCAAAGGCCAGGTATCTCTTGTAGGCTTCAATGGCCTCCAGAACGCGCTGATTGCTGCGCTCCGCCTTGGCCAATATTTCCAGGACTCGGGCTTTGCCCAGATGGGCCAGGGGCTCGTGGGCGTAGTGTTGTGTGAGCGTGTTAAAGGAACGCAGGGCTTGGGCATGGTTCTTTTGTGTGTTTTTTTCAGGTGTGGTTATTAGTTCGCGGTTCGCCAGCCAAAACACAAAAAAGGGGGTTAGCGACAAAGTTCTCGAAACATGCAATTAGTATAAAATATCATCATCATTCTCTCGATTAAACGAAACTCAGTTGACAGGAGATTAAAGGATAAGCCCACGGCCAGGGATTCTGCCAGTGGGTGTGTCTTTGTTGGCAGATCCTGACCATGAGCTGATCCTACCTTAAAAACCCCCTGACAAAGTCATTTCTACACGTCTAAAGTCTACGGTTAAGTCCTAAAACTTGATTAAATATGTATAAAATATTATAAATATATTATTAAATTAAACAATAAGAGTCTAATAATGAACTCGACAAGCAGAACAAAAACTAAAGCTATGAAATGAGCGTGTGATGTATGTTTTTCTTTTCTTTAGTGATTGTTGAGCTGCAGATATATATATCGGAGTGCCTCGGTTTAGATCTTGTCAAGTTCTGGTGCCATCGATTCCGATTAACCTACCTCCCGGATCATCTCTTCGTTGGCTTTGCGCAGCTCCTGCTCGAAAGGATCCTCTTTCTCTGCAGCCGGAGCGGCGGCGGGAGTTTCTTTTGGTTTGATTTCTGTTCAAGGGATTGCAATCCGGATTAGTACTGGGTTCGAAAATAGGCTACAATGTGAAATTTTGAACGGTTCAAAGGCCTAGACATAGAAAGAGATTGAGCTCCACCTTATATATAAAAATATAAAGAATGTGAGAAGATCCTAAGGCACTTACGATCTGTGTGTGTTTAGCGATCGGTTTGTCGTGTGTCTTAAAGTAGTGATGACTTAGTGATCGATCGAAAGTATGTCGTATGGAGAGAATGGAGTCGCTGATTTTTGTTTAGTAATTACGTGTCCAGCTGGGATCGTCGGAGTCGGGATCGCTTTCATACTCCTTTGACGGCAGGCGACCATACTTTGCCTCCAGTCGGCTCATCAGATCGGTGTCATCCACGTCTGAGATCTCGTCCTCCTCGTCGGTGATATCCTCGTCGCAGTCGTCCTCTTCGTGTTCGTAGTCTTCAATGTCTCCGTCCTCGTATTCCACATAGATATCGCTGGGACCGGCTTGTGGTTCCGGCTCCTTTTCCTTCTCCTCATCTTTCTCTTTATCCTTCTCCTTCGTCTCTGGTTTGCCTTCCTTTGCTGGCTCCTGGGCGTACTTGTATAGGGCGCTCAGCTGCTCAAAGGTCTCGGGCACATAACTGGCCATGGAGGCCACATTATCGTCACTATCGTGAACAGCATCCTCCTCCTCCTCGATATCGCTGATCTCCACTTCGATCTCCTCTTCGATTTCGATTTCTTCTTCGGAGTATTCTTTGGTGGACAATGGAACAGTGACTTAAATTAAAACCCTAGACTCAGCTCAGACTCTATTATTGCTTTCAAATCAGTTTTTGAAAACTAATTGATTAGAAAGCAACCTCGACAAGCTAAATGTTATTAAATATATAAACAGGTCGACAGTTTTTAAAACCAAGAAAGGAAATGCATTTTTAGATGATTTCTGATCCACTGATCTTAAATCCGGTCTCAGAAAATGATCAATACATCAGGTTTTCAGAATATTTGATCTTAAAAAAAAAACAGAAAATATGAGTTTAGAAAATAGTTTTTCTAAAACATCGTTACGTCATCTTAAATAACTGTTCTAGCCCTTAAAAATCAGTTTTTTAAGTTTGGAAAATTGTTTATTGGTCCCCGAGATCAGATATAGTCTCTTGAAGTTATACCGATATTTTTCATATATTTCTGAGTGAGTCGAAATTGACAATTTATATGGAAAAATAACAATATAATATCTATAGACGATATATCAAAGATCCATTAGGATTTTTTCCAATTTTAAAACACGTATTTGAGATCGAGAGCAGTATTTTATGAAAAATCTATCTAATACCTATCAAAAGTAAACAAATTGTTGGACTTTTAAGATTGAATACCATAAAAACCTGACGAGACCTGAGACCGGATTTGAGTTCAATGCATCAAAAAATATCAGAAAAGTATATTCCGCTTCTTCGTTCTGCAATTTTTTCAAATTTTGTCGGCCTGTATACATATACATATATAGAAAGTCGCCAACCATCGTCCAGCAGGGGCAGCTCCTCCACATCGTCCGGTATCTGATCCTCGGCCGTGGCTATGGTCAATCTGCGTCGCATCACAGCTTCCGGTGCGGGCTCATCATCTGCTGATTCCAACATTATTCAGGTTTTTGTTTTTTTTTTTTTTTTTGTTGGGGAATATTATATTATTCGAGCAAGAACAAAGCCATACAATAATTTCCATACATACATACATTGGTGGAATAAGTTAAACAAAGCTGTGATGACTACAATCAGAGATTCAAGAAATAATAATAATAATAAATCATAATCAAAATAAGCTAACTGAAGAAAGTGCAAAAATAATGCTTGTCGGGGTGATGAGTTCTCTCAGGGAGAGCACGCTCGCCCGCAGTTTGTTTTTAGTTTCTGTTAGGAGACCACGAATAGATCACAAGACACTGATATTCTTTTTCTTTGATACGGGTTAGATGGAAAAGCGGCGCTTAGTAGAGTCTCCCCATTATTAAGGTTCATTCGTTAGCATTAACAACACAAGTATCTGGCGTGCTTTGGCGGATATATATAGATATATAGATAGAGATATCAAAGAGCAGAGAGCGGAATACAAAAGAGCGGAGAATCAGGGGAGGCAGAGCAGATCAGATCAGCTATTGGAGACTCACTTGTATTTGGACTTTTCCGTATCAATACAAGGCGTGAAACTAAGGCAAGTGCAACGCCAACGCCAAATTTAACGGCAACTGTAAATGAGTCAGGTTTTAGTATTCAGAAAAACAAAAACAAATGCCTTTTGCACTTTCTTGTACAATTTCGGTTTACAGAGTTCTTTGGTTTTGTGTGTGTGTTTTTTTTTTTCTTTTTGTATATAAGGTGGAGCAGTTCTTAGGGGTCTAGGCCTACGAGATCCGTTAACCGTTTAATTATTTCACCAAACTTTGTACTTACGTGATGCCAACCAAGAGGAGCCCTCTTCTTTGGGCTCCTCTTCATCGTCTTGATCTTGCTCCTGCTCCTGCTCCTCCTGGCTATCTAGCTTCTTTGCAGGCTCCACCTCCTCGGGATCATCATTCTCAAATTGCTGATCGAGGGACTCAAAGTCATCCTCGTCGTCATCATCCTTGTTGTCTTGCTCCTGCAATAGAGCATATGATTAGCCAGGTTCCAAGTGTTAGAACTTGGACTTACATCATCTTCATCGTTGTCATCTGTGGGAGCACTCTGAGCTGCTGATTGGGATCTGGGGGGTTCGACAGACTCCTCCACCTCCTGTTCTTCCTCGTCCTCTTCATCCTATCAAAGATATTTAACAAAATCACTATTAAAATTCCCATTTGCTTACATATTTGATGACCGTACCTCATCAACATTTGAAGGAGGTTCTTCCAAGTCCTCATCTTCCTGCTGAAAACATAAAAACAAACGTAGAAACAGAAGCAGATAAGTGAAACCATAAACCCTACCTCATCAGCTGCCGACTGAGGGGCCTCTGTGGAGTCTACGACATTGTCATCAGCTTCCTCTTCTTCATCCTCATCCTCGTCAGCTTCGTATTCGGCAGTGGCTTCCGTGGTTGCTTCGACAGTGGCCTCGACAGTGCGTTCTTCGATGTCTTCCTCCTCTTCGTCCTCACCATCTTCGGCAGTTATATTTTCGCCGGCATTGTTCTCTTCTTCATCCTCCTCTTTTGCCGATAAAATGAACAACATTAAGTATTTCCTCGATATAAACTAAATTTCAGGACACGTACCGTCTTTTTCTTGAACATCTTCGTCGGCTTCCGGCTCCTCATCCTCATCATCGGCGTGATCCCCCTCCTCTTCTTCTAATTCTTCGGAGAGAGGCTCCTCTAAAAAAAAAAAATAAAATAAAATAATAATTATAGTTATTAATTATAGCAAGACGAAAATAGATAACTCACCTTCCTCTTCATGATCATCGTGGTCGTCATGATCGTCATGGTCGTCGTGATCGTCATGATCATCCAGTGCCTCTCCCGAAGGTTCATGCGGATCGTGCCCCTCATGCTCCACGCGGTGCTCATCCACCCAGCCATCAAAGTAGTTCGAGAAACGTGACTCGGACAAAGGAGTGTCCACTGATAAGGCAGACATACTTTGTAAATTAGTTCCTTTTAAAGGAGCCTAACGACTCACAATCTTCCAGGCCGCGGTTCTCCATGATGATCAGACCCACCAGTCCCAGGAGGACGGCCATCAGGGCAAAGAATATGATCTTGGCACACCAGTGACCGCCGGTTCCGTGCTCGTGCTGCACATGCAGGTGCACATCTTCGTTTCCCATCTTTGTAATATGAACGCCGTGCGAAGATTCGTCGTCATCTGAGATCGTTGCCCGTTTGGGATTGATGATAATGAATAATAAAAACACATGTGATTACAAATCTGTTTAATTGAATGCACCTTCAAATGGCGTGGGGATACATGTATGTACAATGTATATCTACATAAATTTAGCAACTGCGCGAGACTTTAAATTAGTTCAGCAGAGCGTTATCGGGGGCATTCGGAGAGTGTGGGAGTGGGTATGGAAACATTAAAATTCGGTCGGGGATTACACGTTTGTGTATTTTCTACCTTGAAAGCTGGACTGGCGCAGAACAGTCACATCGCCATCGGACTTCCGATCATCTAGACAAAAAGTTAGTTACAATAAGACGAACACAAATATATCTACGGGAAGCCATGTTACTATGGCTAACAATATCTCAGGATCTTTATGAATTAGAGATTACATTTGGTATATAACCCATAAAAACGCATCAAGAGACAAGAGAGATATCCCGGGAACTAAAACTAGATATATGAAGTATGAAAAATATAGCATGATTTGGCTTTGGTATACTAAATCTTGAAAAAAATTATAGTAAATTTATAGTTATCTAACATCTAGATCTTTACCAGATTTCAACAAGATAAAAAGATATGTTTTATATTTTACCGGCATTACAAAACTGATAAGAGAGCGAGAGAATTTGTTTATGCCTAAATATGCGCAATAATAAACAAAGAAACAGACCAAAGAGGCGAGTCATGCTCTTGGGCAGATGGCCAAGTGAAAATAAATGGTTTTACATATAATCATGGCTACTTTTCGGTGGGTGTAATGGCCCCAGACGCTGCACGGAAGCATCTTTCAGACTCGGATCCGTTGCATTGGAATTAAATTGCCGTCGAGGTGAGATGTGTTTTCCATCTCCCCCGCCCCGCCAGATCCAGATTCCCAGCACAGAGATAAGCGGAGAGAGATAAGAGGATATATTCCCAGGGAGAGCACACAGTTGTTTGCCTCAATTTGACTTATTTAAACGCAAACTAAAACATTATGCACAGCGGCATCGATTCAATGCCCTTCTGCAGGCCCCGGATCAAAATATGTACGATTCTTGGACCCCCGCACACGTCATGCATATATTTTCCTGCTCTGGCGATCATCGGCGGCACACGCATAGCGACAGAAAACAGGCGAGAGATGTATAATTTTATATAATAGGGCAAGTTATTTTTAAAGGCACTCGACAATATTATTATGCTAATAAAAGAAATGCCCGTGGCGGTGGCCGAAAAAACGGCTTTTGCCACCGACCATCAGCAACGGAACACGGCGAAGTAACGGTCAATCGGCGAGAGGAAGATGGACGAAGGACTTACCGCGTTTTCTGCGCTTATCCTTTCGCTTTCGCGGCTGCACATCGCCCGACATTTTGCTCGGCACTAAATGTATGCCAATTCGTTGAAGGTGGTGTTTGTTTCTTTTATTTTATTTTCGTTTCGAACGCACCGGAAAACTGGCGATCTTGATCAGCTAACGGCACGTTGCTAAATGCGAGTCCGTCGGAAAATTATTTATAAAGTGCGCGGTGGCAGCTATCGCAATGCAACCCTGCACGGCTGCTGTCAACTAGAGATGGATTAGTTGAAAGTGTCTTTCGTGAGGCAGTCGCGCAGCAATATGCGATTATTTCGTATTTTTGTATGAAAAAATTATGTGTCTGATTATTTTATTAACTGATATTCCTATACATCTACAATACATACAAGTGTTTTCCATGAATTAAGTCCAATTGTTGGTTGGTATAGGTTAATTACAACACATGAGATTTGGTCTTAAACATAAAAACTAATTGTTTAGCTGTTTGAATAGTTTTTCTAATATATAAAAACGCTACTTAATTTAGAATAAGAATGAACAAAACATTTCCGTTCAGCAACAATCAAAGTCGTGCCTGATTTTGCACGCATGTCGTGCTCTTGCGCGATAAGTGCCTCACGCGCCCATCTCTAGCCAGAACCAACCCCGAGCCCGCAGAAAAAAAAACAAGAAAATAATACACAATTGGCGACGGTGCAGCAGGTTCGCAGAGTGTTCTGATCCCTGGCTAATCCTCCGGGAGTTATGGCCGGCGACATGTCCATCGGCTGTGCGGCACTAAAGCGTTCCAGCAAGCTGAGGTCCTGCACCAGTGCCGCCGACACGGATTCGATGCATTTGCCCAGCGACCACAAGGAGAACGGCAACCTGGTGAAAACGCCTCCAGTTCCGCCCCAGAATATGCGGGGCGGCCTGCGAGTCTACAAGATTGTCATCCTGGGCGACGGAGGCGTGGGCAAGTCAGGTGAGTGCTCCGGAACGCCAAATGTCGAGTCCACGGGAAAAGTGCGTAAGGTCGCGCAGGTCGGCGACTGTGGAAGTTATCACTGCGCACTTTGATTGTGGCTGCGAAAAATCAATAAAATATCTCAATTTCTTTTACGCTTTGTTTTGGACCGCCACCCACCCATCGCCCAACTTTGCCTCTGAAAACGACGACCTTCGCTCGGCAAACCCGAACAGCTGTGACCCTGCAGTTCGTGAGCCACAGTTTCCTGGACTACCACGACCCGACAATTGGTGAGTGAGGACTTGCCGCCGCCTGGGAAAGCGCCCCCCTCTAATTGTGTGTGCCGCCGCCGGCTTTCCCTTTCACTCTCCCCACAGAGGACTCCTACCAGCAACAGGCGGTCATCGACAACGAGGCCGCATTGCTCGATATCCTTGATACCGCCGGCCAGGTGGAGTTCACGGCCATGCGGGACCAATACATGCGCTGTGGTGAAGGTTTCATTATCTGCTACTCGGTCACTGACCGCCACAGCTTCCAGGAGGCATCCGAGTACCGGAAGCTTATCACACGGGTGCGTCTCTCGGAGGACATTCCACTGGTACTGATCGCCAACAAGGTGGACCTGGAGTCGCAGCGCCGCGTGACCACCGAGGAGGGCAAGAATTTGGCCAACCAATTCGGTTGCCCCTTCTTCGAGACGTCGGCCGCACTGCGTCACTATATCGACGAAGCGTTCTACACGCTGGTCCGCGAGATTCGGCGCAAGGAGATGCAGAAGGCGCTGGGCACGGATTCCAGCTCGGAGAAGATTCATACGCGCCATCGCAGCCGCTGGTGGCGCATCCGCTCCATCTTTGCACTGGTGTTCCGTCGCCGGCGAAACCTCAACTAGGCCAAGGTGTCCAGATTTCTTATTGAATGAGTGCAATATTATTAATATTATTATTTTTTTTTTGTTCGCTGTATCTAAAGATACACGACCTACAAGAATTTACCGAACCGATCGAGGAGCACAACTGTAATTGTTATGGCCACCGGTGGCGGCGGTCAGTCAGTGGTTTATTTATTATTTGTTACAACTATTTAACGTACTTGTTGTTGGACAGGATAGATAGTAGTGGCGAGGCGGCAGAGCAGCGATAGAGTATATCAATATGTTTAAGCACCGATCCAAAAGATACAATGCACGTACATATGTTTATGTAGTAAATATTACTAACGTTGATTCCTAAGCGAGAGCGAACGGCAGAAGGACTGGCAATTGGCGGCAGCTCAAGAGAAATTTATTTAAAACTCAGCATCGCATGAAGTAACAGAAGAAAGTGTACACCAACTAAGTCAGGGTGTTTACAAGTTTTAATTCACATTTTTACGACCTTTATCGATCATCATCGGAAGACACACCCACAAACGCCAATTGCCACGGGTGTAGGTAAAGCGATAAGTTCGCATGGAGGGATGATTTTTAAACTTATGTATGTACGTATTTACCCTGAAGACACACACGCGACGCACATGACATACGATGAGACACAAGCAACACATTTAACTAATCGAATAAATGTTGAATTTAATGTATACTAATATTATAAATCGATCGATCGACCTAAGTATGTATGTATAACATTGCAGATGAACGAAAGTAAGGCGCGGTGAAGTTTGTTCAGATCCCAAATTGATAATTTGTAAGCCAACGACAGCCGATGCATTTGTTGTTTAAGTTTGAGAAATGTTTATTGTTTATATTGTTAAGGACACGTGTTACGCCTAAGTTTATTTATTATTAGTTTAACCAATCTGTTAATTACTTTTTACATACAAACAAGCAAAGCAAAGCAGAGCCCAAACACACATCACGTTCTCTAAGCATCCACCATGAGTTCCTCTCATCAATGTTAACTGCATCACCACGAAACGAAGTACTAAACACGGGTTTAGTTACCTTGTTTGTTACACAATCCCTAAAACAGTTGTTGGACCTGCGAGACGGCGACTACCCATATTTACTAGTAACTCATTGTTATTGCAAATCCTTTCATGCAACAGTTCAAACCAACCGATCGACTAACGAAATCAACTAAACGAGAAACAAGTAATCAAATGCGGGTAGAAGTTAATACGAAAGGAAAGCTAACGCTATTATAATATTTACGGTTTAAGCGAAAAGTCTTGGGAACCATATGTACATGTTCAAGGCATTCTGTCGCGTCCATGTCGTTTTGAAAACGACAGACTTGCTCGGTAGCAATGCCAATAATAATAAAAATAATAATGGATTGTAATACCTAATCGAAAATCGAAGGAAAAAAAACCAAATCAACATTTTGATTCATAATGTTATGTACATTTTAAATGTAAAAAAAAAAACGAAATGAAATACTAAAGCACAAAATAAACAAAAACAATCCCCTCAATAAAGATTTTTTTGGAACCCCCGTTAAGGAGTGCTTTATTTTTGCATGGGATACTTAATGATTCACCTGGTATAATTGGGTTTTCCCGTTCCATATTCATCCTTATCTTGCGAGCTAAGAATGGTTTTTGAATGCGTCTCCGGTTCGTCTCAGATCTATCTGCTTTTTGATGTTAAATCCTCCTTATCATTAAAACACATTTCCCGAACCAAATAAAACATTCTAGTTAAACCAAGAGTAGATCAAATGTACTGTTTATTCATAAGTATAATATAGTTTGGTTGTATCTGATGCATCTTCCGAGTTTTTCAACTTCTGTGTGAGAATTACACGATTGACGACGGTACAAAATACAAAAAAGAGACATACACACATTCATATGTACTGTATAGTATAATTATATGTATATTCGTATTTTATAAAATCATAAAATACTCATCATATAGTTTGGTTGTTTGTTTGTTTTGTAGTATCTTTTTTTATGTTTTCCACTCGTTTTAATGCAAAGTACAAATATTAAAAACTCGCTTAATGCGCTCGAAATAGTTTCACTTCATCAAAATTGTTCTCCCTTCTATAGCATCTCTCCCACGCGAAAACTGAATGCATCTCATTTGTGGCTTACGTTTAGTTTAAATAAACATTTATCGTTTTGTTTTTGTTTTGTGTTTAGTTCGGTTCTTGTAATGTAGTTTCTTTTACTTGCATCGACTATTGGCGGCCTGGTCTCTGATAGATTTAAAGGGAATATTACTTTCGTCCTCAACTTGATCCTAATTCCTCGCTCCTTAACGTCGCCTTAGCTCGCTGGGACCCATTGGGGTCCAACGGCTGATTCTGATTCCACCGATTCACTTCACCTGCCTTACCCTCACACGCGCACACAGTCTAATCCTGCCACAGCTGCTGGCCGGCTACACTTGACAACAAAGAAGGACAATCACGAAACTTACATCGATTAGGAGGCGTAGGAGGGTTGGACAGAAACGGACACAACTTGAATATGTTTACATATATCGATATATATTTGCTTGCAGTGGCTGACTGATCGATCTGCTCTCTGCCCTAGGGTTACAAATAATAATGCCATAGTTATTACTGTTGTTTACTTCGGTTTATAACTACACTAGACTGTATATAAAATCAAATCCGCATTTGACATTCTCCTGGGGTCTCATTCTACCGCGCTGCTCCCTCCACCACCGACCGATCTTGTGTGGCTTTTGTTCTGTTTCTGCTACCGCGTCTGCTTCTGATGTTTCTCTAGCGCTCGCTTTTTTGTTGTTTGTTGGGTGGTGCAGCTTCATGTATCCGATGTTGTTGAGTGGTTCTTCAGCTCGTTATTGTTGTAAAAGGTGTGTTCGTGTGTGTGAGTGTGTGTATGTTGTTGTTTTGCTGTGTGTGTGGTAAAGATTTTCATGTTGTTGATTTGCTCTTTTAGAGCAAAAGGCATCTGGTCTTCTTCCTCTTTTTGACTTGCAGCGCGGCCCTAGTTGCCGTCTCGAAAACATCTCGCACACCCTCCTTGGACTTGGCCGAGCACTCCAAATAGGCAAAGGCATTAATCTTCTCGGCCATGGCGCGACCCTCCTGCGGCTTCACCGGCTCCTGTTTCATCTTTGCGAGATCCTGTGGGGAAAAAACAGAATAGCACTTAGGTGACAGTGTTCTATTGTGAGCCAACGGTGCGTATACTTACCCGAATTGTGTTGGGATCATTTCGCAAATCTTTCTTATTTCCTACCAAAATGATTGGAACATTTGGACAAAAGTGCTTGACCTGAAAGCAATTAAGAAGTATAAGTTGAGTTCTATGATTTTGGTAATGCAGATGAAAAGTATTTAAAGAAACATCTTTGAGATACATTTGTCAGATAAATAAAATGACACCATTAATAATTTCACGAAACTTTAATTCATTATTTTCTCATAAGCTATCATATATACTATTCGACAGGAAGCTAGTTCCTTTTATTATTTATTTTTTTTTTCAAGTTTCAGATACTAGATTCTACTAGAACAAAAATCTGTTACTATTGCGGATAATTATGCCGTGTCTTGGAATTTTCAAATAGGATCACAAATCAAGTTATATTAGGGAATTTGAGATACTGAGCATGGTGCTTGATATACACTACTGGCCGAAATAATAAGTACATGCGTATGTGGTTTGTTTCAAGTCCTATAAAATTTGTTTGATAAACTTAAGAAAAAAACCCACTTTATTTTTAGTTTCCGTACTTATTCCAGATAATAAAAATAACTGCCTAAAGGATTTTACATTTCAAATTTAGAGACAGGGGTCAATTTTATCCAAAAAGCATGAAAATGGGCTGGCCGAAATAATAAGTACACCCATTCTTCTAAGTCTAGAACTCGGAAAGTATTAGATATTTTGCACTTCTTTTTTCTTATAAGTAAACTTAGATTAGTATCCAATAAAACCACACTCGTTTTAGGTAACTTTCGCTATTATTTTTGGCATTCTAGCAGGAAGTCTGTGGCAAGTCAGTACTAGAAGCTGAGACCAGGTTTCTTCAGCAAATCGTCACAAATCTTCAACACTTTAAAATGTTTTGGTTACAATACGACGTTTTAAGTTTCCCCATACATTTTTGATTAGGTATGAGTTCGGAAACTGACTTTTCCAACCCATGACGGTTACTTTTTTGTCCCTAAACCAGGCCATGATGACTTTTAAGGTTTACTTTGGATCGTTATCTCGTTGAAAAATCTATCGGAAGGGCATGTTTCCCTAAGCATATGGTTAGAAGATGCCAGTTAAAAAAGTTTTATTTTCGAATTCGGTCGTAATACCATTTATGAGATGTATTTGCACAACGCCATGCCAGGAAAAACAGCCCCTGACCTTTATGCATCTGTGTCCGGGCTCAACTTTTTTTTTCGCGTTTCAAAGCTGAATTTTTTGACTTTGGTTTGACGTACAAACCGTCTAGAATCGTTTAAAAAAAAAAATATTTTTGTTTCATTGCCCCAAAGTATTTTGTTTCCACCTCCGGTTCAGACCATACCAAAAAAATGTTGCAAAGCTTTTGCTTCATCTGAAAAAATTTTCCTTGAAGTAATAGAACCTTTTGGGGTATACGTCCTTGTAATCCTGTCTCATGCAGTCTACGACAAACTGTTCGAGCTCAAATTTAAATGTCAATTTCGCCAGAAATGGCCTTGGATGACCAAGCAGGTCCTTTTTGGCAAGAGAGAGGTAACTGTTATGAGATGGTCAAGTCAGTCTCCTGTCATAAACCTAAACTAAACATTGTGGGGAAACTTAAAACGTCGAATTGTAACCAAAACATTTTAAAGTGTTGAAGATTAGTGAAAATTTGCTGAAGAAACCTGGTCTCAGCTTCTAGTACTGACTTGCCACAGACTTCCTGCTAGAATGCCAAAAATAATAGCGAAAGTTACCTAAAACGAGTGTGGTTTTATTGGATACTAATCTAAGTTTACTTATAAGAAAAAAGAAGTGCAAAATATCTAATACTTTCCGAGTTCTAGACTTAGAAGAATGGGTGTACTTATTATTTCGGCCAGCCCATTTTCATGCTTTTTGGATAAAATTGACCCCTGTCTCTAAATTTGAAATGTAAAATCCTTTAGGCAGTTATTTTTATTATCTGGAATAAGTACGGAAACTAAAAATAAAGTGGGTTTTTTTCTTAAGTTTATCAAACAAATTTTATAGGACTTGAAACAAACCACATACGCATGTACTTATTATTTCGGCCAGTAGTGTACATATGTATAGACATATTACCCTTAAAGTAAAAAATGTTTGCTTTAGAAGTTGATTTATGAAACCCGATTAAACGTTTCCTTCCTGTTTGCTGTTCCACGTAATAATACTCACCTCTGGGGTCCATTTCTCAGGAATATTTTCTAGCGAATCGGGTGAATCCACTGAGAAACACATCAGTATGACGTCAGTGTCGGGATAACTCAGCGGTCGTAGTCTGTCGTAGTCTTCTTGCCCGGCCGTATCCCACAGGGCCAGCTCCACCTAGGATTGGAATTTGGAGATAGTGATTAGGATTTTAGATTTAGATAAGGATTGCTTGCACACCTAGTGCGTACTGTCATCATATTGCACTTGGTAATTGATTGTCAGGGGGGAGGAGCTGGAGACGAGACAACAACTTTGAGTTCAAGATAGCAAGAGCTTGCTGGAGAGCTGGAGAATGGGAGAGTAAGCAAGGAACTTGGCGGAAATGCCAAGCGAATTAATCACATCGAAGCGAGCCGAAGCCAAGTAGAATGACGTGAACGAGAGTCAGGCAGCCAGCATATGTATGTAAACGCTATCCAAACAGAAACACAAGCAGGCAAAGGCACAGAGGCACCGAAACCCCGCCATATTGCGCAGCAAAGGCAAACAGTGTTTATTTCGAAAAATCGCCTGAAAAATATTGAGAATCGGAATCGAACATATAGTCAAATCATGACTTAATGCCCTCGGAAATCGCGCACACCAAACGCTACTCATTACATTTAGTAGACCGGGAGAGAGGGTAAGAGAGTAGTGGGCGAACGGGAGAGAGTACAGGTAGAGAGAGCGATCGAGCGAGCGGGGGGCGGCGCAACGCACAAAACTGTATGTGCGCAACGGACTTGTATAAGACAAATACAAAATAAAAAGAAAAGAAAACGAGCGGAAGGAAGGGAGCCCTGCTAACATGGTATTGGTGCTGCCAACTCTCTGTTTGCCATCCATGTGTGTGTGTGTGTTCCAGAGTGTCTGTGGTGCGGTAGTGTGACTGGGGGAAATGTGGCCAAGTGTGACTTAATCACTGCTAACAAGAGTTGTGCTGGGGGATTCTTCCAAAAACTATCCGTAATTTGCACTCTTCTAAGATCGTGGAAAAGCATTTTCCCTGCTTGCCTGCTCCTCCTGTTATACTGAGTGTCTGTCTGTGTGTTTATAGAATCGTTCGATATTGACTCACAGCACAGTTTTTTATTATTATTATTTTTTTTTTTTTCATTTTACAAGGAGGGGTAGTAGGTGTGGGTGTGGGGGTGAAGTTGTGGGTGGCACAAACAAGAGAACAATAAAAACACACACACACAGGCACAGAGAAAGAGACAACAGACAGGCAAAGAAGAGAAGTGTAAGGAGGATACGCGCACTTGAATTCGTCTGAATTGAATGCACAAATTATAAAACGAGATCATCTGATTATCTCTTCCTCCCGGGCGGGGTTATCAGGGGGGCTAGCTGGGGTTGGGGGTTGTCTCGAAAGGGAGGGGATTTCAAAAACTTACCTGTTTGCCGTCCACCTCGATGTCGGCCACATAGTTCTCAAACACGGTGGGCACATAGACCTCGGGGAACTGATCTTTGCTGAAGACAATCAGAAGGCAAGTTTTACCGCAGGCACCGTCGCCGACAATTACCAATTTCTTGCGAATCGTCGTCATTGGAAGTTCTGCAAAGCAAAGGGAAAGGCACATTGGTGGGGGATGCAAATAATGCAACGAACTGCTGGTGCTAATGTTGCCGCTGCTGCACAGAGTCCGCTCGCTTATTCTGTTTAATTTATTCGCGAAAACTGCGAGCTGTTCGAAATTATCGAAATGAAAAAGCCACACACAGGCAAGGCACACGCAAACACCAACAACGACCGACAAACACACACACACGGGCGCTCTTTCTCTCTCTGGGTAGCCCTCTCCCGCTCGCACACACACTTAGTCATAGTCGCGGCTGGACGGGACGACGGCGATCTAATAGTCGAAAAGTGTGGGGTTCTTTCTTTTCTTTCTAGCCCATTGTTCATTGTCCGTTTTTGCCGCATTTATCTGCTGTTTTTCCCCGTTTTACGCTTTGCGCTTTCCGTTTTTCGCGTCCACCTTTAGCATTTTCCTGGGGCCAGCTCCAGTCGCGTCATAGGGCCGAAAAAATCAACTCCTCTCCTCGTCCCGCTCGCTTTATTCCATTCCAAAAACATCTCATCATCCACTCGCGCTCCGCTGTCCGTGTCCGCCGACGTCGCTGTGTGCGTGTGGCTGGGCGTGCGTGTGTGCGTGTCTGTGTGGAATTTTTTCACTGCTTTTCAGCCACTTACAATTTATGGTGATTTCACAACACTCAGCACGAATTCGACACTTAATTTGCTTACAAAATGGCACAAATTTGTTGATTCTTATGCGTCTACCGTTAGCTATATCGTATAAAAGTTAATGCAATTACAAAAATTCGAATTGAACTCGACGATTTTTTCCCATGCAAAATGACGATGAACAATGTTCATCCGTTTCGTTTCTCGGTAGCGCGATGAACCTTCGATGACCAACCAACGCCTTCAAGCGCAGGGCTGCATTTCAGCGGCTATCGGTGGCAACTCTGCGGAGGTGTTACCTTTGGCGGTGGCTGGTCACACTTGGGCGCTGTTTCTATTTCCAACCGCGGTTGAGGTCCTAAACTCAAATATTAACGTTGCCATATTGAAAATATTAATATAATATATAAACAAAATAATTTTAAACGTTTTTTAAATCAACAACAGAGTATTTAATTTTTAAAAATGTAATCGTTCTCGTTGTACTATTCCGATAGTCTTAGTTCAATAGTAATCGGCTTATCGGTATTGTGTCTGCTTCTTCTTCCAACTGCGGTCGCATGGCCGGGCAATTGTTGCTTTAATTCTTGACGTTTTCCCGAAATATGACAATAAATAAACTAAATTCGCACATACTGAAAGAAATGCAGCTTAGTTTCCGGCTTACTGAAGAGCGCGAGTTGGCCTCCGGTCGCAAGAGGCCCGGAAAACGAGTTCCTCTACCTGTGGCGGCTCCAACAGTTCCCAGTGCTCCCGCAGGGATTTCGAAAACTAAACAGCAGAAAATGGATGTGGAAAACCCAAACCTGGAACCATTCCAGGAACCAAAGAAAGCAAAGCCGAAATCTAATAAGAAAGCTGCTCAAAAGAGACCTGCCCATTTCAAAGATACCAAGTCTGAGACTTCTCCGTCCATAAAGAAGCCGAAGAAGGATGTAGCTGCTCCTAGGGATAATTTTAAAACGAAATTTGATAACACAAAATCTGAAAAAAGCTTAGTTAAGAATAAAAAATTCCAAGAGAATGTTCAAAAGAAGGCAGGCAACTTAAAAGTTAAAAAACAACCAGTAAACTCGAGGAAACCCAAGGATTCCGGGTTGAAAATAAATAAAAAGGCTTCTAAGAAACAAGATAAAAAAGTTCCTAAGAAGAGTGGTAAATATTCCAAGTTATACGATAAAGTAAAGTTTATTAATATATATTGTTTTCTTTCAGAAAAGACACATGGAGTTGAACATAACAAGTTGAATGATTCCAAAGTTACCAAAGTAAAAATTGTGACAGAAAAACTTAAAAAAGTCAATGGTACCAAAGCCCAGACTCTGATGGTTCCCAAAATAAATGGTATTGTATTTAGATATCTTATAATCCGAATGTAATTTAACCAATATTTATATAAAAAGGATTTGTAGAGGAAACATCTAGTGAAGACTCCTTTGAGGATTTCGAGGATAATTCCGATTTAGAAGATGAAAATGATGACTATTTTGAGGGGAATTCAGAGGACGTCTGGACTGAAGAAGAAAGCAGTAAGAACGATTTTGGGCCATTAATAATTAAAAACTACTTGTCATTTAACAGGTTCCGAGGAGTTCGATGGCTTTGAAGACGAAGGCGAGGACTTCTTCAGGGTGCCTAGGATAGTTAAGGCGTCCAAAAAGGATAAAAGCAAGCGACTTACGTTGCCAAATCCCTTTGAAGAACCTGACGACAGCAGGGTCCACCTTTTTCAAGGCGATTCCCAAGGGTCTGTCCGCAAAATTATGGTCTTCGAGTCGAATGTCCTAGCCGAAGTGGACAATGTCGAAACGGATGATGATTACGTCCCTCGAAACAGTGAAGACTTTGAATCAGAAGATTTTGACAGTGATGAGACTGATAGCGAGGATTTTGACAGTGAAGACAGCGAAGACTTTGGTAGTGGAGACAGCGAAGACTTTGAATACTTTGAGAGTGAAGACAACGAAGACTTTGACGATGAAGATAGTGATGATTCAGAAAGTGAAGTCACAGACAGCGAGGATTGTGGCATCGATATCTTTGATAGCGACGACCTTGACTCCACCTATGAACCACCTAATATTGAAGGTTTCTTTGATGATACGCCGCCGCATTTGCAGAAAGAACCTCTGATTATTGAAGAAATCTTTGATGAGCCACCTGTGGCAGAAAAACAAAATGAACTGGTTAGATATAACCCCAAAGAGAAGGCTATTGTGACAGAAAAGATTGTAAAGGAGACCATTATAGCAAAAGAAGCAAAAGACGAGCCCGAAGTCATGATAGAAGCTGAAGTAAAAGTAAAGGAATTGCATAAAGACACTCCTGTTACAGAACCGAATCAAGTTCCTCAGTCAAATGACACACCCTTCTATAGAAATCCGCAAGCCATTGCCACCGAGCTCAGCGTCTTCGAAAACAGCCTGAAGAGCAACTACGTCCTGGCTGTAATTAAGGAGAACATTGAACTCTATGGAACATTGGTGCTGACCCTGCTGAGTGGCCAAATCACGGTGAATGGCCACAGAGCCCGCAGGCAAGAACCACTAACCATTTATTCACTAAAAGGTCTTCCTTGGGTGTCCGTTTCGCCGACCAAAATAAAAAAACCAGCTAAGGATGAAGTGAATTGGAAGGAATTGAATGAGAACTTTACTCAAGCACAGCTGGACAGGATTCAGGGTAGCTTCCAGAGCCCGACAGACGCCATTGTGCTGCTGCAGCGCAATGCCGGCGCCCAGCGTCTCCTAGAAACCTTTGGTAAACATATGGCCCAAAATTTGTTTCCTCTGCTAAACACCTCCAATAGGCCGTACCACCAGAGCGAATCTCTGCTGCAGTGCCTTATCCAAAACTCCGATCTGAGTCATACGCTGCTAGTTCCGACGGTTTGGAACAAGTTAAAGATACATCCCGGCAGTAGAATAATCATAGCAGGTGGGAAAGGCGTTGGAAAGTCAAGTTTGCTACGTTACCTCATCAACCGGAATTTGAGTCAGCTTCCGTCTTTCTTGCTCATCGATTTGGACATCGGGCAGCCCGAAATCTTTGTTCCCCAGACTGTTTCGTGTACTCTCATCGATGGACCACTTTTGGGACCGGGATTCCTGCTTAACAAACAACCGGAATGCGCCTACGTCGTTGGCCACACCAACATAGTCATGTGCGCGGAACAGTATGCCAGAGCTGTCATCCAATTGATCCAGCATGTCCAGAAGGATTCCAAGTACGAAAATATCCCCTGGCTGATAAACACAATGGGCTACAACAAGGGCTTTGGAACTGAACTGATGGCTCTGCTGGTGGACCGTATCCGACCCACGGACTTGATACAGATTGCCAGTCCAATAGCGATCAACAACTTTGATTCACCGCTTGAGTGGAGCAGCCTCTCGCAGTGCAAACCGATTATTTATATGGCCGATGAGTTCCGGGTGAAGGAAATTCCAAAATACACGCTCCACAGACTGATGAGTGCTGTGCCGCCCAAGGAGCGGGGAACATGGAGCCTGAGTGCCAAGGATATGCGGTATTCTAATCTTTTGGCCCGTCTTAGTTCGTGTCTCACGGGAAATGCCAAATCCTTGGCAGATTGTCAGACGCTCGGCGTGCCTTTAGAAGCCTTAGAGATTCAGCATCCCACTAGCGAAGATTACACGCGTGAAGAACTGATCCAGGGCATGGAGGCCAATGTGGTGTATCTGTGTCACCAAGAAGCTGGGGGCTTGCCGCAATGTTTGGGAATAGGTGAGGTTTAGTGAAGATCTTGAATGAAAGGCATTAATTCCGCTTGTATTTACTTTCAGGAGTTGTCCGCGCCATTGACTACGAACGCCAGCGACTGTTCCTCGTACCTGCCATGCCCCTGCAGTTTATGCCTCTTGTGAACAGTCTTATACTCGGCGGAGAACTAACCCTGCCACAGGGATACTTTCGGGATCAGGGTCAAGGAGTTTCCAGCAGTGTACCTTTTGTATTCATCCTGGACGATTCCAAGTCCTCGAAGAGCATACAGCAGATCTACCATCGACCGCCGGCCTTCCTAGGAGTGCCAGCGAATCAGAGGAACGGAAACTGAACCGAACACCGGCTACATTGTTTTGTAAATAAAAAGGTTTATTATTAAATCAAAAGAGGCTAATGGGACAGGTCATGGCGGCCCTTCAGTATCCTGCGCATCAGCACACGCCGTCCCTCGGGTGTGGACATTCTTGTATCCCAGCCGTGGACATTGATTCTCTTCACCTCCTTGGGTTTTGGGAAATGGCAGCGAACTTTCGGCTTTAGCAGCGCACGGTTGAAGGCGTGTTTTTCCCGCATAAGCAGTGTTTGAGCGGTGTTGGCCACCGCTAAGCAGGTCCTGGAAGGATAATTTTGAAAGTTATTCATACATAAAATCCTTGTTTATCCTCGTTTTATTTACCTTTGAATCAATCCTTGCAGCATGTTAAGTAATTTCCAACTAGTGTGACCAAATATTTCACTTAAAATACCACAAAGCTGCAACATATGAGTTCGAAAATTCGAACTAGTGATGATATTTACAAGGCCTGGGTCGAAATTTAAAGTTTATAAAATTATATTTACAATTTGTGAGATTCTGAAAGTTTTTTATGTTTTTTTGTATAACCTTGAGCCATAGAAAATTCAAGCTTAAGACTAACATTTAAGAACTCGTTTCAAGTATTTATAAAAGCTTATTATTAATGATGTGCTAAAACAAGGGTTTCTTATGGATATTTATAGAAGTACTACGGAAATCGAAATATTTAAAGAGATTGTTAACAAAAATACAATCACTCTCGAAACGATTTCACGCATCTCTAGCACTGCAGCGCAAACAGCTGTGGCGGCCGCACATCGGTATATTTCCCGCAGCGGTATATTTCGTGGCCTCAGTCGCGGTCACACTACTCCTCTGCCAACAACAACTCGCTGCGGTTTTTCGGCCGAGTTTGTTTTCTGCTCCCAATTCCGCTGCAAAGGAAAAAGTGAAAAGCTAGCGAAAAATATGCAGCATGTGAGGCATCGCCAGTTGCATTTATAGTCCAAGCATTGCATCGAAAAAAAGTCGCGGAAAGCTCGTGCGAATTGCAGGTGAATTGTGTGACGGAAAAAAGTGCTGCAAGTGAAGAGAAACATTGCTGCTGCAGCAGTTGTGCGTGAGAGTGTGAGTGAGTGAGCAAGTGAGTGTCGCATCTCTGTCGCTCTCCCTGGACGCGATTTCCGTGGCCCAAAGAGATTTCGCCCAAAGGAGATTCCCGAATCCGGAGCAACCGAAATAGCGCAACGAGGTGAGTGCAAACTGCAACTGCAACTGGCTACGGTCGCAGAAAAAGCAACACCAATTAGCCCTGTCTGCCGCGGGACGAAAAAAAAAACAAAAATGAGAGAACGGCAACAAATATACAACAAGAAAATCGATTTTCCTGAACTTACAATTTTCTCCGCCTCACTGGGCTCCACAAATGGGGGAGCCGGCTGCGGCACCATAAAGTATACATAAATTGAATTTCGAAACACGGAAGCGAACGAAGGATGAGCAGGGAAAGGGGGCCGTAGAATGGGAGGCTGCACACTGCCGTTGTTGTTGTTGTTCTTGTTCGGTTTGCTGGTGCTGGATGCCGACAATGATGTTGATGGAAGTACGTGCATATGTGTGTGGCAACAGAGCAAGGGAGACGAAAAAATCGAGGCTGGAAAATCTGACCAGCAGGACTCCAGTTGTCATGGCCACCGCACTTAACAAATGATTTTAGCGGACACTTTTTCCGGATGCGTCTGTTGGGCAGCTGCCAGTTTACGCTTGCTCCTTCCCTTCTCTCCACCTTTCTCCTCTATCTCCCTCTGCAGGCGGCTGACTTCATCTGTCTGCCCCTTTCTATCTTTCTCTTTCCCCCGTGTGATTGAATGGATGTGTGTGTGTTTGTACTTTGATGACGGCACTCAGTTTCCGCCCGCACCGTGATTTTCGGTCATATACGGTACCAATACACCAGCACAGTGGAACCTGGAATGGGTAGGACGAGTTCCAGTTAAGACTCAATAAGAGCCTTTTGGTGACTGGAAAAGATAGAGGACAATTTGATTTTTATAATAAACCAATATATTTTAAAACTTTTTTGTTAATTTACAAATAAAGTATCTCTCCGATCGATGATTGTCCTCTGCGTCCACACCTAGCGAGGCTTTACTGTGGTAAATCCCCGGCATTACCACTCAGTTTTTGGCACTCTTTTGCGGATGCTGCGTACGCAAAAAGGGGACGACGGCTGTTTTAAGAGCTCTAGTGTTTCCTTTTTCGCTTCCGCCTGCACCCCTAAATTATGTTTCTGTGTGTGTGAGGAGGACGAGAGGTCTAGTGTGCGTGAGTGGCGTTTTCCGCGTGCGTGTGTCTTTCTGTGTGTGAGTTTGGGGCAACAAAATTACTTTTACGAGCGTTTAGCATAGGTTGTCGCTTCCCCCCCTGACCACCAGTTTGTTTTATTTTGATGCGTTTTTAATCAGATTGCGTCAATTTGTTGCTGGCCTAACGATGAGGGCGGTAGGTCGGTCGGTTGGGCCTGGTTGGGGGAAGTGGTTATGTGAAGGAGTGAGCCAACGCTGCCCCGGATTGCGTGTCAAGTGCAGAAGAGACCCTTCTCGCGCCCGCTGTTTCCCTGATTAAAAAAAGAGATGTCTGTTTCTGTTTCGCATCTGGAAGTTGGTGGGTCTTTTGGGTGGGTTAAATGTTAAACACCCTATCTTTTTCTCTTCCGCATCCAGTCCAAAAATAAGTTCTTTTTCGTCCTCTTTTCTCTCTTATAATCTTCCACGATCCATTTCTTTCCAGTTGTCGACAATCCTTCACATGAGTAATTCACCTTCCCCTGGAAGGATTCTAGTTAGACCTACGCTTTTGCAACTTCCATTATAACTCTTCTTTAATCGAATCTTTTTGTAGAGTGTAGAACCTTCGTTGCCTGTTTCTTTTCTCTGTTTTCGGTGGCTGTTCTTTTTGGCCTGTGCTTCTCCATGGCCCGTTAAAGTACAAAAATACTTGGGCCAGGCCAGCCGGAATACAAGTATCTATCTATCTTGGCGGCAGCTGTCCAATTCCAACCCGCCGGCAATGGATCGTTGTTGATGTTGTTGTTGTATCTGCTGTCGTCTTCATCAACGCCTCTGTGTATGCGCCAGTGTGGATAAGTGCGAGTGAGAGGTTTGAACTTTAAGGCATTGCGTTGTGTGTTTGTTTTTAGCATTTGCTTATGTTGTTGTTGTTCTTACTGTAAGCACACACAATTTTACGAAACATCGGCGACAGCAGGCAGAAATACACAACGCAGACACACAGGGCATCGTCATTATGCATGCAAGAGATCTTTGGAGCGCATTTGATCGCAACTCTTGGCAACTCCGCACATGGCTCCCAACAACAACAGCAGCAAATGCAACTCCAACGCCACCGCCGCCATTTGGCCAAAATGGCGGATGGCTGATGCCTGTCCCCCCACCAGTTTTTATACCCAGCCCTTCCTTGCTCCCAAGTCTCCAAACGTCTTCCAGTCCTCATGTCCGCGCGAGTATCAAGTATTATTACCAGACGTCGTTGGCCCCACGCAAAAATATTTTTGCTGTGACTCCACAAACTCGCTGCACTGCAAATAAAGTTAGGTCGAAATCGGGGATACAGTTGAGTTTCTTAAACATGACGATACTATTGTAATACTGTCAAAGTTTTAGACCCTAGAAAGCTGTAAACAACCATGTTTTATTATAATGTGACTATTTTTTTATTCAATTTACATGTTCTTGTATAATTTAATAAGATATAAATAAACTAGAGAATTGTTTCCTGTTACGGAAGGTTTTCTAGCAAACATTTTATGGGGTGACCTTTTATTTTTTCCAGTTTTTTAAGCACCTTTAATAAAGGTTCCATAAAAGGCATCTAGCTTCCGTAAAACACACTCTATAATTTTCGTTTGTACTTATGGTATGTAGATGGTCAAAAGAGGTTAAGAGTTAATTTTTCAAGCCACTATAGCCAAAGTACTTAACATTAAGAACGAAAAAAACATAAACATATTAGTAAAACAATTCCAATAACATCCAAAAACAAATAAGCTTTTAATAAATTATATAGAATATTACCTTTGACTCTTTTTCCGCAGTGTGGTGCAGTATACTGGGTCGCAGATCATTGCCCCGTACCACCGGCTTCTCCACACTCCTTCTCCACTCAGCATGCATTAAATTCTGGGAACTTCTTAAGTTTCGCTGAAGCGATAATTGCCACGTGATTTCTAATCAAATTACATTAGAGCACAATTACTCTGACTTTGTTCGCATTTAGTTGTTATCCAATTTAGGCGTCGTTTTGTCATGGTTTGTTTGTCTTAATTGGAAATCGGATTGCAGCCCACTTCAATTATGCATATCACCAAATTGGTCTTCATCATCATCGTCGTCGTCGTTGTCGTCGTCATACCCTAATTACAACCAATTAAACTCTATGAATAACCGATATATATGGGCGCATCTGTGTCAGCGAGTGCAGCCGCCATGGCAACCCCCTTTTACTTTTTTTTTTTATTGTCCCCCAGTGCATCGTGTGTGCTCCACTCACGTAGCTGGGATTTTGGATCGGCTTAACACCTTTTTTGGCGCTTTCCCAGCGCTTACCACGGGCCATTGGGCTCTTGGGCAATGTGCCGGAAATTGGGTTACACCTCAGCTACCTCGATTGCGGGCTACCTTCTTTTTATACTGGCTTATCTGATATGCATATCTCCCGACTGACTTAACCGTAACTGTTATCATATCTTAATTTTTTTGAGGGACAGTAACACTATCTGGGAAAGCCATGCTAATGCTCGCCATGTGTCGCACTTTCCAGCTCATTCTTCAGCTCGTTATTATATACACAAAAGAAACGTCTAAAGAAGACTGGAAATAAAGTCATAAGATCCCACAGACATGACATCACTGGGGCATTTCGAAATTGTAAATATTTGGGGAGCTCTATAATTTCTATTTTGCGAAAGGAAGGCACAACAAGCTTGAAGATTAAGTAATAAATTCACTTAGATAAACATTTCTGTGAAATCTATGTTATACATTTTTAAACCTAAGAAGCAATAATATCTAAAGGCTTTCGTATAATTTCTTCAATAGTGTAACGAACTAGTAAATAAATCAGTTTATAGTATAAAGCCTTTCTTTAACGAGGAGCTTCCAAACACTTTTGTTTGCCTATAAATTCAAAGAATCAACAAACAACTTTTGGGAAACGTTTTTCCAATTCGTTTTCCTTCTCATTTAGTTTTCCCCCCACAGGTTTTGTTTCAACTTTTTTTGCTGAAGTCATTATAAAATTGTTTTTTCTTGCTGTAGCGCTGGATTTTATTTTTTGTATTTTTGAAAGCCAGAATGCGACACGCCTTTCGTGACCAGCCCAAATATCCCATTGCAGGCAGCCCGGCCCCAAAAAACTCAGAGCTGATGCGTGGCGTTGATTGAGGAGAGCCGAGAGTCTTTTGGGCTATTTTTGGTAATTGCATGGCCTGCTTTCCACTGTATAGAGTTTTGTTTTTTGGACTCCCCACTCCGTTGCCTTCCCTGCCCGATTTTTCAGTTTCCAGTTCACTGACGATGCGTGCAACAAAGCATATTTCAATAAGACTATTTCCAACGACAAGATATTGTGGGTCAAGCGAGAGCATATGTACATAAAATTCGTACTCATAGAGCAGCGGCAGAATATGTATAACAATTTTTCAATCGGCCAGCATCGTAAACAAAATACAAGCGGCAAACAATCCATTAGTCCAGGGCTAGCCATCCCATCCCCAGAGACTTCGTCGTCGTCGTCGTCGCGGCTCCATCGTTTTCATCGTCGGAATTGTGCGCCCAGTGCGGCGAATCAAATTAATTAAAGCTGCCCCGAAAAGGGGGTTCCCTGTGGGGCGCACTGGCGGAGAAGAAGAAGGGGTGGATGAACTGGTGGCGAAAGAAAGCACACGGAGCACCAGAGAGAGATATGGAGCCGGCATATGGAACAATTGCGGTTTATTATTTCTGAAGAAAACCAACCGAATTAATACGTGAAAAGAGGAAAACAACATTGAAAGCTAATTGAAGATGAAATACTCTTGTTGTTCCAGAGAGCAGCATCAAAAAGTATAGAAAAAGTACAAGCTACGAGAAGCCAGCTTATGATTTGAGTTCAACATATAAGTGATAGGATCTAAAAAGAGTTCTCAGAAAATGTACAGACCATGAAAGATTTATTTGTAGTCTGGATTACATGACAAACTGATTTATTGGAAGATATCGTAGTTTCTTAAAGATCATTTGTTATACTAGGTCAGAGTTTTTAATTACCAATTTGCTAAATATATTGTTGTACTTAAATAACCCAAAAGAAACAAGTTTTGACCGAGATATGGGTTCGGAAATAGACCTGTTTTTATCTTATCTTGATAGGGATTATTGCCCTAGGCCGTTAGTGCTTTCGATTCAAAATGATCGTAAATAAAGTGACTGGCAAAGTGGCAAACTTAATGTATCCGCAAACATTTTGCATTCGAATCACGCCTCAGCTGCGGAGAGTTCTTGTTCGGATTCAGTGCCAAAAAAGATATATATAAAAAAGAAGTTTGGGTCGGCAAATAAATACATGCAAGACTGATACATATGTATTCACTATATCTTTGGGCATTGCACGCAAGTCTGGGTGCAGTGAAAATGAAAATAAATTTGTTTATGCGGTCGCTGCATTCTGCGATGAAAGAATTTCTTTGTTGCAACTGCCGCCGCTGCAGAATCAACATCTTTTGTGTCACGTAGTCGGAAAACGGAAAACAGAAAACGGAGGAGATGATGCTGAAGCCACCTTGTGTGTATTTAACGGCCAGCGTTTTCTTTGGTGTGTGTGTGTGTGTTAACCAAGGCTAATTGAACTGAACCGAGCTGGGGGCAACCTCTGAGATAATTAATTGCCCGCGGGAAGAGGCAAAATGAGTGGAGTGGAGATAGTAGATGGCACCGCAAAGTGCCGGCTCTAAAAGTAGGCCTCTCTCTAATCACATTAATACCAAACAGCAACGACTGGGTCTGGGACTGGGACTGCTACAGGCGATATATAAAGGCGGCCCACTTGAAAAGCCCTCTATGCGTGGGCGAAGTGGCATGACACTGGAAGAAAGGGTTTCCCTAGCACAGAATATATTATAGAGATGGAATACAACAAGCTTCAGGTCTTCTTTATTTTAAAATAAGGAAATATATTGTGCCTACACATAAATGTTTCCTTAATCATAAATGGTAATTTGTGTTTTTATACCCTTGCAGGGTATTATAATTTCAGTCAGAAGTTTGCAACGCAGTGAAGGAGACGTTTCCGACCCTATAAAGTATATATATTCTTGATCAGCATCAACAGCCGAGTCGATCTAGCCATGTCCGTCTGTCCGTCTGTCCGTCTGTCCGTTTCTACGCAAACTAGTCCCTCAGTTTTAAAGCTATCTCAATGAAACTTTGCATATAGTCTTCTATATGCTCTCACTGCTATATATGTCGGAACGGGCCGGATCGGACGACTATATCATATAGCTGCCATACAAATGTTCGATATATTTTTAGAAAAATAATTATAACTTTGCTGTTTTTTAACATTTATGCACCATTTTTTAGATATGGCCATTTTATATTATTTCGAAATTTTGGTAAAAATTTTATGAAAATCGGACGACTATATCATATAGCTGCCATAGGAACGATCGGGAAATTAATAGAAAAAAATTATAGATTCGTTGTTTTTCAACGTATTTTCATCTACTCCGGGATATAAGCTTATTTTATTATTCTAGAATTTTGGGATAAATTTAAAAAAAATCGGACAACTATATCATATAGCTGCCATATAAACGGTCGGTAGATGTAGGGAAAATGTAAAGCTGGAAATGCAAAACTGTAACTGTCAAACTGTAAACATAATAAGTATAGGTAAAATGTAATGAAATAATATCTGCAAGGGTATACAAACTTCGGCGTGCCGAAGTTAGCTTCCTTTCTTGTTAATATTAAAACCTTTTTTAGAGTTTTAAAAAAACACTCTTTCCTTTATTGAAACCATTATATATCCTTAGGGGGTCATCCCATGTGACTACCTATTTTTTTTTAGAGGTTTGTTACGATTTTTTTTCCTACAACCAGTAAATATCTAGAGCTTCAAGTTTCTTAACATTTATTAACACATATAACGGCATTATAAATATAATTTGTAAGTTAAAAATATTCTGTAGAACTTGAGTTAGAGCGTTCATCCTCAAAAGAAAAAAACAACTTGTGAAGGAAGTCTCCAGGCTTCCAGGGTGATTTGTTTATCACAAAAAAAAAGGCGTTTTAATCTACAAGCCCAAGTTCACAAAATTTTATAAAATTTATCGTTATAGTTTTAAATTGATTTGTTCTTTATCGCCCTTGTTCAATTATGTTTTCGGGTGTACATTTGAAGATTGAAACAATCTTGATTTATGGCCTAAGGCTGAATTCTAAGCGTGATAAGGTTTTGATAATAATAGCTGGAATATTGCCTCACTACAAACTATTCGATTTGTTTAAAACAGCGATGGGCACGCAGTGGCTCAATTTGCTCACGCTGCTCAAACCGTTATCTTTTTTCGGAGGCGCCAGCATGTCGCACAATTGCAGACGCACAAGTGCAGTGCTCGCGACCAGCGAACCGTGAAGATTTACAAAAACAACCACACTGACCTTTGGCGCAGGTAGCGAGCCCATCGCCGCGATCCCGAGTTTGCAACAACAAAACACAAGCGACCCGAACTCGCACATCGTCCCAAAAACAAGAACAATTTTAAAGGGAATTGTGCGGCTGGCGTTGACTTCTGCACTAAAGAAAAAAGATTGGATTTTTTTGCAGTCGTTTTTCTTAGGCGGACATAAATGCACGCAAAAATGGCTGAAGATATTGATCTACTCAAAAAGTTTTTGTCAGTGTATTTTCTCGGCTCGCACATTCTGTGTGTCGCGTGGGTGCGACGCTTCGCGACGCTGGGGGTTGTTCTTGTTTTTTTTTTTTTTCAGCGAGCTGCTGCTCAAACCGTTAGATCTCGTGCCCATCGCTGGTTTAAAACAATGTCTGGGTGTTTGCTCAGTGCAGCCTAACCACTAAGCTCATCGTCGTCATCCTATACTCCTCATCATCATGGCGGTTTCTATATTGTTCTTGTACCTTTATTAGTTTGCCTTTGTGTCGGCTCAATTTATGAGCTGACCCTCAACCCCACTGGAGAGGCGGCATCACCAGTGAACCACCAGCTTTGGCTCCATGACTCCGAGCCCAGCTGTGGTGTGGTCCCAACTCTTATCTGAACCGATGCATTCAGAGGCAGAAGAGAAAAACTTGTTTCTGTGCTCCGCCTGTGCTAAGTTATGTTCTCTCATTTCTCCGGGACCCACTGGGCCCCGCATCCCGTGCCAATGGCTCTTTGGTTTTTTGCATTTGGCGCAATGCTAATTCATTTGCATAGCCAACAAATACGCAACAGAGGAGACTCATTCTCATTCATGCCAAAGAGCAAGGAAAAAGGAAGGGGTCGGGCTGGGCTGCTCCGGCGGGGTGTGAGGTGTTCATGGGGTATAACGAACGACTGATGGCCCCGGCATGCTTGGCTGCATTTTAAGTTCATATACGCTGGCACATATCGGTGGCATATTGCCGCCGCCTGACACTTGGGTCTCCGGCCGGCTCCTCCTTTTCCCATTTCTCATTTGATATTCCAGCTGGGTCTCCACGGAGACGACGGAGGTCTTCAATTAAATTTAACTAGAAAGCAGGCTGCAAATAAATAAATACAAATACAAATACTGGCAGCGCTGGGCGATGGAAAAACAAATGATATTTTAGTTGCGCATGCATAAGCAATTATATTTTCCATTATTTATGGCATTCAATAACTCCTGTCCTCTGTCTCATGTGATGGAATTTTCGTAGCAGAAGGCATTCCTTTGATATCGATTTCCAGCGCCGGACTCTCCCGCTCTCTCTGTTGCTTTGTCGCACATTTAATGTCTCAATTAAAGGCATTCCCATGCGCTTCATTTCCCTCTGCACATTTTATGCTGTTTTCTTTATTGCAAGTCACAAACGTTAACCCCATTCGGCCCGGTCCGGAATGCTGCAACTTGTGCAATTGTGCTCCAATTTCAGTGTCCCCAACACACACACACACAGCATTGGAGCTCTCCGCCTCATTTGACCGGAGGAAGATGACAAGGGTTGGCGATGTTCAGGCGATAATGCCTGCGTTGAATGATTATCGGAGGAGTTATTTGGGGAGTGGCTGAAAGCTATAAATAGTCGACGCGGCGGCGGCGATGATAAGCCTTCCGAGCTTCGGAAAATGGAAACGAACGGAAAATGGGGATGCCATAATGCCCAATGAGGGATTAACAAATTTATGGGAATTATTCTGTGAAGTGGTCCGAGATGAAAGGGGAAAGACTGATTCTGATTCAAAATCGATGTTCAGTTCTCAACGGAGTGCATTGTTCAGCTCGGTAATTGAATGGGGCGATTGGGCATTGGGAAGTGGGAAAGCCGTTCTAATTGTTCCATTATTAATTCAAAAACCGGCCAAATAAACAAGCAATTAAGATCAAAATTAGACTAAATAATTCATAATCAAATGGCAATTGTCTCCCCGAGTTTTCTCTTTCATTTATCAGCATTAATTAAGTGCCCCTTTCGGCTTGGACTTTCCCAATTTCTTCGCTCGTTCGGTTTGGGTGTTTGTTGGAGTCTCTCTCTTTCCAATTACCGAAAAGATCATGTGCATCACGTTAATCAAGCGTTAATTTTCCCCCCAAATACAGGAAAAACAACAACACTTGACAGTTGTTTATGTTAATTACTGGTCGGTCGGTGGAGGAAAAGTTACAGCAACATAAACACAAATGCTCGAAGTTTGAGGCTCACAGCTCAAATTGGGGTTTGGGTCACCGAACCCAGCCGGCAATTAATTAGCATAGGCCATATCATCGCACCCAGCTGCACTGCTCCTCCCCCCGGGGACCTTGTGCCATAAAATATGTTTAATAATATTCCCACAATTTCCACTACTTGCAGATGATGCTGAAGGCGATGACGACAACGACTACGAAGGCGCTGCTAACGAAGCAGATGATGTAAACGCTGCAAACGCTGCCACAGCCATATCCCCTTTCTCTTCTCTTTCTCTGTCGCTCGGCCACTCTCCACAAACGAAACGAAAGCGAAAACCCAGGAGGGAAACTCAACTCGAGAAGCGAGAAACCAAAGCCCACGACTGCCGCATTGGATTTCGTTTCGTCCGAAATCGAAACTGCATTCTTTTGGACACTCGACGCATTCATACTAAACTGACACATATCGGGCAACGTTCGTATCGAACATGAGATTGCCACGGTGCCATTCGGTGCTCCTGCTCCTGGCCATAGCAGCACATCTAGTGCTCGCCGAGCGGGACTTCAATGTGAACGACTCCCAGGTGAGTAGCAGTGGTAATTGGAGCATTCTCCCGCCGATCATATCGCTCTGTCTCCCAGTTGGGTCAGCGTCAACGTCTCCCTGGCGACTGGTAATTGTGATTGATGATGCATGGAATTTTTCATTTCAATTATACAGTCGCCGGTCGAATGAGAGATTAGATTGCCGTCGCGATAAGTTAATGCTTGGACAGCAGTCATGCTTTTGCTTAAATCTATTTTTACTTTATTTTTGCATTGTTTGCTGGAAAGAATTTCCGGGCCAAATAGATTTCAAGTACACAAATAGACATAATGAAACGCTGTTCGATATGCCATAAATTCTTTGGTCTTTCTAGAAATATAGGAAAACCAAAAACATTCTGTATTGAATTTAATTTATTTTCCTTTCAGGTTCCTGTCATTGAGCCCAAGGATGTGCCCGCCTACAAGCAGGATCCGTATGTCACGGAATTAATGAGCTGCCAAAATACACACAGCGAGATCGTGCTCTCGTTGCTGTTGAAGAAGCACGACTGGAGCGAGCTGACGGCCACCAAGCGAGCCCATGTTCAGGCCAAGCTGGCCAAGTTCTTTGCCATCCCAAAGGTGAGCTTCAAGAGTCACATTTTGAGACAAAGCAATGCTTAAAAAAATGTTCTCTATTTAGGAATTCATTTCCCTGGATTCGGTGTCGAAGCGTGAGCTGAAGATCATGCACAAGCTGGCCATGCGAAAGGGAGGCAAGGGCAACAAGAATATCGAGACCCTGAATCGCCGTCTAGGACGCGCCAGTTTCATGGTTTGTATATGCTATTTTTCGTTTTTACTTGTTTTAATTACCTGATTTTACCTCCAGATCGGCTGTGGTCCAAGCTATTTTGTGATGGGTGAACCGATTGCTAAGCAGATTGCCCACCAGGTGAAGGACGGCACTATTGGTGCTCTGACGGAGGAGAACTTTGGCCTTTGGTTTATTTGGCGAAAGGAATTGAAGTCGCGGTAAGGCGAAGAAAAATTACTACTTAAGGAGAAATTCTTATGAAAGTTATTTGCTGTTTTTATTATGTTAATAGAGTTTATTTGAAGTTATTATTTTATTGATAAGAGCATTTCTTGAAGCTTCCCTTAACGGATACATACATATTTATTAATGTACTCTTAAGAATGCAATGAACTGGTAACAACTCCCTTGAGCATGTCGATAACGCCAATCGTTCTTTCAACTCCCAGATCGAACCGCAAGCGACGCCAGTCTGAGGGTTCTGGTGCTGACGAGGATGACTACGACTACGGAGATGACGAAGAGGAAGTTGCGTAAGTTTCACTCACCTGGATATGTCACATAGCTTTGATTAGTAATGGCGGAAAATATTGATATTGATTGTCGATATATTTATTTGGAAAAGATATAAATTAAATAACGTTTTTCCTCACTTGGATGTGTCACATAACTTTTATTAGTATTGTCAGAAAATATTGTTATTAAAGTCGATATATAATCGATATTTTAATATTCGGTATCGAAAAAGAGATAAGTTAAATAACATTTTGCGTTATTGCGTTATTTTTTAATATTTAAAATTTTTATATATCAATGTAAATGCTGTTTTCGATATCATTATGAGTGCTATATTTCTGCCGATATATCTTATCAGAATTTCCTTTTCGTTATACATTCCCAATTCCAATCTGATTACTAATATTTGTTATTTCTTTTTTAGAGAGCCCAGCACGGAAGTTCCGGCGGTGACCACGCATGCGCATCGTCATCATCATGGAGCGGTAAGTGTTGAGGCCCAGGCTTTTTATTCCCATTCAGTTATTCCACCATATATATATTTGTTTCGGTTCTTCTCTGGGTGTTTTCTTTATCTGATACATACGTTTAAATGAGAATACCTGCGGTTCATACTTGTTGGTTAACCACACATGCTGACATATGTATGTACTACCTGTGTGTGGATCTGTATGGATCGCGTCTAGAGATGCGTTATCGTTTTTGATTTCCGGAAAGGCCTTTGGTTCTTTGTTTGTTTACTGCACTTTGTTAATAACAGCAAATTGGATATTATACCATATATAACATTCAACAACAACAACAAAAACAGCACACCACCCATGCATTTAAATGAAACGCTCACACACAACCCCATTTACACTACAATATATAACTATAATTCATCATACGGTGTTTACGTATTTTCTCTTCTCTTTTTGCTATCTTCCCTCCGTTCTCTCACACACCCTTGTCTGTGTATATCGATCACTCGATCGACCGATCGATCGGTCTCATTGTGTTAATGTGTAATATGTAAACCCACCACCACCCACAATCGAAATCGCCTCGAAAACTAACCAAAAAAACTCGACTCACTAACTAACCCAAAAGTCGGAGGTGTCGCCCGAGTCTATCTCCTCGTCGGCCGTGCCATTGGTGCCGAATGTCCAAGAGGAGATCGAGGAGAGCGTATCCAAGCTGGAGTCGGTGATCAGCAAGACGATTGAGAACACGAAGAATATCAAGGAGCTGCCCGTTCTGGGCGTAGCCGAGGATGGTGACGACGAGGAGGACGTGGAGTTACAGCAGTTGGGAGTTCCGCTGGCAGTAGAGATACCGCAGGAGGAGACCACCAGCAAGGCGGCCACGACCACGACGTCGTCTTCGGAGATGGTAAAGCCCAGTTACTTGGAGGAGAATGCAATTCAGGTGGACTCGGCCGTCGATGTGGAGGAGGAGGCCTTGGCTCCCACGCTGGCGCCATCGGTGCCCGCCTCTGAAACAGAACATAAGCAGCAGCCATTCTCGCCCTATGATGCCACCTCTTCGGTGTCGTCGTCGTCCATTGCAGCTGGCGAGGCTTCGTCCTCGGTGCCCTCGTTCCCTCATACCTCCTCCTCCTTGCCCACAGCCACGCCCACAGAGCTAGACATCCAAACAACCTCCTCTGCTGCTGCTGCTGTATCATCATCATCTCCATCTCCATCCGCCCCATCATCATCCCCATCCTCATCCACATCTCCATCCCAGGCCACTCAACCAACAACAACAACTACATCTACAAGCACTACAGCAACAATCTCGACTACAACATCAGCAACATCAACAGCAACAACAACCACGACACTGTCTGAATCGCCAAAGGTAATGATGTCGCTTCTGTGTGTGTGAGTGTACGAACGAGTGTCCTTCCGCCTCTCTCTCTCTGTATGTGTGCCGTGTACCGTGTCCTTGTCTCCTGTCTGTCGTTGTCACATGTAAAACGTTGTCTCACCTCAGGAGTTAGCTTAGCTTTATATCTCCTCCGACTCTGTACATATATATTTTTATATTGATATTGTGTTTTATTGGCTTTTGTCCTGTGTAAATGTAGCAACTCGTAAAAAGCCAGCAGGACTCCACTCCATGTTTGTAAGAGACTTTTAGTGGAGTTGGAGCCATAAATGTTAGATAAATAGTTGTAAAGATAAGTGTACATACATCAAGTTTTCATAAAAGGATGCTAAAGAGTCAGCAATCCCCTTTTGTGTAAATCCTGAGAGTAGAAGGCTGTAGACTGTAAGAGTTAACCTTAGATGTATATTGAATATAACACAAACGTACTTGTAACTTGTAGTAAGGAAATAGGTAGAACAGGGGAAAAATCGATGCCAACATCGATTTTAATCGATTCATCGATTCGTTTTTGAAACAATCGATGTACCTAAAACTTTAAATAAGCTATCATATTTATTCAACCTTTATTTATATTTATTTTATTCATTGAAAAGTGTTTTTTTTATCTCGTTGAATTTAAAAATTTACAATCTTTATTTCGATTTAATCGATGTTGTTTTCTAAAAGATCGATCAAAATCGATGCCTTGAGAATCGATCTTTTCCCAGGTATAAAAAAAGGGATAGAGTAGTTCAGGGACTCAGTTGCCCGCTTTCACCCATCCCTGCCCCCTTAAAAAAGAGCACCCACTTATTTCTGTTACCAAAATTAAACACCAAAAGCAGCCAAATACAATGCTTAACGAGTTCGAGCTGAGCACCCTGCTGCCCCTTGAGGATTTGGAGGGTTTGGCAGCAGCAGCCACGCCAACTGCCAATGCAACTGCAACTGCAGCCACAGTAGATGGAGCAGCAGCAGCAACCGCCGCCACATCAGCAGCAGAAGCCACAAGCGAGAGCGAGTTTCATGTAGAGTCCACCACGCACCGCACGATTAGCTCGAAGGTGAAATCTCGCTAAGCGCTATCGCAATCTTTAAGCCCTACTAGATTTGCACCTCTGCCCAAAACCAAAACCAAGAAACCCCCCTCGAAACCTCCGGCTCCGATCCAATTAGGGGAAATTGCTTTCCAGCCAATGCACTTAGCATGTACATAAGGGCAGGCAATTAGCGAAGCAGCGCTCCTCCTGCATGAGGTCCTTTGGTAATTGCATGTCCACTCACTCTCACTCTCTCGTTTGTATCCGTATTTGTTGTACTAACACTAACACTCTAACAACACTCACTCTCTCTCTGCCTGCCTCTCCTTCTTAGCCGATGACTTTGCAGCATGACACTTAGCCAGAGCCATCTGTCGCCAATTAGCCATCTCACTGTTAATGATTTCCCTGTAATTCCCAGGAAGGAGAACCCGATGCCATCAGTAGCAGTAGCGGCAGCAGTAGCAACATGAGCGCCGGATTGGCCAATAACGAGGTAACCAAAGATTTATTTCCCCGGCAACCCTAGAATTTCCACTAATAGCATTAAAATATCTTCCCTACCAGCTGTCCACGGCGGCCACGCCCTCTTCCTCGGTGCCCACGACTACAGCGGCCACTCCGGACTCGAGTAGCAGCAGCAGCTTCAGCTCCCCGGACTACTTGGAACCACAGCCGGAGGAGAATAGTCCCCCGATTATTAAGACTCGCCTGCAGAAGCTGGCGGTGACCTCTGGCAAGGCTTTCACCTTCCACGTGCTCCCGGATACGTTCGTCGATGCCGAGGACCAGGACAATTTGAGGCTGGCGCTTACGGACAAGGATGGCCATGAACTGAAGGCCAGCTCCTGGCTGCAGTTCAACGCCGACAAAAAGGAGCTGTACGGCCTGTAAGTAGATGGAATTGCATTTAGGCTATGGCTTAAGGCTTACTATTCCAACTCTCTGTTGCCAGACCCCTGGACGATGCGGTGTCCCGTTGGCAGTACCGGCTCTCGGCCACTGACTCCGGCAACGCCAGCGTCACCGAGACGGTGGAGATCAGTGTGCAGCAGCATCGGGCGGTGAGGACGATTAACCACGAGATAACCATTGCGGTGAGGATCAATGAGAACCTGCATGGCCACAACATCGACTGGCTGCTGAAGCTGATCAATGCCGTGGCCAGGACACTGGATGACTCTAACAACGCGGCGTTAGTGGTGCGCGAAGTTCGCCAGACGGCGCAGGATCCTCACAGCGCCACCTTTGTCTACTTCAACGAGACGCTGCCGACCAGCGAGTGTCCCGAAAAGGAACTGCACGACATTATTGCCAGGCTGGATGCCCAACGATTGAGCGACTTGGTGGAGCCAACTCTGGGCATCAAGTCCATAACCGGGCAGCTGATCGGATCCTGCCAGAAGGACCTGACCCGCGTGAAGCCCACCCAGCACATGGCTAAGAATGTGCCGCCGATGCCGCGGAACCAGGTGGATCGCGTCAACGCCAGCGTAGGCCAGCTGCTGGTGTTCAAGGTGCCGGCGGACACCTTCTACGATGCCAATGACAATCAACTGACGCTCACGCTGAAGACCAAGGACCACAAGGAGCTGGGCACGCGGCACTGGCTTCAGTTTGACTCGAAGAACGAGGAGTTCTACGGAATTCCCAAGGGCGGCGACATCGGCTCCGAAGAGTATCTGTTGGTGGCCGAGGATAGCGGCGGCCTGAGCGCCCACGATGCCCTCGTTGTGGTGGTCAATCATGCGCCCAAAAAAGAGTTCGCGGGCTACTTTAAGGCCTATCTGGCCATCAGGCACGAGAACTTCAATGCCGAGCTGCAGCGCAAATTTGTGGAGCGTGTGGCGAAGCTGCATGGCGATGCCAACACCAACCAGATCCAGATCCGATCCATCAACATGCACCACGACTCAGACGGCACCATTGTGAACTTCTACAACACATCGCTGTACAAGTCGCACAACCGGTGTCCCGAGAAGGAGCTGATAGCCACCAGGAGCGTTTACCTGAACAGCGATATGAGCTTGAAGGAGGGCGTGAAGCGGGCATTGGGCCCCGAGCTGAATTTGACCAACTTTTCGGCGGTGCCCGGCACCAATTGTCATCGTAAGGACTACAAACCCAGGCCATCTTCAAGGATTTCTATTAAATTTACTCACTTTCTTACAGATCCCGAGATAATAGACATCCACCACAATGACTATGTACCATCTCGTCCCGAAGAGCCCAGCTCAAAGTCCACATTCAGCGAGGAATACATGGCCAACATTGTGCTGCCCGCCGTGATTATAATCGTGATGATTATAGTGGCCTCCATCATTGCCTGCTGCCTGCACAGGCGTCGCCACAAGAGCGGCAAAATGGAGCTGGGTAAGGCTGACAGCTCAGAACTCTACTTAAGTCGGACTCATAACTCTTTTTATTGACTTTTCAGGCGACGAAGAAGAGCGTAAATCCTTCCGTGCCAAGGGCATACCCGTCATCTTCCAGGACGAGTACGAGGAGAAGCCCGAGATCGGCAACAAGAGCCCCGTCATACTTAAAGACGAGAAGCCGCCGCTGCTGCCACCGTCCTACAATACCTCAAACATGAATGGTAAGAATCTTATAGAATCTTATAGATGAAAAAATCGATATATCCATGCAAAAATGTAATCAATTTTCTCCAATAGATCGATTAATAGAAAATTGATTACATTTTTAGTTTTGTAGTGCTTAACATCCTAGTATCTCAAGTTAAAAACTAATTTCTTACTGCTTTGGTTAAAATTTTCGTATATTCTTCGATAAGTTCGATATTTTAACGTTAACTTTGATTTTTTCGATAATTAAAAAATTCGATATATTCCTCTAGTCTAAACCCTTTCTATTCATTTACAGGCGACAACGATGTGGATGATTATGTGCCGCCTCCATCTGTTGTCGTGGGCGGTCGGGAGGTGCGAGGGAAGTCACCGGCCACGCCCTCCTACCGCAAGCCACCGCCATATGTGTCGCCATAAATATACTTCAGTGTCAAGTAGAGGAGCAATGAGCAGAAGGAACGAGAAGAAACAGCAACAATAATAACAATCGCATCGTATTAACCACACAACAATCTATATATAGATATATACATACATATATATATATATATATACATTTAACCGATTCGGCACAAGTTATATGCAGCTAAGCAAACTCTTTTGTATATATCAAAGTGCAAATTGGTTTCTTTGGACATTGTATTCGAATTGAAAAGGGGGAAAAAGCGAGAGCCCCAGCCGAGAAGTATTCGCCAAGCCGATGGAGTAAGGAGTTTTTTGGATGACGACGTTTTTGTATTAGGAAGGAAACAATCAATTAACACACACACACCTAAGCTTAACCGAGAATCACTAAACACACGACAAGACGATGATGAACTATGCTGCATATTATTTATTTAGTATGTACTCCTAATTTATATATATATCTATGTATACCAAGCGAGAACACACAAAACACACACATCAAGAAGAGGAGTTTAGTAGGCAAGCATTTAGGCAGCTTGAAAAACACACAAAACACACATACACGAGCCCATTTAAAGCATAGCATTTAAAACTATTTGTACTAATTAAGTTAATAGAGAGAGAGAGAGGGAGAGAGGAATGTCCTTTGTCCGGATTTTAGTGCTTGCCGGACTTTCTGCTTAAATTGCTTAAGCTGAATTGTTTGCATTGTTTATATTTCATCAAAAATTTTAAGGAAATTTACGAACAAAAGCTTCGCCTGGGACCGCCCAGTCAAGGCTACGTACTTGCTGCTGGTTGGCTTCCCATTCGTTTGGGTATTTTAGTTTCTTTTTTCGAGGGACAAAGGACAGGCTTAGGAGCTTTGATTATTTTTAGTTTCTAGGAAGCAATCAAACCCACAATAGAGCTGCCAATAGTCTAGTTAGCCCGTTTGAATACGACAAATCAATTCCTAATTGCCCACAAGTGCTTCCCACAGAATAAACAAACAAACCAACAAAAAACCAGACCATATCCACCAAACACAACACAACAAAACACTCACATACACAAATATTTATACGAAAAAATGGATTACTTAAAGTAGAAACTTAGTTTTTAATGATTTTTACACACTCCCTTTGGATTATTCTACATGAAATTTATACCAATACCATTAGTTTATAGTTGCTAGCTGTAGGTCGGTACTTACTACACTTCACTACACCCGTCCCGTCCCGTCCCTGTCCCTGGCCTCCCCTGAAGTAAACATAGTGAGTTGATTTTATACGATCGTGTGTAGCAAGTCCAGGCCCAAAAAAAATATACACAAGAGCAATAATTGCCGAAGGAGAATTACTGAAGAATTACTTTACGCAAATGGCCGAATATGCAGAGCCAATTTTTACGTAATTGCCTATTAAACTAAGTATAATTAACTAATTTGTGTAATTTGCATTAAGCTCAACCGCTGAATTATTTACATTTTGTACTTTGTAATAGCGCAAAACAGCAGAAACAACAGCAATAACATCAAACAAACAAACAAACAAACAACAACAACGGTATCAATTTATTTTGAATAAAAAAATGCCAAAGATACGAATTTTTGTTTTATTTTTCTATTTATCGTCACCACACACCACTCATTCACACACCAAACACACACAGGAGTAAGTAAATGAGCTGAAATAAAATAAAAATGGAATTCCAATTAAGCAACTAAGCAAATAAATAGAGAATTGTGCATACAAATCGGTGTGTGCGAGTTGCACATTTAATTAATATATTCAACAAATAAGCGAAACTACTGTATATTTAAATGCAAACATGCATATATTCCAGTGCATGCCTATCGATTATTGTAAATGCAAATCTGTTTGCCATTTTCATTGGCTTAAATTGACCGAGACACAGTCACACCCACACTTACACCACACTCGGCTACAATAATTATAATAATTATTGAGGATAACTAAACGTGAATATATATATAGCTATATGTCCGTATAGGATGTATGCATGTACGGGATTCTAATAAACATTTATATATATTTTGATACAAAAAAAAAAAAAAAAAAAGATCAGCAACAGATGAGTTTCATTTTTAATTGCTTGTGTTGTGTGGCCCCTCTCGACTTCCACGTTCCATTAGGGATATATAATTTGGGAAAAAATTCAATTTATGGAAATTCCTTAACAAATTATGGAATCAAAGGGAGTCCTGGCAAGGCATCGAAGCGGGTGTGCATGGGGAAAAAGTCAAATCAAAAGCATTGCCATAATGAAGTAATACAAATTTGTTTTTCTTGTCGCTCTTTGCCGCCTAATAAAGACATCCGGCCCCCGGCCGCTCCTTCCCCCTCCCACCCGACCAAGCTATTGATTCCCGTTACTTTGACAACCAATACACGCCGCATGCTGACACACACACAAACAATACAGATCCCAGCCAGCACATGCGAAAGCACATATTTGCTTGGCTTCGTTGACGCCAGCGGAACATTGTCATGTCATGAGTGTGTTTGTGCAGATGCACAGAAAGAAATTAGCCTTAGCTTGACATATCTTCGAATGAGCTAAAGTCAGGGGTGCCCTTACTGAGTATCGAAGAGTAGCAAAGGAATGTTTTTCCCTTTAAATCTGTAAACAAGAATCATTGTAACTAGATAGAGATTAAGCGTTTAGATATTTTAAAGAGAGGGGTACCCTTGTGCAGCATTAAAATAACCAAAGCTCAGCAAAAAGCATACTTATAATAAATTAAAAAGTAACTGTCAAAACTGTTAAATCTATTAAAAGGACTTTGTTGCTCTTTAATTGTTATAGTTGACATCTTTACGGATTTATAAAACAGGAGCAACGAGGAGGACCCGAATGCCTTATGTCTCAGCTTAAGCTAAAATTCTTCCAATTCCTAGAAATATTCTTTGATTGAAGCTTTTCCTAGGCTAAGATATTAACATCCTGAGGTAACACCTAGAAGGCTAATTTCAAAGAACTGAATAATGATCAGATTTCTCAAGAACTATTCCCATTACAAGGAATATGCAAGAAATCCAAGTCATTTTTTCCTATGTAGGGACATATTGTTAAGGTGGCTGGCATTGTTGTTCTTGCCCCTTACGGTTATTGTTATTATTATGTAATGCAGTCATTTAATTGGTAACAAATTGTATTGTTTGGCTTGGAACGACAGTTCTGGCTTGTTTCGTTTGTACGCTTTTACGACTTTCCTAGGAAACGTAAATAGCAGCATCTCTTCCTCCACATGCACGTGTGTGTTTTGTGATTTTTGTATAGCTTTAATGCCACCCCCAGGACACACCTGCTCGCGGCGGTGAAAACAAAGAACTTTTGCTTGTACCTGGCGTATGTGAGTTTGGTTTTTAAACTTTTTGCAAAAGCATAATACGCTTATATGAGCTGTAATTATAAAGTCAAACCAGCAAAACAACAACGATTTGAATGCTTAATAGAACGCTGCATAACTAGTTAAATTTTAGCCAAAAAACAATGCTTTTATGTTTTGTCTGCCCGGTTTTTTCGTGGTTGTTGCGGCGAAAATGACAGCTGGTCTTATTTTTATGCCAAAAAATTCTTTTGTGTTGATTTTAAAGCTTTGTAGCAGAGTAGAGCGAAAGACATTTTAGCTGGCCAACAAGGCGTATGAGTAATATTTCCTAGTAGTGATTGCACAAAGGGATATCTTTCAACTTTGTTTTATTATACCCTTGCAGGGTATTATAGTTTTAGTCAGAAGTATGCAACGCAGTGATGGAGACATTTCCGACCCTATATATTCTTTATCAGCATCAACAGCCGACTCGATCTAGCCATGCTCGTCTGTCCGTTTCTACGCAAACTAAAGTCTCAGTTTTTAAGCTAAATGAAACTTTGCAGGGAATCTACTGACTACTGTCACTGCTATATAAGACGGATTGGACACCTATATCATATATGTAGCTGCCATAGAAACGATTGGTAGATGTAGGAAAAATTGTAAAGCTGTGAATGTAACTGTAAGTATAATATGTATAGGTTAATGTAAGTTGTTATTACTTTGTTTTTGTTCGACATAATTTATATCATATAAGTTATTTAAAATCCAAAATATATGTTAGTTAGTTAGTTAGTTTTTCTCTTCATTTGACCAAAAGGAATCGATTTATACTAATCCAATTGCAAACAGCAAGGGTATACAAACTTCAGCGAGCCGAAGTTAGCTTATTTTCTGGTTTTTCATTTATATGCTTCTGTTATCATTAAAGGAATGAACTAATAAATCTATTTAAATACGCAATACAAATGGTGCCTTGTCACATGTCTGTAATTACACAATTTGATTGCATAACTAGATTCGGTTTCATTTGCTGGAATTCACTGTCCTGCGGGGTTGGGTGGCAGGATCTTATCACTGACCCCAACGAACAGCTGCTGTCGCAGGAGAGTCCTTTTCCTTTGCCAACGGGCGTTGCCATAACGCTCATTATCGCCAACTCTGTCATCGCTGACAGCAAGCTGCCTTTGGTCCAAGTTGCGACACTGGCCATAATCACTTTCGGCCTTACCCACTTTGGTCTTTTTGCGTTTTAAGTTACCAAACAAACAACAAAGCGTATAATTAACTTATAATCTTACATGCTGCCAGGACAGATGCCCTGCCCGCCACACCCTTGATGTTTCTTATAATAAATCCCGGGCGGCACAAAAGGCGAGAGAGATCCCTATTGAAAATAGCTCACTCACACGTGCATGGGATTTTCATAGTGGCAGAAATCTAGAGCTCGAATGGAATATGGAATTTATGTTGGCTTTTGTCCGAAACAATAGGTGTTGGCCACGCCCCGCTTTGTTTGTCCTGTGAACGGATTGTAGGCGCAATACCCCAATCTCTCCCATACCAGAATATTTCTCACACTTTTCCACAGTGAGGAGTCCCTCTCCGTCTTTTCATGTTTGTGAAGTTTGAATTACATCAAATGTTTTCGCTTCTTGGAAGTGAAATCCACACCCTCACCCACTCTGCCGTCGTCGTGTAAACAACCAATCCGGATTCCGAGCTGAAGATGCGGCATCAGGCAAATTGAGATTAATCACAAAACAAACCCGGGAGCCAGCCAGGAGAGCTCAAAAGGTGACAAATGCCGGAACACACACATACCAGCAGCAGTTACAAATCGATGTGAAATATTTGTGTCGACCATGATTTGTATTTGTGTCCGTCCACATGTAGCTACATTTACCATTTACCGGGGGATACATTTAAGTTTCCTGCAATTGAACAGCTCAGGGACGAGGACCAGGTCGAGGTTGAAATCGTTTGAGAGCCGGACACAAATCAATTATGTTGCCACGGGACAAAGGCGGGAGCGAGCGTCGAAAAAATAATGGCAATACAAAATAAATACGAGGGCCGAAGCGTAAAAAGGAACAATGGGCAACATTGGCAACCTGCTGCGCTAATGCCGGTCTCAGACAAACAAACCCCCGGATACCCACTTCCCAAGATGAAGCTTCAAATACATCAACACTGTTAGAAAAGCAGGGTGATTTTTGGAGACATTTTTCTAGTTTATATATTTTCTAGTTGGGGAAAAATCTTAAAAGATATATGGGAAGAAAATCTCCATTTTATTATTAATTGTGCAGTTTTCTAAACCCAACATATTTAATTTCCTTGTATTTACGCATTCTAAAGAAAATGTAAGCAATTAAATATGTGTATCCTGGTCAAAAAGGTTGTTTCTTATCGAATTCTTATCATGAAATAGCTCCTTTTATTCTGGGTTTTGTATTTTTAGGTTTGTCAACTACATAATATCAACTTTATGTTGGAAAACACTATAAAAATTACCAAAGATAGGTCAGATAGGTATATAAAAAAGATATTAAAAACAGATGCCTGAATCTTAATATTATTTGAATTCGATTTTTAAAAAAAAAAGTTGAAATGATTAAAAATCCCTTAGGATTTTTCTAAAAAAAACAATTAAGATTGCCACCGAGCTTTAAAATCTCTTAATAAGGTGTCTAAAAGTATCCAATAACATAAGTAAATTTGTAAATATAAAACATTTTGTAGATTCTCTGATCGATTTCACTTCCTTTTGTAGCATAGTAATTCAATTTTGTAGCAGTGTCGACACTGAGCCACACGTATGGTGACACGCAGGAGGCGAACTCAGAGGAGCCGCCGAGCAGCTGGCTCCGTCAACCAATTGAAAGAACACTTGGACGGGAGCAGGGACGTGGACAGCGGGCATGGCGGAGGAACGGATATTCCGGGCCACTCTATTGGGGGCTTTAGGTAAATTGCTTTTATTGCACACAGTTCGTGTCGGCGTTCGAATTGCACTTAATTTCAATCAGGCGCCCGCTGCTAAGCCACTTCGGCTAATTGTTTGGCTTTCCTTGGCGTATTCCCTCTCTACATCAGTAGCTGTATGTTTTTCGGGGAAGTCCTCCTCCACTCGGTATCTCTCTCTCCTCCCGGGACCCGAATCACACAAGTCACGAATCTCGAATCTTGAGTCGAGACGAGAGTGTGGAAGCCAAGGCTAATTTGCAAATGCT